CCGCACGTGGCTCAAAGGCACAGAGAAGCACCACTTCAGCGTTGAAAAAGGAATCTCCCATGACCTGCAACTGAACCTGGACATTGTCGTCCACATGCCCTGTGACACGCTGGATGTGAATATCCAGGATGCTTCGGGCGACCGCATTCTTGCCGGTGAGCTCCTGAAACGTGAGCGCACGAGCTGGCAGCTGTGGATGGACAAGCGCAATTACGAGATCTACGGCGGCGCGCACGAGTACCAGACTCTCAGCCAGGAGCACGCCGATCGTCTATCGGAGCAAGAGGCCGACGCGCATGTGCACCATGTTCTCGGCGAGGTGCGGAGGAATCCCAGGAAGAAGTTCGCCAAGGGTCCCAAGCTGCGGAGGGGTGATGCTGTTGACTCGTGTCGGGTTTACGGCAGTCTGGAGGGGAATAAGGTCCAGGGCGACTTCCATATCACCGCGAGGGGACATGGGTACCAGAACAGCGCACCCCATCTGGAGCACAAGAGTATGTTTTCCCCTTCCTTCATGTTTGATTCGAATTCAATTGACGCGCGCAGCCTTCAACTTCTCCCACATGATCACCGAGCTCTCCTTCGGCCCTCACTATCCAACCCTCCTCAATCCCCTCGACAAAACCATCGCCACAACCGAAGACCACTACTACAAGTACCAGTACTTCCTCTCCATCGTGCCAACCATCTACTCCAAGACCAGCCTCGCCCTGGACACCTACGCCAACGCTCCGCCCACAAACCGCCACAGCAAAAGCCTCATCTTCACCAACCAGTACGCGGCCACCAGCCAGTCCAGCGCGATTCCCGAAAATCCCTACTTCATCCCGGGCATCTTCTTCAAGTACAACATCGAGCCCATCCTGCTGATGATTAGCGAGGAGCGCACCGGTTTCTTGTCCTTGCTTGTGCGGCTGGTGAATACCGTCTCCGGAGTTATGGTGACGGGCGGCTGGTTGTATCAGATGTCTGGGTGGATTGGCGAGCTGCTCGGCAGGAGGAGGAGAAAGGGAAAGTCGGAGGGTGTTCTTACAGGGCGCCACGAGGCGGAAAATTGAATCCAGTTGATCTTGCCTCGGGCTTGTTCTACATGTGCATGTGTTCCGTTGGTGCTTTGTGTCTTTTGCTTGCGTCTGTTTGGGACATTTCGGTGCTGGTGTTCATATATTGCATCGTTGCATACTCATGGGATATCCATTGTTCCTTAGCCTGAAACGAGTATATTTCATTCATTATATTCTTAGCGTAATCATTATTGTAATTTAGAAGGTTGCTCTGCCAGTCAAGACAGGGCTGAAATTGCTCGATGCAGATCAACCGAAAGAGGAAGGTTGCTAAGAGGATTATAACGTATGTCGACATCATATCTAAATCTCGAATATCTCACCCATACCAACACCGGCTCCCTCCGCGCCAGCCCGGCTATCCACCAAATCCAGCCGCCAGCCCTTCCAGTCCTTGAGTTTCCCTTTGATCCCGCGGACCCACTCCACACGCTTCCGCGCCTCTTCTTCGGCCTGCGCTCGCGCAAACTCCGCCTCGTCGAACTCGTCCTCGAAGTTCTCCTCAGACAGGAGTTCCAGACTGCCACGCGCACCGGGCGGATGCTGCTGGGTTGACGACGCCCGACTGCGGTTCCCATAGCTGCCGGTGAAGGCCGCGAGGCCACTTGAGAGGACGGTGGAGAAGGACGAATGCTGCTGGGCCATGCTGAGGCGTCGCGCGTGGTCTGCGGACGAGCCACCGACGAGGTCCACGTCATCGAAGGCGTTGACGGCCGGGTTGGTGTCTGTCGCCGTATAGCCCCCTTGGTCCGCGGTGGAGAGTTCGTCACGTCGTTCCTTCCAGACGCCACGACGCAGATCAAAGACCTCTCCCTCAAGGTCGCGGATTCGACGTTTCAGGCGCGACCGTTCCTCGTCTTCCAGCTCGTCGAGGGCGTCGTCGTCTGTGCCGCCGGTTTCGTGCTTCCTGAGGCGCTCGAGGTCTTCTTTCAGTCGTAGGTTCTCGTTTTCGACGCTTGCGAGTCGCTTCCGTAGAACTGCTGCTTCTTTTTCGGTCTTTTCGTTCTCGCGCAGACGGGCCTGGTGGCGGGTTTCGGACTCTTTGTGTAGATTTCCCATTGCTTGGAGTTTCTTGTCTAGTGTGTCGATCTTCTTCTCTGCTTCAGATTTTTCTTGTTTCAGTTCCTCGATCTCCCGCTGCAGGTTCTTGATTAGTGTCTCCGTAGAAGTCTTGTCTACTCCTTCCTTCACTGCCTTTTCGGAGGCTCGCGTCAGAGCATTTTTTGTATCTATAAGCTCTCGTTGAGCCTTCTCCAGAGCGGATTCACTCTGGGAGAGTCTCCCCTCCAAAGCGGCTATCTGAGCCTCGTGAGCACTGCTGGATGAGGATTGCTCGGAGAGCTGTGCACGAAGATTGGAAATCTCCAGTTCCATGGCCTCGATGGTAGCTGACTTGGACTCAAGCTGTTGTACGAGGTCGGCAGGAGGCGATTCTGTAGGAGCTGGCACGGAGATGCTGGCATTGTTGCGGTGTGACCGATTCTGGAGATGCGAGTTCTGCCTTTGTAGAGAGGCAATCTCCGCCTTCTGTTGACTAGGTCAGTAACCATCATAACAATGCTTGCTTGGATATATGCGAAACACACCAGTTCGTCTATCTCCGCCGCTTTCTGCTCGGCTTTCTCCAACTTATCTTTCAACTCCGCACCATCAACGCTCGCTTCCCGAAGATCCTCGAGCTGCTCTTCCGTCTTCCTCCAGCGACTCGTTGACTCTTCCAGCTGCTTCTCTAGTCGCTTGTTCTCCTTCTCCAGCTCCTCTATCCGCATCGACTGTTTCCGATAAACCTCGTGCACGGAGTCACCGTTACCGGTCAAAGGAGGCAAAGAGGGCGACTTTAAGGCATTCGATGGAGATGTCGAAGCACTTCCTTGAGAGACAGAGCCTTTCCTGAATGACGACGAGCGCATCTTGGACTGGATTGAGAGAGATGGTTGCCGAGTATGACCCGCGCGCGGGGTATCCATTTTGACGCCTGGAGTCTGGGGCTCAGCATCCGGCCCTGGAGAAAGGGACGTAGGCGCCTCGGGGATGGATTCAACGGGCGACTCTGGGCGCTTTTCCGGCTCAGCTGCGGGTTCAACTTCAGGCTCTGGTTTTAATTCAGTCTCCGGCTCCGCTTGCTGTTCCCCCTCACTTCGTGCTTCCTTCTCTGTTGATTCAGGCTCATCTTGCTTCACTTCTGCGGGGGCTTCTTCGGTAGGCGCGACGGTCTCTTTCGGTGTGTCCGGTTCCTTGGGAGCTTCTGTGGTGGCGGTCTTCTTGCCAGCCTTTTTCTTCTGCTTTTGGAGCTGCGCTACCTGTTTGAAAGAGTATCAGTCGTTAGCCAACTTCCCTCAAGGGTCGTCAGCATGTCGGTCATCCAGGCTTACTCTTTTCTTCGCAGCGGCCAGCTTCTCGGCCTTGATGCGCTCCTCCTCGTCCGCCATCGTGTATGATCGTCGGAAGTATTCACAGTGATGAGGTTGTAGGGAGGAATTGGAGGAGATCTTATCAGGTGTTTGTGTACGGAATGGACAGCTTTCCCCGATCCGCAAGACGTGCACGGACCATAGCCACTTAAGTACTACTCGTCTACGGGGTACTCCAGTCGTACATACCCCTACTAGGCTTCCTTGACCATCATGAACCACGATTAGGACATGCTATATATACGTTCAGATAGCTCCTAAATCAACATGAATTCCCAAGTCGGCCCTTGCTAGATGTATATCTTTATTCAATAAGCGTGGAACTCAGATCATCCATCCCAAAGACATCACTTCTGTTCCGCCCAGAAGAAAAGAGATCTGGTGGTACAGTGGAGATATCATTATACATGGCATGGTTTCTCATCATCGTCCACATAGAAAAGAACAGGGTATCCTGACTGAGAAGAGAAGAAAAAAGAGAGAGCATTATTGATAAAAAGTCATACAATGGGAAGCGACACAAACATCACATGACCTAATCTAAAGTCCACTAGCCCCTTTTGGACGACCGACTATGACGTAGTTATTGGTGACATACAGCCATCTACAGTTCTATTACCAGGTCAGAAGCACCGATGAAAGGAAATCTCTTTGTTCAGCAAGCATGATACACCGCATCTAAAATTGACAAGGAAAAAGACATTGGCCATTACAAAGTGTATCACCTCCTGAAAGCCAATCTTCACAGGACCCCGTGCGGGGAAGATCAGCCTCAAAGTTATCAGTGACAAGCCCTCGAGCTAATAGCAGTCAAGCATGGATTTTCCACTCGGTATTAGACATCTCGTCGTGGGGCTATTGGATGAGATGCATATGCGGGAGTGGTCATTTAGTTCTGTCTCACGATAAAATGGATAAAACGGTTCAGAATATCTAGGTACGATGGATGGTGATGGCCAGAGGGATGATAGCGTATGCATTTCCTATCATTATGTATATTGAATCTCCAAATCCTCATGATGATCGAGCAAAGAATGCCGTAGATTCAAGGCCTTATGACTGAAGAAGATGGATAAACTGCTTCTTATACCATGTTCAATCTCAGAATCATGTCATAATGACTACCAAATTATCGTCACTTTCGCAAACCCAAGGATCTACGTAAAAATTCAAGGCCGAAGAGATTTCATTATAATAAGATTACAGTGCATAGCCCAACGTCAGCGTAAAAAGAGCACTGCTGCAGTAATTAGAATGAAACCCATGTGTGCCAGACCACAGTGCATCAAAATCATTATCAAGGTTGAATCAATCTGAAGAACAAGTCTCGAAACCACTGATTACGACAAGAGGCATGTACCGCCGTTGCCGGTCACCAAACGCCCCTCGCCGCAGAATATGCAGGTTGAATGCAACAGGAAAACCAGCCAACGCCGTAGAAACATTAACAAGAAAAGAAAGAAGTAGAGACAATCATGAAAAAGGAACAAAGAAGAGAAGAGGTCGTCAAATCACTGAGTCGGAATTAGACTTCCATTTGGTCGGCAATCTCCTCGCTCATGGCGCGAACTGTTCCCTTACTACCTGATCTCGATCGGAACTCCTCGTCGCTGAGCACGTAGTTGTCGTATTCATCAACGACTGGGCGTGTTGGCGGGGATGAGCCCTCCTCCTCGCTCTCGATCTCGAGTTTCGCGCGATTCCCAAGCCAGTAACGAGCTCGCTTGCTTGAACCCACCAGATCAGGCGACATGTACCGGGATACATCAACATCTTCAAACGTTCGCTTGCCGGTGGGTGTGGTGGGAAGTCCATCGCCCTCTTCGGGTGTGTGACTGAGAATGGGGATCGCTCGAATGTAGAGGTAGCAGACACGTTTCCGAAGGCGGTTGAAGAAGAAGTAGTGCAAACTCCAGATCGCACCGTCATCTGCGTCCGATGGGTCTTCGTCGGGCGAGTACGAATAGTATGAGCACTCCTTCAGTGACATATGTTCATCAATTGTTCTCCACATTCTCGGGCCCCAAATATGAGATGCTCCGCTGTTGTATGATCCAGATATCGTCGCTGGAGACGGGGGAGACATGTCAATCGACTCGCGAGGTCGCAGGTTAAACAGAGTTGAGTCCACCGAGTTCATGACCCTCTTCAGGCTTCTCTCGCGACGAAAATCTGAAGGGCGCAAAACGTGGGAAAAGTCATAGTCGGGATGGCTGGCATTGAGTGTTGCGATCAGGTAGGCAAAAGTTCGGCGACTGGAGTGGTCGCTCAGGGGACCAAAAGGACTCGAACGCGACAAATTGAGTGAAGCAGCCGCATCGGATGCATTGGGAGGTGAAAGCGAAGCAGATAGGCGAAGGACTGATTCATATTGGGCTTCCAGTGATTGTTCAATGTTCTTGTACAGTTTCCGGTCGGCGCGAGCAGCCTTTGTCGTATACAGGTCGCATCCACCCACAATGTGACAATCGTCGGTATCGAAGTTAAGTGAATTCGCGACGTCTTCGAGCTCGGGGATAGGAAGATACTATTAAGATGCATATGTCAGTACGGTACGACAAGGCCCCCGGTAAAGATGTGTATCGGCGCAATGTGGAATGCGCACCTTCATCTTTGTCAAATTATGCCGTGAAGTGCTGTCTGTGAGGAGATAAGTAGCGACGGGCTGCTGGGAGTATTGAAGCAAGAGCCAGATATCAATGCGCCACTTCTGGTTCGGCAGAAGACAACAGAAAGAGGTTGATTCGACGCGATAGAGGATATCTGCGCGGATGAGGTCGAGATAGTTGTCGTGGTGGACTGACCGCTGATCGGAGATAAGGACGATTGCGCTGGCAGCTGAAGCCACGAATAAATAGGCCGATAGAGCGCGGTTGTGAATGTCTCAAATGAGATTTGTTTGCTGAGACAATCCCTCTCAGAAGAATCAAATGGATCTGAGGATGAAACAGGCATTAAGAGGGGACTGTTTGATGAACAGCGATACGGGGTGGTCCAGTTGCGCGTTGTCTGAAGGGGGGAAGGGTAGTCACGTGGCAACTGCGACCGGCCAGTGATATCACGCACTTACTTCACGGGTCCAAAGGAAACACTGCTGCAGACCCAGAAAATGACGAATGACTTCACATGAGCCCTTCGCTGGATAGACTGGCGATCACTTCCTTTGATTCCTGAAACTGGCCAATGTAGTATTAATTAGTGCCTGAAGTCGCATAGTAGAAGACAACGCCTATGTACGTCCAAACGCCTATAGAACTGCCCTCGCAATCCGGAAAGCGAACACCCAAAGAAAACAGTATGAACAGGGAAACGCTCGCTTGTCAAACAGTCGCTACATGATCTTCGTAACCACATCTTCCTCAACCTGGAGGAGGAGCGACATTAGCCTAACTCAGACATGTGACGTGTCCACATCGGATGAGGCTAGGAAGACCCAACGACGAACGATGGATTTGGAGATGTAGTGAATAGGCGTGATGAAAATAGGTGCGATGGGGGATAGTGTGAGAAGGCCTCGGGCACATAAACGTGATCGGAGGCAGGCAAGCGGATGGAGGAGTGGAGGATGTGAGACTCATTGCGCTCACAACCTCTACACATTGCGATGGGTGTGAAGACAAGGGATCCTGAATGTCAGGGAAATTAACTCACCTCCATATCTTCCAGACTATCCTGCTGACTTATACATCTGAGCACGTTCTTCTTGCTGCTCTCCTGCATCTCGCCCGCAAGCAGAAGCTCATCGAGGATGAAGTACGCCTTTTGAAAGTTGAAGATGATGTCGAGCTCGCAAACGTTGCCGTAATACTTGTCCATCTGCTCGACATATCGATGCACGATTTCGAGGGTAATCAGCTCGTTATCGGTGGAAGCGCAACCGGCGATGAAGAAGAGGGAGGCATAACGGCGGTAGACGACCTTGGTGTCTAAGAAAGGAAGACGACAAGAGTCAATTCACCGATGCTACAGTGTAGGAAGGGAATCCCTGGGAAAAAGGAGCGTACCTTTGTACTCCAGGAAATTGCACATCCGAGTCCGACGGGACAGGACGAGCTGAGTCACATCTTTGATAATCTTGGCCTTCTCCCTGGGCGAGAGTGTCGTAAACCATTTGGCAAGACGCTGGATATGAGCAAAGTTCCATCAGTTAAGGAGCTCTGAGATCAACTCGAGGAACTGGGTGGGCCACGAGGCATACCACTTTGCCCTGCCGCGACAACAGGATCAGGTAACTGAGAGGGGACTGTCAGTTTGAGTCATAAACAGTAGACGAACCTCTGGGCAAGAACGCCTTACTGAATTGCCATTATGTTCTCTGCGGTAGGATGAGATAGCAAAAGAAATGCCACAACTGTAGTTTGTGGACAACTTTAGGTCGAAGAAGGAGCTGGAGAAATAATTTGCGCGGGCCCGTGTGGCCGATGGGGGGAAATTATTGCCCCGCCGACATTATTCAGGAACATCTCATATCACCACGTTCTTTGCTACTCCGCACAATATTTGAATAAATATCCTGATTCAAATTGTCAAAAGGCAAATGGAAAAGTACTGAACAGAACTATTACCCTGATGGCACAAATTTTGGGGAGATTGACCAGCCACCGCTGCTGCGTTGCTCTACCATCTAAACCAGCCCCTTTGATTGCTCTTTAACTAGCCCAACCTAGGTAGCCTTCTAGAGCATAAGCATATCCTGATTGAATATGGTGTATGTATCTTCTCAAGCAGGTCGTCCATCTACGGGGTACTAGACATCAAAGTCATGCTTGCTGCCGATTTGGTTGCGAGTGTCGCAATTCGCACAGCCAGAGAATCACAATTAATGATTACCTATTTGCACATATAAGAAAGCAAAGCTTTCTTGATTTTAAATGGCAAGTATTCAAGCAATCTTGTTATATGACCTAGGTCGCCTTGTCTGCGCCAATATATATAGGCTGTAGAGTACGTACGGCCAATCCCTCGACAGAGGACGCTATCATTTCTCTCAGTTAAGACAACATAGGTCTCCTAAAATGTCTCCCTGCAAATACATGCTATCGAAATAGCTGCTTCTTATACCCAAGCTTTGATACAAGCATCTTGTGAACCATCTTGTGAATCATATTGATGAACGAGAGCTTGGATGTTTCATTACCACTCTGATGTCTAGCGTTCTTCCAGTCAGGATTGGTGCTTGAAACAAGCACCCGACGAGCCATTGCTCTCAGTTCCTCTCGAACACCCCTGAGTTAGCTGAAATTGAATCCTTGCTTGAAGACCATTATTCTGACAATCCAGTCCGAGATGGAAGCTCTACAGATCGCAGATACCGCTTGTTCACACAACCACAACTCAACTATGGCTATCGATGTTATTCGACTGAACTAGCTTCCGAAATGGAAGAGTGTCAACCTATCATGCCGACAGAGATCCGAATTCTTTATCGTCGGAAGGTGGCCTAGATGGACGATCAAGAAACTAGGACTGGGCTGGGAGCCAAGGTTATTGGAGTTGTCAGTTGAGCTGCCATCTATAACTCCACATTCTGCCTCTCGCTCAGTTTGCGGGGTTAGTCCCCGGCGTTGCATTGCGGCGTTTGGTATTTGGATGCCGCAACAAATGCCGAGGACGATCTATGTTGGATTGACATCGGGTTCGAGCTTTTATACTTTTATCGGATCAAGGGAAGACCTCAGCTGTCAGAGGGGGTGGATGGCGCTGGGGATATAAATGGAAGCCATGGTTGACCATCGCAGACCATAGCTTCTATGGAAGGATTGCAAGGGACAGACTTACACTTCCTATAAACACATGCAAACTTATTCTACTACTCTCGACACGATGACAAATTTGAATCAGCCTGAGGAACATGTTGATGTGCTCATTGTCGGGGCTGGGCCAGCTGGCCTCATGTTGGCAAACTGGATGAGCCGATTAGGAATCAAGACACGCATTGTGGACAAGCGTAGCACAAAGGTCGGTTCAGTTGATCTCCATATTGAAGACTTACTGATGCGTTGCGCAGGTATTCAGTGGCCAAGCAGACGGGCTCCAGTGCAGGACACTGGAGATCTTTGATTCCTTTGATTTTGCCCACCGTGCCTGGAGAGAATCGAACCACATGCTGGAAATCTGCCTCTGGAACCCCGACAAGAATGGCGTTATCCGTCGATCTGATCGTATTCCCGATACTATCCCTGGCATTAGTCGCTTCCAGCAAGTCGTTCTTCATCAAGGCCGCATTGAACGGTTCTTCCTTGACTCTATCAAGGAGCACAGTAATATTACTGTGGAAAGAGGAGTGATGCCCACTTCTTTTGAATTCGATGCCTCCAAAGCTGCCGATGTCGATGACTACCCCATCACTGTCACCGTGCGCACCTTGACAGAGGAAGAGGCCACCCCGAAGCAACAACAGGCTACGAATGGCGCCGCTGTTAGCGATGGGTTGTTCCGAAGTAACCTCTCCCCGGATGACACGGACGACATGCTACGACCAGCTGAGCTGGATAGCCGTGCAAATCAGACCCAAGTTGTCAAGGCTAAGTTCATGGTTGGCTGCGATGGTGCACACTCGTGGGTCAGACGCCAACTAGGCTTTAAGCTGGAAGGAGATTCGACAGATTACATCTGGGGCGTGCTCGATATCATTCCCATTACCGACTTTCCGGATATTCGAATGCGTTGCGCGATCCATTCTGCCAGTGCGGGGTCCGTGATGGTCATTCCTCGCGAGAACAAGCTCGTTCGGCTATACATCCAGTTGCAGTCAACAGTCACTGGAGGTGGTAAGGCGGACCGTTCGAAGATTACACCGGATATGATTCTAAAGTCCGCACAACGCATTCTTCATCCATACAAGCTGGACTACTCGTACTGCGACTGGTGGACTGCGTATCAGATCGGTCAACGAGTTGGTGACAAGTTTTCGCTAGAGGAACGTGTGTTCCTCGCTGGCGATGCAGTGCATACCCACTCACCAAAAGCTGGTCAGGGTATGAATGTAAGCATGCAGGATGGTAAGTGTCATATCCCGTCCTCTGTAGTGATTGTTTGAAACCTACTAATGACCACTCAGCTTATAACTTGGGCTGGAAGTTGGCCCATGTGGTCAAAGGCTACAGCGACAGCGCAATCCTCAAGACCTACCAATCTGAAAGGAGGCGCATCGCTCAAGACCTAATCAACTTCGACTATCGCTTTTCTCGCCTCTTCTCCGGGCGTCCAGCCAAGGACGTTATGGATGAGGAGGGGATCAGCATGGAAGAATTCAAGATGGCGTTCCAGAAAGGAAACATGTTTGCAAGTGGTATTGGTAAGACAATGCAGTCGCTCCTCAGTATTTCATCTTACTCAGTCTGACCATATTGAAACAGCTGTCGACTATGGCTCTAGCCTCCTCGTTGCAAAGGAGGGAGACTCTGGCGAACAAGGCGATGGCACGGACGTTGCAAGCAAAGACAAAAGCCTCCGGGTAATCAGCAAGCAGCACCTGTCAACTGGAATCTCCGTTGGCATGAGAATGCCGAGTTTCAAGGTGCTCAACCAATCCGATGCTCGGCCATGGCATCTCCAAGAACTGCTGAAGAGCAATGGCCGATGGCGCGTGATGGTTTTCGCCGGTGACCTTACCAACCGCGAGAATTTCGGCCGCTATAGCCAGCTGGGAGAAAAGCTTAGCAGTCCGACTTCATTCCTTCGCAGATATACGCCACCTGGGCAGCCAATCGACAGTGTTATCGAAGTCCTGACTGTCCATGCCGGACCCCGCACAAGCATTGAACTCTTAGACTTCCCCGAAATATTCCATCCGTATAGCGAGAAGCAAGGATGGGATTACTGGAAGGTGTTTGTGGATGATGAATCCTATCACGAGGGTCATGGAAAGGCGTACGAGAACTACGGTATCGATCCCAGACGTGGAGCGAGTGTTATTATCCGACCCGATCAATACGTCAGTTGGCTCGGTGAAGTGGATGACTATGAGGACATGGAACGCTTCTTCTCTGCGTTTTTGAAGCCACAGTCGCTGCTGGCCCAGAAGGAGGTTCCCGTAGCTGCGGAAGCTTCCACTCTATGAAAAATGACCTGTACTTTCTATTTCCCCCGGAGTGATTCTGAAAAGATGTCGTGGATCTTTGCTTGATACCTATTTGCCTGATCGTCCAAGTCGGATGATACCCGTGAAATATTCTCGTCTATTTTCAATCCTAGAGAATTCTCTTCGAACAGAACATGCGCAGAGTTTGAGTAGCTAGATCAGGATTCTGGGTCTGTACTTGGTTGCTGCATGCATCGACCATGAAGAGGTGAGAACGGGTTCGAGACTCGACCAGTGGATGTAACAACGATTAAGGAACTGGACCCATAAGGTATGAGGATGCCAGAGCCACTGCAGTTAGAATCGTGAGTGGCTCATCCGGTGGCCAGGCAGTCCACCGGTCCCATGGATCACCGTGATAGGGCTATTGTACGGGTATAAAGCTCTGAGAATTGACTTTCAAAAAGTTGCAGAGCATATGGTGACGGAATCATCATTTCATATCGGATTCAGGCGGAAGAGACTGCCAGTTCTGATGTTGTAGAGCTCGAACCATTGAGTAGGCATCGCATACTACGAGCACAGTAGTTCTACCCAGTACAAGCTTCAGGTGCATATGCACTGCCGCCCAACAGCTGGCTATAGCTTCGTTCTTGCGTGACGATCATTCTCTGACTGACCCTGGCCACACTTTGTTTTTACCTCGACAACCTGGATGATAAAAGTCTACTATACTGACTAAGACAGAAGATCAATCTGATTGATCCATACGGTGGCTCAACTTCCCTGTACTGGTGATTTCATGATCGCGCTCCCATGCATGACGTAGCATATTTTCCATTTCCGCAACATATCGTCATTCTCGGCCTCCGGACATTCCGCACAGAATAAAATATTCTTCATCCCTAGAATCAAGCAGCGCATCAGATCTGCGTCTTGTTATCTTAATTTCCTCGTCGTGGCACCTGTCAGACTGCGTGTTCGAACCTACTTCCTTCGCGTCGTGGTGACTTACCCAGTATACTAGCTAGGGCAACTATACCCCAGTGCGACTACAAACTCGCCAAAAGAACGAGATAAGAACAGCAGCCAGCTCAAAAACTAGTCAAAATGGCCCTCAGAGGAATTCAGCTCGGCCTGAGAGTATGGGAGGTACGTGTAGACTTCTATCCACAGCTACAACGTCTTTCGACACAGTAGCCGGACGAATAGCTAACAAGCGAATAATGTGCAGTTCGTCTTCACCTTGCTCGTCATGGCCTTGATCGGTAACATCATCGCCATGGCATTCGCAGGCAACCCCGCCACGATCAACTACAGCATGTTCGTTTCCACATTCTCGATGGTATCGCTCTTCTACCTCGTCCCCGCCTCGATCAACATGAGCTGGGCCATTCACCCCATCATCATGATCACGCTCGATGTTTTGAACAACATCTTCTTCCTGACCAGTGCAATCGCACTGGCTGCTCGGCTGGAATGCCGCTCCTGCTCCAACGATGTACGTTGCGGCATCCATACAGCTTGGTTTATAGCGACTAACGAGCCTAGAATTACACACTCCACAACGAAATCACCAACGGCGCGCACAACCGTCAGAAGCGATGCCGTGAGGCTCAGGCCTCTGTTGCGTTCCTGTGGTTCGCTTGGGCTGGATACATGGCTTCGACGATCATCTCTATCCTGCAAGCTCGTAGCTCTACCGTCGACATGCGCAGCCGGACCGGTCGTGCTCCTCGTGGACGCCCTAGCATGGCTCAGGTCTAATTGCAGTGATACTGTATGTGGTGCTTTCTTTATGGCGGCACAGGCTCTAATCAGTCAGTAGTCTTCGGTAGCAGACGTCTCTCTAGCAGCTCATACGACTGTAACGACAACCGTCAATGCTAAGAGGATCTGCATTGGTGCCAACGATGTACGATGTTCGATGATGTTATGCCGATGAAAAATAGGCTGGGAGGACAGGGGGAGAAAACTATTGGTGTTTAATGATAATCTGGGGTACACTATAGGAGTCATGGGACGGAATTTGTGCCGGATATGTCTGGTTATGGATGGCAGGGATGGGTGGAGGACTGGAGTATTGGGTTCTTTTCATATTGTTCATCTGTACTTTATACGTACTCGTATGCTTAATACTTTGCTTTAATGTACTATTTGGGAGTATACAAAATGATCCACAGAGTAAATCTCATATCAAAAAGCAGCATAGAACAAGACATCGACACAAAATCACGCCAACATCAGACATCTGCGCTTTGCCGCTTGACCATCACAATCATCGACCTTCGCACAGTATCCTTTGCATCTCCGAAGTATCGTCCTGATCGAAAGCTACAATCGAAAGCGTCAGCCAGATAATGAACTACATAGTCTAACACATACCTCCAATTCAAATTAGCCATCACGACATTCTGCACGCCCCGAATATACTGCTGCACTTGAGCATCGACATGCTCACCCCAGCTCGGAAGCTCTGCCAGTGCAAGATACCAGTCCCTATACCGAGCGACGAGCATATTGCCGATATGGTTGAATGCCATTTGCGCCGGCATCCCGGAGTGACGGCATATGGCGACGACGTTGTGCGTTACTCCTTCTTTCTGTTGCACATCAGTACCATGAGGGCTCAACGATGAAGGATTAGGAGGTTACCTCTTCCTTGCAGTAGGAGAGTATATCGTTTTGTCTGTTCACTTAGCATCCGGTTGAGATTAGAAAGGGAAGACTTACAGAAGAACAAGGTCAACTCCGATACGTTCTATCTCCTTGATACTTCTGCACTCGAAGACATGGTCCGGGATATCCAGCTTGTGTGCGTATCTGATGGTATGAGTCAAACTATATCGTAAAATCATGGGCTAGACATACTCGACCAAAGCGAAAAGAGGCGCAACACCGGCCGACTGCTTTCGCAATGCCAGCATCTCGTCCAGAGATGGGTATCGGCCCATGGAGCAAGTGCGGACTTGCTCTATGCTGCCCTTGCAGTAATGCCTCATCGAAGCGGCGAATCTGCGTCTGACTCCTGTAGCCGCATGAGTAGTTGTACAGGGATGGCCTACGGTCGTACATACCAGCAGGAGAAGCCTGAGACTTGTCAGCGAAATGACCTGACCAGAAAGAAGAGCGAAGGGGCCATACCTGAGCCACACGCTGCCATACCGTGTTGTGAACTCGAACCAGGGGACTCTCTGCCTCAACCGGCAGCTGAGTACCGTCGTCCCGCATCCCAGCAAGTAAACTATCGATGAGCTGCTGAGCCCCAACAGGATCGTCCTTCAGGCCTCCGTTATCGAACACTGCCAGAATATGCTTAGTACTCGGACTACAAAAGCTGGGAGGGACGTACTATCGTCGAATGGAAACACCCAGTTCCCCCAATCACACACAGTGCGCAATTCCTCCGGACCAGCGTCCGGCGCCGCGACGGAACAGAAGTATGAGAAGTCGGTTTTGTGCAGGATCCGCCGTGATCTCTCATCAAAGGAGCATTCACTGGACAAACAGACAATTTAGTAGGCGGGTTTATCGTTCATCTTGGGTAGGTTACTGACTTGGCCAGCCATGCTTCGGATTCCTTCCTCACCTCTTCGTAGTGGGGATTGACCACCGGGTTCTCGGACAGAAACAGTACGAATAATTGAGGCAGATGAACGGGGATATGTGTATCATGCGTTGTTGTCCGCTTCTCTCCCAGCCGAACTGGGTTCTCGTGCACCAGACAGTCCGTCATCTTGGCTTATGGATATAGATGATATAGATAAACTGTTTGACTGGACTCGTAGAATCAAAGTGATACTTATATGATTCTTATCCTCAAGGATAGAAGCCATCCCAACGAGTGACATGATCTTATACCCAGAACCCTCCATGTCAATTAGATTTGGAGTGAACTGTAAATCGACAATGAACCTCCCCCGGGCGACAATAGCAAATCTTTCCAAAACGAATACTCAATACACTCCTGAATTCTGATAGCACCAAACACATAACGTTTCTGTCATTGGACCTAAAATCCGGAGGACAGTTGCGAGGTGCGATTTCTTTCATTGCCACTGACAACCTAGTGTGTTAGAGTTCGCCCCGTCTCGCCATGATCTTCGTGGCCATCAATCACAACCGCAAATTTGATGTCGTGCTATCTCAACATGCAAAGTTCATCTTCAAAGGCGCCTACCGTGGATTCCAAGACAAAGAAGATGGCCTTGATATTGTTCTCCACTGTGGAGAGAAAGTGCCACATCATTCTCGCAACTATTGAGCAACTATTACTGCGCAGATCATTGCCTGAACCTTATTTGAAGTTATTTCAAAGGGTTCTGTATCCCGATCTTATCATCTCATCTGAGCCAAGATTATAGATACAAGATGACACAGCTCATCAGCACAAGCTGCAATCGCTACACCAGTCCCGGCAGACCTGTATCTGAACATGTTCTTGACGAAAGGTACCCAGCAACATCCAAGATTCCCTGCTCCCGAAAAGCACACTGACTGACTCAATCCCGGCAGACTGGTACTAAACCTACGCTGAAGTCTCTTTTCTTTATCTCTCTCACCGTCGCCACAATGGTTGCGAAGATCGTCAACGTGGACTGAGACTGAATGAGAATGGGTTCTATCTCTTGTCTGGCAGACGCAAGAGGCTTGCAATGGACTCTATCAGTTGGATGGTTATCGACCCTGTTCCCCTCGCGCTGCCGCGTGGTCATGGCCTCCTCAAATGACTGAGTTCAAGCCTAGGTCTATTGATGCGAGCATGATAGGGGCGATATCAAGCGTGAAGTGTCTAATTGGCTACGGTATAGTCTTCTCTGCCTGATTCCAAATTCCAGCAACGCTCTCTGCCGTGCTTCATGCTTCACTAGTGGTTTGACTTTCCAAAGCAGGAAACGCCTTGACTCCAGACACGGTAGAGGGCTTGACTTCTTTGTTTCGATCAACGCAATGGCCTCGTGTGCAATTTCTAGTATGCAATGAATCGGCCACGTCGGCATGATGGCTCGCCATGAAAGACTGGAGAGGATTTCTGTGCTGCGGTCTGACCATGATCTAGGACAATCTCGAAGCTGGAAAGGGGACGCAGATGGAGCAAGCGTATATAAAGTCGTAGCTGGAACTGTTGATAGCCCTAAGTATGTAGAATTAGACACAAGCAGTATGTCTTCTACTTCCTCTTTTTCGAGCTCTTCCCCCCGCGTTGGGGAAACGATAAGCAAATGGGGCTATTCGTTCAAGTGGACTGATAGTCACCTCGCCCAGGACACCATCAAGCCCTTGCGCCAGGAGTACGATACCCTCGGTGCAGCGGCCCTGGAGCGAATCCAAGCGGTTCGTGCTGCCCTGCTCGAAGAAAGCAAAGCGAAAGGCACGCCTCCACCCCCAAATGACCTCTACATCCTTCTTCGAGACCACCACGGCGAAGACGAGACGCTGTCCCAGTTTTGGAATGAGCTCCATACCGTTCCTGACTGGGTAGACTGGGAACAACTCGAACGAGGCCAGAGGTTCTTCTACCGGTATGCTATTGCAAATATAGTCGGCTTTGCGCTGCAGGGGTTCATGGCGGAGAATTCGGTACGCCTTCTTTCGTCTCCTGGCATGTATCTTGAAAATCCTGACCACTGACCGTCCTAAAGGCCGCCTCAGGAGTCGTCGAAGTCCTCGTCCGAACCGGCGGCTTCTCCACCCGCATGCTCCTCGGACGACTGCTCGAGACCTTCCAGTGGCTCGTGCAAGTCACTCACAGCCTGGCCGCCATCCAGCCCGGAGGAGACGGGCACACTGCAACGATCCGCGTCCGACTCCTCCACTCCGCAGTCCGCCAACGAATCCTCAAGCTCTGCGAGCGAAAACCCGAATACTACGCCGTCAGCCACCACGGCATCCCAATCAACACCCTCGACTCTATCCACTCCATCGCCACCTTCAGCTGCAACCACATGTGGCTCCAGCTGCCCAAGTTCGGAGTCAAGCCTTCCCAGCACGAGATCGACGACTATATCGCTCTCTTCCGGTACCTGGGCTACCTGCTCGGCACGCCAACGGCCTTCTTCGAGACAGCCGAGAAAGCAAAAGTGACCATGGAGAGCTGCTACCTGCATGAGCTGCGCATAACGGAGACTTCGCGAGTGGTGGCGTACAACTTTGTGCAGTGCGTGCAGAATCTGCCGGCCCCGTTCCATGTGTCTAGGGGTTTCATTGAAGCGGGCAGTCGGTGGATAAACGGTGATGAACTCTGCGAGGAGCTTGGTCTTGGGCGGCCGGGGGTGTTGCACTATCTTGCTTTCGCGGGGCATTGTATGCTGGTTGTATTTATGGCTTGGCTGCAGCGGCTTGTTCCTGGGCTTGATGGCTTTGTGATCAATGTGAGTTCTTTCCATTTGTTTACATGGTGGGGACTGACCGTCTAGTTCTTCCGATCGATTCTATACAGGGGCCTTGTGCGCAGAAAGTCCCGGACTAACTTTCAGTTTCAGTATGTTCCGCAAGAGGGCAAGAAAACTGGAAGGGAGGCATATCAGGCGGGCAGAAAAGTTCAGACCGGTCAGACGAGTCACGTATGGATGGGCCTGTTTGAGGTTATATTCTTGTTTGTGGTCCTTGTCTTCGGTGGTCTCGCTGTGGCAGGTATTCTAGCAGGTGGGCTACGGGTACTTGAGTTGAGTGGAAGAAGAGTAGTATAAGAGGAGTACTGAGTATCAAACTATCTTGAATGTTGCTTAACATAAATCTATTCACAACTGAAGTACAGAATAGTATCAAACTATCTTGAACGTTGTGTGGAACAATCCAATCACATAGGGCAATGTTCAGTCGCCTTGCCATGCCCGGCTTCCTAAGGAAGTTCAACCCGTTACTGACGAAAAGTTGTTTATTTCTTGATTCTGGGGCGTTCGACAGCATAGGCAGCGCCGCCATGCGGGGAGGCAGAAGAGCCAGGGAAAGAGAACGCTGTAACCACAGCGTCCCGCATAGAAGCAGGGCGCATACCCAATATTTTCTCGATAACATCTTCAGGCGTTCGATTAGCATGAGCAGCGCCCCCAATAGAGATATTTGGAGGGAAGCAGCTACCTGTAACAGCAGAAGGCAGCCGAATATTAGAAAGAACAGCCGCAGGGCAGTGTCTTGTCGTCGACGCCCTTGTTTCATAACGGTGTCTTAGGCTCAGGGGTACCTGACCTCCTCAGCTAGGAACGGAGTTCTGCAGCGACGAAAGGCAAGGCGGCAATCCTTGAGAATGAACTCCCAAGGGACTCGGGAGTTCGATATCGTAACTCCATTTCGGCGCAAGCTGTGTTTGACGCAGGATGTCGTCTGCAAGGGATAGTGCCCAGCTCGTCGTACAGTCGGCTTCTTTGATGACTTTGAGGCAGTAATGCGTAATGCCATTTTGAACTTCTCGCTAAGGTCGTCTGCGAGTTCTTTCATCCTCTTCTTTTTTCCCCCTCGTCTCCCCCGGTGTCGTTGACGTCTTCGACTTCGACGTCGGGGGCCATTTCTTGCATCAGGCGATGGTGCCAAGTAATACTTGCTGATTGTTCATGCCACCGGTTGATACCGTTCGCTGTTGTCATCACGGGGGCAGTCGCTGCTTCGTCTCTGGCACCCAGAGCAGAAGAGGCCCAAGTTGTGCTCTAAGAAGCTCCACCAACGCTGTGGTATTGGAACATTACCACCACAAATCCGATGGTAATCGATCATCGTTTCAAGAGCATTCCAACTTCGTTCTCTGAATGTGACCTGCGATGCAAGTGTCCATTGGACGTTGGTGTCCGAGCATGTCGACAGGTTGAGTCCACGTGAAAAAATAGTCTGCCACGGAGTATGTGGCAATGCATCATCGCTTCCAGGTCGTCCACTTTTTCCAGGATGGGTGGTAGTTGATCATTACCACCGGGGCATGCGATGATATTCGATCATCATCTCCAGGGTATTGCAATTGTTCCATTGGACTTTGATGTCTGAGTATGTTCGGACCGGATGCGTCCACGTGAAGAAATAATCTCCACGAAGCATGTGGTTATCATCACTTCAAGGACATCCGATGATATTCAATCATCGTCTCCAGGACCTTCCACTTCTTCCAGGACGGCTGTGGTAAATGACCATTACCACCAGAACATCCGATGATATTCAATCATCGTCTCAAGAACATTCCAACAGGCTTCCCCGAAATCGGACCTGCGTACGCAAGTGTCCATTGGACTTGGATGCCCGTACGTATCCAGGCGAAGAAATACCCGCGCAGATAAATTCGGCCTCCATCCCATTTGGTTATTGTTGGACGGCTTGAAAAATTGGTCCCCAGCTTCAGAAAAGAGTCGACAATAGCGTCCTTTTGGGCCTGCGAGAGCCGGGTCGATGACCGAACGGCATGAATATGCCGAATGCAGTCCACAGTACTAGCATCAGGCCCATTCCGAGGCCGAGAAGCAGACGCTTAAAGAAATATCTGAACCAGTGGCATAGCAGCCATATTTCTTGACAAACTGAGCTGGGAAGCGTAACCTACTCAGTCAGCTCACGTCTTGCTACCGATAGAATCAGACTTACCATACCGAGATCCGATTGGTGTCAAGATCTTGCGAGGTCTGCATGTGCATCTGGAGCCTGAACTCGAGAAGCACATCGAGAGAAGGCCCGGGGCCCACGATTCTTCAGAAGAATCTTCGTGTGAGCCCGTTCAACATCTGCCGTTGTGGGTAATGGCCGAACACGCCATTCTCAAGGTCCAAGGCTGAACCGCACAATTCATCAGCGGAATCTCCGCAAGTGCCTGTGTCTCTGCAGGCTTGCCGGTGCGCGTTGAAGGGTCAGAGAGCCAGCAATCAGCAGAATCTCCGCCGGCGAGCCGGTCGAACGTGGCAACAGAACCGGAATGCCCGATGCGCAGGATTCCGAAACGACCTGCCGCATGGGACTTCCCAAAGCCGATAATGGTTTTGGAAGAGGCAGAAGCGCAAGATTCATCAGCAGAATCTCCGCATGGCCAGGGAGGTCGACAGTAGGTTCTGAAAGAGGCACACCTCAAATCTGGTTTGTATTTCGAGAAGGTAAAGAATAGCACTTGCAAGAAAGATAAAGAAGTATCCGATGAGAGAAAAGGGCTCAATGCTAGCCCATCGACCCGGGTAGGAGAAGATGAAGTCAAGTCTAGCGGTGTGAGTGATGAGATGAGAAGAGAAGAGAAGAGATTCTGACCTGGGGTCTAGGGGGCTTTTATATGTCTGCCAACAGCATGGGAGTCATTCTAATCCGGTGAATCAAGTGCAAGAAATGATTACATCCGGTGAATCCATAGAGAATGAGACATATAGAATGATGGATAGGCGTGTGAATGGGGTTGGCGTGAGGTTGTACGCCGAGCTTTTGTATGCTCACTATGCGGGTCTCTGCAGGAGACGTTGAATATCTCCTAGAGGCAAAGAGATGATGAACAGTGCTGAGAATCAAACAGATGTTGACCAACGCCGAGAGACAAAGGGATGATAAACATTGTTAAAGGAAATCATGAGCAACAAGCTGATGCCAACCTAGAAGTGAACCTCCCGATGGTCATGTCTATAGATGATGCACGCGTTGATTTGTTCTTAGTCATACAGGAATATCAGGAACATACATCCTACAGTATCTACATGTATACTGTATGAATACCTGCTCAAGAGAAAGAACCTTGGACCGAACCGTATCTGTACTGATTAGCATCAGATCATTGCAGTTGAGAGTGCAACTCACCCCTGAGGACACTGGCTTCCCAAAGCAAAGCTACCGCTCCTCATGTAGCAGATTTTCGCTTCCTGACACTCCACATTGGTGCAGTTGGGGGACTTTTCGCTCATCTTACCCTGATAAGCATTGTGCAAGCTCACCAGTTCGATATCTTTCTCCATAGCCTCCGTCACCCGATGCCAAAAGGTGGCATTCAAGGGGTCGTCCTTGTCCCAGCCTGCTGCGGGACCGTACGTGTCACGGGTTGAGTATTCAAACTGAAACGTGGGACCCGCTTCTATGAGTGACGGGTAATCGGATACATTGCTGAAGAAGGTGTAGGCCTCGTAAACGTTGAAGTCGCCAGTATCCACTTCGTACATCCTGAATCCGCTGTTCAGGTTCGTCAACGGCGTGATGCTTGGCACGATCCAGCCGGTTGTCAGCGCCGTGTCCTGGCTTTGCAACGTGCCGTTGTTGGCATAGTAGATCATGAACTGGTCCTCGTGGGTATGGCCGAAGAAGATATTGGCGACGACATGGGGCGAGTAGCGGTCCACAATCTGGTAGAACAGATTGGTGGGATCAGGGAGGGGATTGGAGCCGTCCCATCCGCTGAGAACATGTCCAATGATCCAGACACGGTCGCCGGCATCTTCAGCCGTTTGAAGCTCGTCAATCATCCAGGAAAAGACACCCGAGTTGTCGGGATTGGTGGAGTTGATGAAGTTGAAGTAGTTTTTGGCTAACCAGAAATCTGATAGAGTCAGTGCCTAGCATATTGACCAGTGCTCGGGTACGTTTACCAGTATTGAACGCAATAACGCGCAGACCGTAGTGAGTCTTGACAGAGTATCCACCGTACTGTGTGCGTGCCTCCTGCGCAGTCTTCTCATCGATCCATCCTTCGTGTTTCCAAAGTCCGGCAACATGCTCGTAGTTCCAACTCTGCTGTTCGCCCAGAGGCCCTGGAAGATTATGAGGAGCATTGATATTCTCGGGGCTGGTATCGTGATTGCCCAGCGCAGCAAAGACAGGTCCGGTCAGGTATTCTTTGAACATGCCATAGATGCTAGTCTCCGTGTACGCGAGATATTCTCGAGACATTTCCTGAACTGGATCATGCGACACAAGATCACCAGTGTAAAGAGACCAAGCCAGAGAATCATCGTCCTTTCCTTTTCCGGTCCCAGTCAAGGGCCCAATCGCCTGAAGCGCAGCCAGACCAAGATCATACGGCGTGTCACACTTGAAGGTCCCGTACGCCGGGGCAGGGAGGAGGACCTGGTCCCTCGAAGCAGAATTAAAGTTGTTATTGCGGCAGCACAATCCGGACGAGCAATTACCCTCGGAGCTGACCGAGTACCGCGGATCCAGGTGAAAGTCGGAAAGATGCAGCACCTTGACCCGCTTCCCGCTCGCCTTGGGAACGCGAGGATTTGCTGGCTTGGGCTTCGGGAAAAGATCGGAGGTGTCCAGTGGCCTCGTCGCTGGCTGACCGCAGAAGGACTTGCTCAATGCATGGCAAATATAGTCCCCATCAAGACCCTCGACATCAGCGTAGGCCAGCACTTGCGTCCAGACGGCGCCGAAGACCGACGCAGCATAGTCCTCTTCACAGGTGGCATTTGACTTGAAACTGAACTGCTTGCAGAGCGATACCATGGTGTCGGGCACTAGAGTCGGTGCATATAATGCAGCCGGTTTGGCTACGGCCAACACTGCCTTACATTTGTTGCAGCTACCGTGCGTAGCATTGCCATTGATGATGCTGGTCACATTAGCCACCACAGCTTGGATGAGGTCATGTTGTTGACCATCAGAGAGCTTCTTCGAAGGGGTTGGGAAGACCACTGGGTCGTTGTTCTCAGTTGGTATAGTGTTGGGGTTGGTCAGATTGTATGGGAAAGTTGTATTCAGCACAGGATCCTGAATCACTGGCTGGGGCTCCTGAGTGGGCTCCGCTGGGAGGTAATAGTAGGAGCTGTGCGGAGTGATGCAAGTCAGCTACTTCGCATTGGTACACTCATCCAGACTTACGAAAATGCGGATGTAGGAAATCCAGCCGGCGCAACATAAGAGGATGCGCCGGGAAGAGATGAAATATCCCCTTGACTCGGAACTGCCAGGAGAGAGGCTAGGACTGCCTGCCACTTCATTGCAGCCAGTAAAGACTTGACAGAATTATAACGGCAGGAAGAAATCATTCAAGGAAGTGTCGGGATTATACAATGGCATTGACTCAATTTCCCGCTCTGTATCAGCCTATATCTGAATCAAGCGCCACCAAGAATCCGCGATGCGATAAGGTAAACAAGCTGATTTCTCGTTTGGGACAACTTGGTGATGCACGTGGGAATGATCGTCCAATTGAATGGCAGATAGGATCTTGAATGAATTCATTTTCGATATCTATCTACCTCACTCTTTAGCAAAGTGTTCTGCTGTCAGATAATCTAACGATGTCAACGACCCCGTGGAGTCTGAGGTTTCATGCTCCATGCCTCTGTATCTATGTATGGAGTAAGGTATATTCCACAGGATACACATAATGTAACATCTGCAAAGTCAATTCCACCCTCAACCTGTCAGCTTTCCATATCCGAGACTGATCTGCGCGGTTATGATGTCATTGCTAAATATATATATATATATATATATAGTATAGCGGATCCGGTACATCCACGCTGCTCAAAGGCCGAGGCCAGTAGCAAGAACGGGCAGAGCCGATTCTATCGCTTGAGAATTCGGTAGTGTGGGCTTCAGATGTATATATTAACGGTTTCCTACGGGAGAAATAAAGACATCTACAAACTGACAGAGAACTACATCACGTTCAGTAGAAGATACCTTTGTATTGCTTTAGCCTATTTGATCTGTCGGATAGTCATATCAAAATGCCCGTCGTTCCCTCCCTCAAAGACTCAACATTCGACACCGACATCCGCAATCGTCACCTCATATACGACTATGCCGCACAGGACGCTCACGGCAACCCGGAAAAATGGCGCTATGAATTCTGGTTCTATAACGAGGACCGGGTCGTCTATGCCATCCACGGCGGGCCCATGGCCGGTCGTAAGAATTTCCAAGCAGCCACGTTCCAATGCATCCGACCCGGCGAGCTATGGCAGTGCAACTGGCTGGAAGAGACGGGGACCATCTGCTCGCTTGTATATGATATCCCCAGAAAGCGCATCTCTTCCTTGATGGGATTCTCCAAAGGACACTGGGAGAATGCCGAGGCTGCGCATGGGGACAAGCGGAATGCGGAGGACTTGGCGCGGTGGAGGGGTCTGGCGAAAATTGGGATTCAAACGGATCGGAAGCTCATGAGCGAGCAGGCGGAGATTGTTGAGGATTTCCGCGGACCTGGTGATTTGGAGCCGATTAACATGGACTGGCCGACACTGTAGGCGGCCGCCAAATGGTGCAGAGCATTGGCCGAGGACACTGGGTTATGATGACTGTGGAGTATATGGTCGATCTTGAAGGTATCGGAATGTGTGATAAGGGTTGATTCTAATATATCGTAACGTTTTTGAGTACAATTGTAACCAGAGCGGTTCCTCTCTTGTCATCTTATCAATAGACATGTTCCGTTCATCCGTTAGGATGTCGGCCCGCTGGCCGCTCAACACGTGAGGTCTTTGTCAAAGCCCCCATAGGTACCAAAAAATGAATGACCCTGTCCACTAGACACGTAGGCCGAGTATCAAGGGTTTCAGTGTCGAGATGTTCAGGAGTGGCATATGTAAGGTTCGAGTTCACCTGGACTAATGCAAACGAGAGGCACCCTGTACAGTTATGCGCTTCGGCAGGGGCATTGACCGACCCTTTGAACCGCAAAGGATCTGGTTCGACTGTGTTTCGGAGGATGCTCTCCAATGTTTCACTCTTGGAAGTGACAATCATGATATGCCACAAATGCATCATGATGACCGCGGGGTTGAGCTTTAAGGGTTGAACAGAACCCTAGCACGGCGAGTAATGAGCGTTCGATAGAGCCCTGGGACGGACTCAGTTTCGGCTGAACCATCGAGGATTGTATCAATGGATTGATCTTCCGTGCTGCAGTGTAGACGTGTCCCTTAGCTGAGTCTTTCATCAGCCGTCTTGGCTAGACGACGAACTCCCAGAAGAAGGTGCCTGGATGCAAACAAGCTCAATCATAATGTCATCCTTGCCGTGCAGCAAATAGGCGTTGGAAGACGGGGCTCGGCTAAGAATGGCAACCGCTACCTGCTCGGCTTGTTGACTGGACGTCATATTATCGATGAACCACGTCTTCCACGGGCTTCCGCCGAACCCAGGCGTCTGTATCGTAGCAGTCTTATCAGGCTCGGTCTCTTGAGCGAATGCTATGAAGTGTGAGCTAATGTCAGAGCACAGATAGGCAAAATCGGAGCCAAGAGCCACGTACCCTGCACAGGCAATGATTGCACATCAAAAAAGGGCGGCGGGCAATTGGAGAGCACAGGTGGATTGACGAGCATTTGATTGATGACGGTTTGAAGAGGGTACGTATAGTCCCCCTTGGCCGTCAGTTCATACATAGCCCCTTTGAGCAACTCCTTCAGGTCGTGTGTACATTGGGGACCCCAAACACCATCGCAGCCGTTACTAGGCCCAGAAGGCGTCCCTGTCAGATTCCCTACCCGGAAAGCAATCTCGGAGGTTCGATTTGCAGTAATGACGGAAGTGTTGATGCGATGTGGGTCGTATGCAAGCCAGAAACTGGCCTTGACCATAGGATCTTGCCCTTTGCCCGAGGGATTCGCGTCGAAGCCATAGTACAAAGCGATATCATCGAGGAATAGAGGAGGGAATTCGAAGTTGATGGCTGTCTGAGCGAGAGGATCGACGCAGCCACCGTCCCAAAAGGTGCAGAACTGGGCGATGGCTGACGGCAAAGCGACCAACACCAATATTAAAAGCATCCAGCCAGGTCGAAAGACCGACCCTGATCCGAGTTGGACAGACATTGATGATTTCACGACCGTCCAGACAAAGCGGTTCCACAAGAGCGATCGATATGTTTATGGTATCTAGATGAGACTGATGATGGAGCAGCGGCCAGAGACGACTGGCATGCTCATTACCGTGTGGCTGATGTTATGGTTGTTGACAAAGCCGGTCGGTCGGAGAGGTTGTCGAAGGGATAGACGGAACAAGGAGCGGAGGGATGAATGCGAAAATAAGGCCGGGTGGGGGAGATAAATAAGTAGAAAGACCCTTTAAATCATGATAAAACCCACAACAATAATACCACTATCGCTATGGGGCAAAACGAGAAAGGGAGTACAGAAACCAGAAACAGATAGATAGATGCTAGTGAGAGTCCCCTCTGCGCTTAGACGGCACTGGCGCACACCGTCCGTTGTGCAAATGTGCCTAAACTGTTCTCGTGTAAGCAAATGTCAACTATTGGTGCTCTCGCGAACCACTTTGTCCACCGACCAGGAAGGCCAAGGACTTAAACTGGACAAGGGTTCGCTTGATATTACAGGAGTGAGTTGAGAACTAGAAAGGATCAATGGTGGAAGAACATGGCCTGACGACGAAACACATGTGCAGATAGGGAAATAGGAAGATGAGTAAGGTTGACTCCTGAGGAGATTAAGGCCGTAAAGGAGGCTGAGGCACAAAGCTTCAAGCCGTGTATTAAGGCCACGGGGGGGTCAGTCTACCTACTCAGGTACCTCTTAAGAAAATCAGAGATCATACGCAATTGTAAACATGACAATAGACAGACAGTGGCCGATGAAAAGCATGATGATGATGACCCTGCTGACCTTCTCAGACGGTCAGTGATTCAAACAGATCATTTTTCAAAATTTGAAATCGGATTATTATTCTCTCCAATTCAATAATAATAATCCACAAAAACCAGGGCTTGTGGAGCCCAGGATTGGCCGCAGGGCTCAAGAAACCCCGAAGAGGTGCCTTTTTTTCCACTTGCACAATTCCAGTGGACATTCTTGGCAGGTCAGCCCTGCTTGACCAGCCACGCTAACGGGGGTTGCCCCCGCATATTTCCGGCCAGATGTGGCAGGCCTGGCGGTGATCTCAGACAGTGTGCCAGGAGTGGACCACTCAGGGAGCAGAGTCTGCACATATTTGGGTACTTGAATCCTAGGCGTCCCACTTGGTGTGTTTAGCTTGCCAGCCACCCCACCGCAACTTGATTGTTTTCTTTCTACGCTAGTAAGTTATTTTACGATGACTGAAGAGATAATTTGGTGCTCTTAAGAGTGTTTTATTTGAGTTCATATGGCTAGGTGATATTTTGATTGGAACAAGCCAGTAATGTAACCTGGAACTGTTATCCTCAGTCAATTGACCAGAAGATGGTCTGTATGCATGAAGCCACCTAAGTGATTCTTTGTACCTCGGTAACTGCGAGTGTTACCTCATTTACCTTATCAGTAATGGATGCTTACTGATAGTGGAAAGTCAGGAATTACTAATAAATGACCTGCCAAATCAGCTATGTCTGTAGCTGAGCATTAAATTCTATACAGTCATCTTTGTACCACCGGTCAAGCCCACCATCAGGATATATCTATTCAGTTATGAACACATTCAGCTTATATTCATGCAGAAAGCCAGTCAAGACTGAAGTTGCCAGGGCAATCATACGACCACTTTTCTCCTTGAGCATAGGAAAGTCCTGAAGAGGCAGTTGAAATTTCCCAAGCCAATGATATTAGGAACCTGATCTGGTTCCAAAGATGTCAAGATGAGTATGGAATATATACTGTTCTGACCTAAACACCTAACCCTTATTCCACCGGTTCACCCTCAGAACTCCGAAGGACTTTACTTATGAAGGCACATGTCACCGTGGCCAGTGCCGATTTTGACTCAATTGTCGCTGATGACCCACTGTCAACTGTCAAGTGTCACCATTCTGACAGCCTGTTTCTCCTCTTACATTTCAGATAGCCTAATGAAAAATATGTCTTAGTTGTAGACCAACAGTTGTATCCTGCATCTGCAGCCTTGAATGTTTCAAGCCCATTAGGGTAGCGAAAACAGACATGAAGTCATCTGCTATTTTAATGCAGCCTCCAGTGCGTCATAGGCTCACAGTTACAGGCTAAATTGGCGCTACGGCTGCCCACCAAATTACCATCAACAAAATGGCTGTTTAGCCAAGTACAGCCAGTCAGCCACTTTTCCCTATTCCAGTCTAGCAGGCAATTGACTTCAAGGTTCAGCGGAAATGACCCGTTCAAGTGCTGGACACCTCGGGTTCAAAACTTCAAATGGGATGGTGTGAAAATTCTAGTTCCATTTGGTGATTTTGGCAGTGGAACCTCGAAGCTAACGGCGGAGGTACCTACAGTATCCGATAACACCGCCCTCCAATCAAGAGGCGGCTTAGAGTTTGTAGGTCTTTCTACGGAGTACTGTGAACTCTTGGCCAATGTGCGATAAAGTATGTACTTAAATTGACTTTAGGCAGCACGGTTTTGCTGGGGTGCTTGGGATAGGAGATCAAAGATGAATGAAAAGAAGAAATATTACCGCATCGATATGGTTGGCAATGCTGGTAGCAGAATGATATCAGAAGAAATGCGCTCACGACCCGACAAGTAACTTTCCCGGCAAACTCCATAATGATGGCTTCGGATGCAGGATCTCCCGGGATCAGCTAGTCATTTTATCTTCAAGAGATTTGACCCGGGCTTTGATCACCGCAGCTGACTCCGTAATTGATCTGGTCAGCTTCCGGATCTTTTCCAGCTCTCGTGTCCTGTTTCTCTCGGCAAGAGACACGATTTTCCGCACTGTTTCAACCTCTGCTGCCTCCATATCCGTCAACCCGCGCATACTGGGATCCCGATTATTCTGGTGGTGTCTCTCGGCAGTGCGGACCCTGCATACAGCCTTGACAAGAGGCAGAATAGCTGGCTGATTAAAGGTAAGCCACGCCGCGTTCTCCGGCGTTGCGCCCTGGTGGTCCCAGATGATGTCCATTGCTGCTGCGCGCTCGGTGAACTTCTTCAGACTCTGAGCGCCATCAGGCACTGGAGCTACGTTTTTGACCCAGTCGAAGTCAACAGCTGGGACCTTTCCACCACAATCAGATGTCTCTTCACTGTCCTGGTCGCTGGGGTTCTTCCTAGTGCGATTTTTTCTGGCCCTCTGCCATGCCTCGTATTGCACTCGTTCATCTATTGTCATCTGTGATACGGCTATGCTCTCTGGATCTCTCAAGTGCTGAGAGCCCATCTGCAAGCCTGTGAACAGTGCTAGGCTGTTCCCGTCGCTGACCACTTTGGCTAATGCTCTCATCTTCTTGGCCGTTGTTTCGAGGTCGTCATTCACTGATGGCACTGGGAGTATCTTTAGATTCTCGCCAAGATGCTGCAGATCTGTAGGATCTATCGCAGCCTCTGGATTCTGGGTAATAGCATTGTTACTTTGCTCATCAGAACAGCCGCCTGTAACTTGATTCCGAAGTGGTAGGGAATGCGTAGACATTGTTGGTAATGATACAGCTGATGGCTCTGAGGGACTGTGTGACATGACGGCAGCGAATTAACTGCTCGAGGTGGATAGGTTGTTTTCTTGAAGTTGATTTCTAATGAAACTGGATGAAGCCTCTCAGTCAAGTCACTGGCTTGATATATATGGGAGTTCCCAATGTCAATGTCATAAACAGGTCCGATGTAGATGACCCACGTTTGACAGGCAAGGGGTACCTCAGTCGTTCCAGCTCTTATACTTGGCTGAGCATCTCATCTTGAGATGAAAATCACACTCTCCGAATGGAATGTCAGATGTGATGGGGTACAATAATGGAGGGTGTCTGATCAATGAAGGGAGGGCCAGATCTATAAGAATGAAGCTAGTCTCCACCAAATTCATGTGAGGATGACTAAGTCATAACGAAGAACTGCTTCACTACAGTAGCAAGTTGAAGAACAAAACAATCTAAGACTCTTTCGTTTTCCGGTCAAAGGACTCAAATCTTTGAATAAGTGAATGTATGTAAAAGATAACAAAAAATTAAAAGTGAGATGCATGTGTATTGTACAACAGGTGCCTACCGCGAACCGAATAAGGTCACCACATTTGCCATATGGCCAGCTAATATACATTGATGTTCAGTTCATCAATTTTCATCATGTGAAAACTTCAGTTGGATGACAAGGATATTGGGATGAAGATGACAGTAAAGCAAGTCAAACATATAGGAGAGTTTCCAAAATTCGACAGGTCCCAAACGCCGAAACCCCACGCTCGAATGCTGCAATAAAAGAGAGTGCCCCGTGGCTAATCCTACTCATATGTCAATCAGTTGTCGTCATCATCCTTAAAGGCTCGCTCTTTGAGGCCATTCCCTCTAAGCCAGACACGCTTCCACGGACCATCGGGTCCGAAAGATGCTTCCCGATCCTGCCGCATCCCCTCAAGGACAGCGACTATACCACCATTCCGCAACCGCTCCAGGACGACGTTCATGCCTTCCTTGCTTTTGAGCACTGCATCTCGAGTTCGACTCACGCCAATGAGCTCAATGGTCCTCTGAATTCCAGCAGTGGACAGCGAGGAGAAGAAACCCTTCTTAGGCGTCTCTTCATCAAACTCAATGGTCTGATCGGCAGTAGGCATGGTCTTCCTTTTCCCAAGGAACTTTCCTTGTCCCAACCGAGAGCGAAAGGTGACCGTGGTTTTCACCTGGGTCTGCTCGTTTCTCTGAGCATCTAGTGAAAGTCCTTGTAGGCTTTCGAGCGAACCCTCAATTGGTTGGCGTGTGTAGAGCTGTTTTTCAACGACACTCAGAATACCCGTCCATTCCATGTTCCGCGATTCAGTTTCCATCCAGCCCTCCTTAATGTCGACGACGGTAGTTTCAAGTATATAACTCTGGCCAGAATTGTCCGAGCCCCCAATTCCTTTCGGAAGTAGTTTCAAAATACCTGACGGGACCTTTGACTTCTTCAAGTGAAGACGAACTGTATGAAGCCGCTCCGTCTGCGGATCCACATAACGGTCGATCACATCGGTGGTCAGAACATGGCGAGAATATGGATTGGGGTAGCGGAGAAAGTAGGCCAGCGAGACGGCAGGGAAGGAATAATCGTATGTAAAGACATTCTCGAAGAATTTCATGGTTGCTGATGCATATAGGACGTTGTAGAATTGAGATGACGATGCTGGATCTGATGTGGCGATGGAGGAAATCGACGCCTGAATAAGATGGGTGCTCGTCTGATCCTTGACCTTTCTCAGTGGTCGGAAAGCAACTCCTGTTAGAAGAATTTCTGTCAGCTTCCGAAAGCTCTGGCGCTAGCCCGATTTGCAACGCGGGGATGCCAAGGAATCCACGTGATTTATTTATCCACTAAATAAAGAGGCACACCGCCCAAATTCTGCCACCAGGCCTGAGTCATCCACCAAACAGTTTAGAGGGGCAGGAGAAATTTATTGACCAGTCCTCTAAGATTGTTACCACCTTCTCCTACTCAGAGTGACTCGCCGCAGCGCATTGGTCGCCTTCTCGGTCATCCGTTTTTATATCTCTGTCTCGCTGTTACCGAAACCCTCACTAAAACATGGCCGACGAACCTGGACAACCCCCCGCTCTCACCACATTGAGCCTGGCCGAGAAGGCCCCCGCGTCCAAGGCAGTCGCCCAGATTGTGACTCCTTTCGATGTTTCCGGTGGTGTCGACGAGTCGGGCAAGCTTCTCCCAGTCGACTATGATAAGCTGGTTCGGGAATTTGGGGCGACTCGTATTTCCAAAGAACTGCTCGAGCGCTTTGAAAGAGTAACTGGCCGTCGGCCTCATCGATTTATGCGCAGAGGAATTGTGTTCAGCCACCGTGACCTGAACTTGATCCTTGATCGTTATGAGAAGGGACAACCGTTCTACCTCTACACTGGGCGTGGACCTAGCAGCGACAGCATGCACGTCGGACACACAATTCCCTTTGAGTTCACCAAGTACGTCGTCCTTTTTCCAATTGATGCTTCCGAAAACGAATTGACCAGGATGACTTCACCAGGTGGTTGCAGGATGTCTTCGATTGCCCTTTGGTTATTATGCTTACTGACGACGAGGCGAGTTTTATGTCTATGACGAGTTCTACCTTTGCGTCTAACCAGTTTGTAGAAATACATGCATTCACAAAAGATCGAGGTTGACGATGCTAAGAAATATGCGAAAGCAAATGCGAAGGACATCGTTGCAGTTGGGTTTGATATGAAAAAGACATTTATTTTCAGCGACTTCGATTTCGTTGGCGGGGCATTCTATGAGAACATCTGCAGAATGGCGAAGAGGATCACAATAAACTCCGTCCGGGGAACCTTTGGCTTCAACGACAGCAACAACGTCGGAGAATTCCACTTCTGCGCGACTCAATCGGCCACTGCATTTGCAACCAGCTTCCCTCATATCTTCGGCACCGACAGGAAGAAGGTCTCGTCGATTCCTTGCCTGATTCCCTGTGCGATCGACCAGGACCCGTACTTCCGTCAGTGCCGTGAACACGCCGAGAAGATGAAGTACAAGAAGCCCTCGTTGATCCATGCCATCTTCCTTCCCGCTCTTCAAGGTCCTGGCTCAAAAATGTCTGCGAGCGTCGAGACATCCGCCATCTACATGAACGATGCCCCCAATCGAATCAAGAACAAAATCAACAAGTACGCCTTCTCTGGAGGACAGGATACAGCTGAGCTTCAGCGTCAACTGGGCGCCAACACCAAGGATGACGTCCCGTTCCAGTACCTTACGTTCTTCATGGAAGATGATGAGGAACTGGAGCGAATTCGTGCGGCTTATGAGAAGGGAGAGATGCTTACCGGCGAGGTCAAGCAAAAATGTATTGCGGAGCTACAGGCTTACGTTCAGGCCTTCCAGGAACGCAGGGCCGAGGTCACCGACGAGATAGTTGCTGAGTTCATGCGGCCCCGGCCCCTCGAGTGGAAAGGCAACCCCAACCCCATCGTTGTTGAGAAGAAATAGAAGTTCCCCACTTTGAATAAATAGCCCTGCTTTTCAGCGTGCACTTGCCAGTTTCGTCAAGCGCCTGCTTCCAGCAAATGACATGAAGAGATGATAGATATGAATGAACATTGACCGTCTCACCGTTTCATCCTTGATCGATTTAATGAGGACTCACGTAACAATGTTAGCCAAGGCTTGCCTTGTTGGGCATGTGCAACCTTGGGATTAACAGTAAGTTGGCCACATCGATCTCTCATGGTTTAGGCTCGTCCAGCAGGATTCTACCTCGGAAAAATCCTCTCACACCATTACTGAGCCAACACTCTTCACCGTCGATCAGCTCGGCGACGGTGATCGCCTGTTCGGAGCAGAATCCTCGAGCCAACGCATATCGCCTTGTTGTACCCGCATTACCTCCACTGGAAAGAGGTGGCGTGATCCAAGCCGGCCCGGCATCCTCTTGATTAAGCTTTACTTGTGTTGATGCGGACTTCCGTCGTCTGAAATATGCAGTCGTTATGCTACCCTCCATAATTTGCCCGTGAGGGTTCACAATTAACACTTCAGCCGGATCTTGTGGGGAGGTGATCTTGGCTCGAAGTCGCGCAGCAGTGTAATGGTCTCGGGAGGTGGTCTTATGCGTTGTGAAGGGTGACGGCACAGTTCTTTGAGAGTCTACCGTGACAAGCCAGGGCGTGGTCTGATTCATTTCGGAAGGCAGGAGAAGGCTCAGCGGATCAATTGGCAGGGCTGCGTTGACCTCGACGGTGCATGTGCCATCCCTGTCAATGACAATGCGCAGACGCCAAGGTTTCGTCCGGTCTGGTATGAAGCTGTTGAGGTGTTCGGCGAAGGACTCGACGTCTTGTTGCAGGAACGTAGCCGCTTTGCTCCAGCCGAAACATTCTGCAGCTTTTAGAAGTCGTTCCTGATGATAGGGGAGAAGGTAGTAAGGTGATCGCAGGGGATCTGGGTAGGCATCGGTGGGTTGTGTTCTAAGCAACTCAGGAAGCGCAGGTTCGTAGCGAAGAGAGGAAATTATCTGGAAGGACTCCGAGTCTTGCGACGGTGTAATTGTAGCCATTGCGTCAGCTAAGCACGAAATGGACGCAGAGCAAGTGAAGCATGGACCTTGTGCTCAATGGTAGGTATACTGCGACCGCGGTAAGGAGGAATGAAACAGAAAATGTATGCGACGGTCAACGACAAAGTCACTAGTGGCGACAGGGCCAGTTCTCTAGCATATTAACACTGTGTCTTCTCATAAATCATTTCCATTCATTAGCGATCGGTTTTCTTGGGCGATGATGATATATGGTGGAGCAGAGTAAACAGGGGGAGCGTGATTGGCCTGGTGTGCTCGAGAGCTCGGAAGGGCGCTGCAGTACGCCGGAACTTGGAACATCGAAACGCATAACTTTTTCAGGGCCGCATCATCTCTCCCATCACTCTCCCTTCTCCGAAGCCTAAAAAAAGAGCAGCGTTTTGCTGACAAGCACCCTACGCTTCATCAAGGACCGGTATGTCATTATTTAATTGCAATTACATTCCCCAGTTCATCCTTTCTCCAGAATTGTTCGTTTTCAGGTTGCTCACTGCCGTTCCCTGTGATATGCAGAGTTAGAATTCAGGTTCCTCTTTGCCGGGTCATCATGTCGAGCGAATCGCCATTACCCCAGCCAGTCAAGAACGTCGTTGTTGACACAACTTCCCTGCCCGCTTCATCATCCTCGTCAGTCTGGGACCGCATCTCGAAATGGGTGTCCGAAAATAAGGCGCTGGTCTATACCATTGCTGGTGTTGCCGTGGTCGTGACCAGCGCAGGTGTTGTATACTACCTCTCCGACTCCGGCCGGACCGCCCCAGCGCCGGCACCCACAGAAAAGAAGAAGAGCAAAAACCAGCGACGCAAGGAGAAGAAGAAGGCGGAGGAGGAGGAAAAGAAAGCAAAGGCCGCCACCGTTCAAGAGGGTATGCCAAATCCGACGGCTCTTTGCGCACCCTCTAAACACAGTATCGAGCTGATAACACTCTAGAACAAGCTCCCAAGAAGGTCGAGGAGGTTTCGGAAGAGCTGCCTGAAGTCGACGAGACGACTGTTGATCAGTTGTCGGATGAGGTGTGTTGCTGATCCTATCCTTCCTGCTCCTCCCGCCGTCCGCTTGCCCGAATGCTCACAATTGTTATTTGCAGACCCGGAAAGCTTATGCTGCCAAGCTCAAGGCCGCTGGAAACAAGGCTTATGGCTCCAAGGACTACAACAAGGCCATCGACCTCTACGGAAAGGCGATCATTTGTAAACCCGACCCTGTCTTTTACTCGAACCGCGCTGCCTGCTACAATGTCCTTTCAGAGTGGGAAAAGGTCGTTGAGGACACTAGCGCTGCACTGGCAATGGACAGCGAGTACGTCAAGGCCTTGAACAGGAGAGCTATTGCGTACGAGCATCTTGAGAAGTACAGCGAGGCCCTTCTCGACTTCACCGCCAGCTGCATTATCGACGGATTCTCCAATGATGTCAGCCGCAACGCGCTGGAAAGACTTCTAAAGAAGGTTGCCGAGAGGAAAGCAAAGGCTATCTTGGAAGCCAAGGGTCGCAAACTCCCCAGCCCTACCTTCGTTTCCAATTACCTGCAGAGCTTCCGCCCCCAGTCTCTTCCCGAAGGTCTCGAAGAGTCCGCAGATCTCAGTGAGGAGTCTGGCAAAGGTCAGCTGCGCAAGGGTCTGGTCGCCATGACCAAGAAGACCGGAGACGGCTACGAAGAAGCTGCCGGTGCTTTCGAGAAGGCCTTGGAACTCGGTGATCTGGGTGAATACGAAGCGTTGGCCCTCAACATGAGAGCCACCTTCACCTACCTTGAGGGCAACGCTCAGTCGGCCCTGGCTGATCTTAACAAGAGTATTGAATTGCAGCCACCATTGGTGCAGAGCTATATCAAGCGCGCCAGCTTACACCTCGAGCTTGGTAAGTCCATAACGTCTTTGTTGTGAGCATCATCCATGTGTTTCTGACCGGTTTTAGGCAACAAGGACGCCGCAGCCGACGATTTTGAGCTTGCCATCACCCACAACAAGGACGATCCCGATATCTATTACCACCGCGCCCAGCTCCACTTCATCCTTGGAGAATTCGCCGAAGCCGCCAAGGACTATCAGAAGTCGATCGACCTCGACCGCACCTTTATCTTCTCTCATATCCAGTTAGGTGTGACGCAGTACAAGATGGGCTCTGTTGCCTCAGCAATGGCTACATTCCGTCGGTCCGTGAAGAATTTCGAGGACGTACCGGATGTCTACAACTACTATGGCGAGCTTCTTTTGGACCAGCAGAATTTCTCCGAGGCCATTGAGAAGTTCGACAAGGCCGTGGAGATGGAGAAGCAGAGCAAGCCAATGGGAATCAACGTCCTACCCCTGATCAACAAGGCCCTTGCGCTGTTCCAGTGGAAGCACGACTTCCAGGAAGCCGAGAACCTTTGCCAGAAGGCTCTAATCAGTAAGTCGTTAACATGGCCTTCTGTACGTGTTGAGAATTCACTGACTTGCGTCTTAGTCGACCCTGAGTGTGATATTGCTGTGGGAACCATGGCCCAACTCCTTCTTCAACAGGGCAAGGTCTCGCAGGCGCTCAAGTACTTTGAACGGGCCGCAGAGCTGGCTCGTACGGAGGCGGAGATCGTCAACGCCATCTCGTATGCCGAGGCCACTCGGACACAGTTGGAAGTCCAGGAGAGGTACCCTCAGCTGGCAGCGCGTCTGCAGTCCATGGGTGCTGGCTTGGGCGGACCTCCTGGTCTGTGAAGAGTCACTGAGCCACTTCAATGAGGCACACACACCAAGAACTCTTTCGCACCTTCTACATAGACCACTTTTTGCCCCGAGGGCTTTTGCGAGACTAATCGTTTCCCTCCATTCTATCCTTCCCTTCACTGTCAAAACCTTCTAATTGGCAGCAAGCCATGCGAGCAATACCTCCGCCTTTATAATGGACCGTTTTCTTAGCCCACTCTGATATGTCCAGGGGGTGCCCGGTCTCCTCACTTACGAGTCTGTACCTACTACCACATGTTTTGCGTTTCGTTATATGCGTTTCCCCTCTTTATCTTAAAAGATCCCTTCTCTGATTATTCACCTATCATATGTCCTCCTTTTCTGTTTCTTGTATGTTTTGGTCGTCTGCTTGTTTACGAAAAGTGCTCGCCTCCCACTATGGAGGAATCAGCATTGTGGCCGGAATGCTTGAGTATGTTGGACGGCTGGAACTTCGTTTCTGACAAGGGACGGCGGTGGAAAGGATTTCACTTGTACCATAGTAGTAAGCGGGTGGGCAGTAGGAAATACAGTATGTTGGTTGTCTTTTTCCATGTATGCTATATCTACTTGCGTAGATCTTTACACTCTTACATATCTAATATCTAGTCATTATTGTTTCTGGTGTACGAGAGGTACTATAGATTTCCCCCGTCTTATCGCCAGCCTGACTGCCTAGACTAATCCTTATCACCTGACGGGGGTGGACCACGGCAAACCCCACCTCTCCCTATCAGGGTGCTACTAGACTAGTCTACCTTAAGTAAGGAAGAGGTAAGGTCGGGTAGTCATTGCGTATCACCAGCATCAGCGTCACCATCTCAGAAGGAACTGTGGTTCACTCTTTTCACTCGTACATCATCATTATCACTCGTAAAATAGTTCCTGCTTGTCTTGATGACTCACTAAAGAGGATCTTGAATCCCCTCAACTCTGCGTTGTTCGTTGTCTTAGATATCCGCAGTCAGCTGCTAAGCCTGCTAAATAAGATACACTTCGTTATCCACATCTCCACAACTCCTTCCTTATCAAGCCGGGTATTGTTGGTTGGTGGTTCGACCTGCTGTGCCGCCGTGATTGTTCGAGCATCTATCAATCACTGTCTCGGCCTTGGGTATCGACAGCCTAGATCAACTTTCCAGGCAGCCATTCTGAGTCCACGTCTTCTACCCACGGAAATCATATGTGACTACGGCGTTGCTTGTCCACGTTTCTCCGCCTGACACCGACCGTCTCTTTACCTCAGGCTGATCCCGTACACTTCCTCCTCTTACCCCTCCCTACCTTAGCTATCTTCCCGCAATCGACTTGATCGCCTTATTGCAACGACGTCGTATCGAAACCCTTTACATTTACTCATCGAAGCGACCAGGGCTTACGACTGTTCAACACTTTTCCAGGTCACCTGTCAAAGTTATCGAATCTTGTGCTTACAACGGTGAAGGCGTTCTCTTCGTTAGTTGTGAGTGATAAGCAACACTTGCTCCCTTACACAGATACTCAAGGCTCGACCTCCACGAGTCGACTGGCCGAACCTTCGTCATGCCTGATAAGCAGGGTATGTATCCCACCGTTATCTTGTACAGAGGAAGAGCACTTGACTTACTTGTCCTTGTGTTGCCAGCCGTTGTGACTCTTTACCCGCTCTTCCAGCCAGATGTCCTGCCATTCCGCTCCCTAACGTTCGCTCCCGATATCGAATTTGTGAAGATTGGCCGGGCTTCCAAGCGGGAAGCCAAGGGTCTCGTCCCCGCTCACCATAATGCATTGTTCGAATCAAGAGTTATGTCCCGGGATCATGCGCAGTTGAGGGTGTCCTTCGAAAAGAAGGTAGGTGATGTCAAGGCAACCCCGTCCCCTTGCATGACGTTTCAACCCTTATGCAACATTTTTCGTACTAATGCTATTGAGCATAGGAGGTCTACATACGGGACAATGGCTCCATGCATGGTACTTGGGTCAATTGTAAAAAGATAGCGGCCGACAAGGATGTCCCAATCCACAGTGGTGATGTCGTGATATTTGGTACTGAGGTTATACGTGGCGAGGGTATGCCCTCTGTCTCAATAGTGATGTCAGACATTCGCTCACTTACCTGCTCTCTCTAGATACGTATCCACCCATGAGGGTTCGCTGCGAGTGCCAGTGGTTTGACCATGAGTATGTGGCTAATTCTTTTAGTTTCTGTCGAGGATCGTTTACTAACACAGTAACCTTGGCAGTGAGGCGGCTTCGAAACCCCCAAAAGCGCAGGATAACCTGAAGACAAACACTTTCTGCGTTCCTGACGACGACGATGAGGTAATTGAGATTGTCGACGAGGCCCGGATGGACTCTCCATCGACTGGATCTTACGTGCCAGACGACGCAGACCTTTCTTCGGACTCTGATCATCACCAATCTGCCGGCAACTCCACGCCCATGACCTCGCCTCTGAAAAAGGACGTTTCTGTGGAACTGGTGGAAAACAAATCCTCTGCACCCGCCACTGATCTTCAAAATAATGTGGTCAGACCACAGCAAAGTCCCATTGATCTTGACGAAGAGAACAATGAACATCCTCTTGTAACTCCTCGGATGACTCCGCCGTCTGTTGAGGACAATTACCAAGGTTCCTATACCGGTATAGCTGAAGATATGGGCAGCATCGATTATGCTCCAGATACTGAGCCCGCGCTTGCTGGTTACAGTCGAGGAGACTCGGCCACTGGATCTGATGGTTGGGAAGAAAGTGAAGAGCAAGACGACTCCGACGATGATTTGATGTCACACTCGTCTCTCGGCGTTGACACTGATGGGTTCGTTAGGGAGGCCGATGCTATGGCATCCAATGTTCCTTCGGCTTCAATGATCTATGAATCACTAGTGGCAGTGGCTGTGAGTAAGGGAGCCCAGTCGCATGAGGAGAACAGATGGCTACCCGCTCAAAATGATGCACCTTGCTCTACAGCGGTTACCAGTAGTGAGCAAGTTAGTCTCCAGCCCGCTGCTCCAACCCTGAACAGCTGGAATTCCACGGCGAACGAAGATTCGACCGAGTCGACTCCCCTCAAGTTCGGCTGGTCGTCCATCCCACAGCCCGTCGGAGTCTCCAATCTGGCGTCACGGTCCAGTGGAAAATCGCTCGATCACTCACTTGACTGTTTCCATCACTCTACGTCGTCATCAAGCGCGGAAGAATGTTGGCCGAACGTTGGCTTTCATCCTATCGACCCTTTAACGCAACGTGAAAGCAATGACAGGGCTAGATCGCAAGATCACCGGACGTCAGCTGCTCCTTATACTGATGGACCATTCGTCAACAGTCAGACACATACAGCTTTTGATGAGTTTGAAAACGGACGTAAAGTTCACGCTACCGTTGCTACTAACACTAGTCAGCCAAGTCGAGAACAACTCTCTAATGAAGAGGGCGTCGAGTCTCGGGACAACAGCAGCCGCATAGATGTGCAGTCAATGCCTCATTTAGTCTCATCCACGGCCGGTTCAGGAGCCACACGGGACTCCAATACACGCCTTTCTATCGCTGATATTGTTGATACTTCAGAGTGGGCAGCAACATATAACGTCAAGCCGTCGCGAAAGAGGAAGGCTCCTGAGATGGAATCGGACTCGGAGGAGCTTGTTCAGGACCTTGCCGGGCACTTCCCTCATGTCACTTCCGTCGACATTTATGATTTGCTTGACAAGCAATTTGCCAGTGGGTCTGCAGAGTCATTCTCTCAAGACGCTCAGCCACAAGTTGCACCCGTTGATCTGGACGCATCCCTCTCGCATCTTACGGTCACTCAGAATCTCAATGATGCACCCAAAGCTGCCAAACCTGCTGCTAAAAATGAACGGCCGTCGAAGAGGCGAAGGGTTTCGGGCGCAGGAAGCTTGGGAAGTCATGTCGCTAGTGCTCTTCTCGGCGCAATGGTTGGTGGCTTGGGCACAGTCGCTCTTCTAGCCTCACTCCCCACTGACTACTTCGCTTAAGATGCTTGACGGGGAGTGCAGCCGCCGGCCTTTTCCTTGCCTCTCTCCACGTCTCCTTTCCTTCATATATTTGCTTCTCTCATTTCTCCCCTCCTGCCAGACTGAATTTCTTTTACCCTGGCATTTCTTTCAACGAAGTCGGTCGTTTGGTTTCTGGGAATTTTTGATCGTTCCAAGGCGTTTATTCTACCCCCGGATGGCTTGGCTTTTGGGAACCTTGTTGCTCTACTGAGGATTTGTCGAGAATTTGCGGGATCACTCACCGCTGGTGCGGGCGTGTCTCCTTTTATTTGTCCTTAAGGAAGAATCTTACAATGAGATATGTTTATGATACATCTTCCGCACTGGTAGCTTACTGCAGAGACCCAGGCATAATTTGCGCAGTTTCTATGCCGACCATTCTACTGAAGCAGTCACATTCTTGCTTAGGATTTCATTTCACCCGTGACTCCCAACGCCAGCTGGCAATGCATGGTGTCTGTTATCGAAGCTGAGGGCTTGCAATCAATGAGCATATTGGATTCCTCCGGTTCTCGGAGCTTCTGGTCAGGATTCTAACCCATGTATAAGCCCGATAATGGTCCCTCTAATCTAAGGACATGGATTGGCTATAACATACAAAACGAATGTTATCAAAGATTGGCTGCCTGATACTGAGGCCAGATGTCAGCTGATCGCAATCTGTTCGGCGATTCCTCGTGTGCTTTGGCTTTGTGCAACATCACCACCATCACCTCACCAACGCCAAGCGTAAAGGAAGGGACTCTACGGTACGCATGGTAGCCTGGTAGGTCAAGATGCGGCGGAGATAATATCCAAGAACGCAGAGACCTAGAAAAGTGGATCATTGGTTAGAGGTGATTTCCTGCCTCAGCCACATCATTCTTTGGCTGGAGATTTCGAGCAAGGTTCCGATGGCAGGTGGAATGACACACGAAGCCAAGGTGAGGCCCTCTCTAACGGATGCTTGCATATTCGCCTAAGCCCCACCCATGAATAGGTACTATGAATACGACATATCAGTTTCCTGGGAATAATCGGTGAGCGCGCAAGGTTCGTCTGAGTTGTCTTTTACAGGGACCAGGCTAGCGAGCCAATTAGCTGCAACATCACTTCGACTGCAAATGCATCTCACATTTGCTGTGAGAAGGGCTTCCTGGGTGACCATGTTTCATTTGATGCCTTACGACCTCAAGGACATGTGATCACTCGATCTGCAGGTAAAGTGCCATGCATCTGATATGAGGCACAGAAGGTTTTCCTTGGTACAAAGACTCCAAGTCTGTACACGGACTGCTGCCACCATGCCGCTAGTAAAATCGTTAGACTCGCTATGCGGTTTCCACAGCTCGTATGTCGGGCGGATACCTGCATGAGACCACATCTTCGCATTACGAAGTGAGATCTCAGGCGCAGTGCTGAGACTGCTCACGAGACCATTATGAGAGATACTCGTTGCCTTTCTCACACAGGCACTCACTTTACTAGCCCGGAGATCCGGTATGTTGGATCGACTATGATGGAGTAACCAACCATATCCCAGACATTTCGATGCAAGCGATTGGGGTTATAGAAGCCAGGTCATAACCAACTGTCGATCTATCCAACAGCGTCCTCTATCATGTCCTCCTACAGGCAGACATACTTTTACTAACCTTGCAGTAGCTTGGATCCTGCCATGCAGCGCAATGGTGTATGCCGCAGAAGCTACGCTCTCGCTAAGAGTCACATTTGAGTCGCAGCGCTCATTCCGTTAAATTATTGCATCCTCGGTTATAGGAACAGAATGATTGAGCTTGCATTAGGCCGTCCGCTAGTGAGCTACGAACTATCGAGACGAACGACACTCAAGCCGTTCAGAAATCGATCGTGTGTTTGTTCAAAATAGCAACATGATCTGTGGGCACCGGTAATACGTATTCGGCATTGCTGACAGGAACACGATACTAACTTGATGTTACCTCTTTCTCGTCTGTACACCTTCTAGAAGAGCGTTCTGTGTGATCTATATTTGATACACGGGAATGATATCATGCTGGCACGTTGCCCTGCACCTATCCGTGGTTGTCAGCGAGCCCTCACTTGCTTCGTTGGAGCGGTCAGCTATTCGAAATCCCTGTGCCAATCCCCTATCATTCGCGACTCGAGTAACACAGCTCTTGGTGGCTGCCATGCTTTCGCCTTTGTTCCATGGTATGGATCTTACGATATTTCCCATGCGTTATACTTCTCCTGTTTTCCCCTTCTTTCCTTCACTCTGATTGCATGATTCGGCGCCGCTCCCTGCCTACCTGGACCTAGCTTCATGCGGCATGTCATGAGCGATGCTCGGACCAAGACATCTAGTCGACTTTTCAATGTCCCTCTCAACCACTTGCGACTTGGGCCCAGCTCTATGGACCGCACTCGTCGTCAAGATTCCACTTTTCGGAACGCTGACTTGCCCGGTGATCTTGAACGCATGTCCTCTGGACCGTTGGGCCGCTTGGGCGTCGCTTCGATGGTTCTGATCCCTGCCAGCCCAGCCGATCTCCTCTGATTCCGCCGCATATCCCACTTGGACGACAGACGTTGGTTCGCCACCAGCAAGGATCTAAACGGGATGGATAGACTCGAAACTCTAGTCGCACAGTCCAGTGACCATATCATCCTTTGCTTACGGCATACGGAGAAATCGCCGTTTGGACTGGACAGGGAGGGGCCCTGTTCGGCCTGCAAGGCCAAGTTTCTTTTTGCTCATCTAATCTAATCACACCACCTGCGCAGTTATAGAAGCTGTATTAAGGCGAGACTGATAAGCAACGCATTTCCTCAGTTGAACAGGACTGTTCTTTTAGAGGCGGCCAACAGACGTTAGCCAGGCTTCACAGATCGCTTGCTTCAGGAATCCAATTGTGTCTACCGTCTGCCTCTACCTTTTTTCTCGCCGCAAGCTCCAAAGCATACAATCATTGTCGTACTACATGACAGAACAATGTCATATCGCGCTATGTCGTCGCTGAACCTGGACCCGGAGCATACATCTTGCATAGGAGGCCGGACCGTCTTGACCTGTCGGGATTGCGCAGGTAACGCACCAAGGTACGTTCTGCACGCCTTTCAGAAGAGTACATTGCACCGATTCTGACACCCGGCAGAGGAGCCATATGTGCCAGTTGCAATGGACGCGGCTTTGGCATCTTCGTCTGCGCGCATTGCAACCCGGCGGCGGCTGCTCTTACCGCCAGGAATGCTGCCTCATCAGCTGAATCATCTACACTCTCCTCACCTACATCGCTAAGCCGAAGCTCGTCGACTTCGGTGTCATCGCGGAATGATCTAGCAGCTGCTCGACCGTGGAAGCGCTTTGGAGATGGCGACGGGGGCTCCGGAGGTGGGAGGATTGGAACAAGTGCGAATACACCACGAAGTGTATGATCGATATAAGCGCTCCGGCATGACTTATTCAGGTACATCAGAAGATGTTGCACGAGAGCTACAGCTACACCATGCGCAGTGACGCTGGGATCCTAGCGAAGAGGAGTTTCGGGATTCAAATAAAAGATAAAGGCATTGATGCAGACCTGATACTCTGAGACATTCTTTGTATATACTTCTATACTTCCTATAAAGGCAGACAAGGAGTCTCTCTTAAACGGTCTAGTCTACGAAAGACACATGATCTGTCAACTACTTACACGCCATAGTCTGATCTCTTAGAGGCCAACGATGATCTGTTTTGTCAAGTATACGCAAATATCCGCAATCCATATATTCTTTCACACTGGCTCTAAACCCTTTCGCGGGTGGACAGCTGCTTATAGCTACTATATGGTCCGGATTCGCGAGACACGTAGCATCTTCGGCAACCTTGGGGGTAATTTTGTCTTTGGCCTTGTGAGCTACCACTACTAGTAGTAGTATTCCTACCCATATATAGGCCCTAGAGTTGCTATGCTGGAGCCCTGAGGTCGTCTCTGTGGGCTGACTCCTTATAGCTAAGCCTAAACACTCTAAACACCTCGTAGAAGTAACTGAAGCACTAAATAAGTGGATGAGTTTCAGTTGAACCTGTTCTCAAGGTGATAGATTGTGGTTTTGTAGCTGATGTCTCACTTAGAGAACGTTGAGTTGCAGTACCGTTGTTAACTGGGAGATGATGGTAGAAGATAGAGCTAACCCTAAATAATCTTGGAAGCCAATTCACTTACAGCAGGTCAATTGTGCCAGATAGCAAGCTCTAGATGTCAACCTCCAATTTAGATAACAGCATCCGTAACACCCAGTTCTTACTCCCAGTCACCTCTTCAAGTCTGTGAAGCTCCTTTGTCACCCCATGGTAAAGGCTCCGCAGTACACCAAGAGTGTACTCTAAGCTTCCCCTCTCTCGAAGTCTGCTATAACTAGGCGTTTGAGTGCGGGACTTAACTGACCACGACGCTTCCGCTGCTCGATGATGCTCTCAAGCTCGGGGTCCTTCGTATCTAGATGGGCAGTAGATGAATGATTGATCTGTGACCCTCATCTGAATGAGCATGGATAGTTCTTATACCTGCCCATAACTCCTTGTCAACACACCACTTATTCTAAGTCCTATAATGCCCCGAAAAATCAAGCGCAGACTGGTATTCTTCCTGCACATCCTAACAGTTCCTTATGCATGTGAAAACAGATCTCCAAAATGGTCTGGGGCCTCTTGGCGAGTAAATATTTTCCAATTCCTGTCCTCGAGACACTTTCATACGTAATTGCACGTCAAGAAGGAACTTGAGGCATCGTAAGCATGCTTGCGTCTGCCTTGTAGAACTGTGTGCTTGTCAGAGCCAAAAGAAACTTGGTACGTTGCGAATACGCTGTAGATCCATCTGACACTTTACTTGGATAGGCTTAGAAATAGTAGGCATCTTGCATTTAAGCTTTGCTGCAGGTAGATTAATTATCTCACACATATGCACATCCCAAAGTGACAAGCTTGATTTAAATCCTGCTTAAAATGCAGTTCAATAGGTGATATTACAGTATGCGTGCTTTTGATTCTGCTCTGGACCTTACCTCTAGCAAGGACATTTGCATGTCCAGGATGCCTTCTTGTCTACAGCTTTTATGTCCTGCCATCAAGGATCTGTTTATTTTTGGAACTGCCATCTACTTCTCTGTCCCTTGGATCTTATCGATTCAGGTCATCATAGCATATAGCCTGGCTTTGCTATGCGAGATACTTGAGTTGATATGGGAGACGAGGCTTCGCAAGACCAGCTCTTTCACTGGCGTCTGAAAGCTTCCCGTGCACTTTACTACATTTGAAAGGCTGTATGTCTGCCTTTGTCATGCATCGATCAATTGATGCTGGTATGTGTGGTCATCACTCTCCTGAATCCATCATGCTTAAATGGCTACTAGCGACAACGTCCAATGCAATCCATGTACTCCTAGAGTCCTTCATTATCCGCTGCAGTGTGATGTCACATCTCTGCAAGAGGGAAATCTTATGAAAAAACTTGGCAAATGGATCAGGATGATGGTGCAGTGTTCAGCTACTGTTTGTTTGATCAAGTATGAAGCTTTCTTCGATGTAACCTCTTGCTCTACTGACAGGATAGTTGCAAGAAATAGGATACGGGACAGATCGGCAAGTAGTATGATCACATTGGCAAGTCATTCATGTACGTGAACGTGGATGAGGATACGCAATGCTGACAATTCTGAGCCATCATTGCTTACGGAATTGGCTGAAATTGAATATGCTGCGCCTGGCCGAAAAGCAGAATTAGGCAATCTTGCATCCTTAGACTTTCGAAAGATCTCTCCGGCTGAATCCATGTCAACAAGGACAAAAGTATGGACTTAGTTCGTCACGATCTGACGCAGTGAGATCGACGGTTCAGTCGACGGAATCATCTTGTGACGTGACCTAATAATCAAGGTTGAGTTGCTACAAACTCGCAGAACGTTACGTGCTACTAACCTCCAACATGAAGAAAGTCATCTAGGATAGATTTTGATGGCCGTCGGCTCAGCCTGTCAGCCAAGGCTGCCCAAGGGCTGTTGCTGGATAATGGTCAATGTCTCCCTTGCTTCAGCTACAAATTTTATTTCAACTCCAACGCGTCGGACAGTATGTTGGACAGATGCACCGTGGCCTTGTTATGAAGGGAGATGGAGTCAATCGATCGTCACTGAATGTCACCAGCAGTTATCGGAGTATACTAAAGGTCTCACATACCCGCCTGGAGTGCCTCGTGAGTGGCTACGGCTGGTATTAGATCTAGTGAATCTCCAGATTTCGCCAGAAGAGGAATACAGCCACGATGGAGCCTGAGATCTTGGATTCTTCGAGCCTCGATCTTGGGTTCTATCGCGCCGGCCGCAAATGTGACTGCGGTGAGCATCCTGGTGCACCGGCTTATATCAGAGTTTAGTTTTGATCTACGGTTTCTGCGTCGGCTTGTAGGCCTCCTTCATTCTCTTGTCATGTAGAGATTTGCGTAGGCAAGAATATACCGATGCAGCCAGCAATGATGGCGCTGTCAGTGGGCCCCTCTGTTCATTGGTTCCAAGTCCAACTATAAAAAGCGGGGAAACCCCGCGGAGGATCATGCAGCTTTCGGCAGTTGCTCCAGGCTTCTCGGGTATCCGCGTATTTTGTATATCAATTATCAAGTCTTGACAATCGCGGCCTCTTGTTTACATCATATATCTACATCCTCGCTTGACAGCGTATGTATAATATATATCTCATTGATTGATACAAACGTGCATGGACGATGCAGCATCAGACTTAACGATCCCCTGCAACATGCTCCTCAGTAGATGGACCTGCTCCACAGCGACCTAAGCAATAACGTGCTGTGAAAGCATGCGACAGGCGTTGCCTGAAAAATTACAAAGCGGCGAGTTGTCCTTGCACTCAGTGATAAGCTCGTCACATATACTGTCTTCGTTTTCCAGATTCATGAAGAAAGTCAGCTTAGTTGCGTGTAAACGGCAGCGCGAAGCGGCCAGTAAGTCAGGTACTTCTCTGCCAGGTGGTTTGATGATTTGGGTGGGCTGCCATTGTGTATGACTGATACTTATGCACTCGCGAGCGGGTCGACAAAAATAATAATATCAAGCCTTTGATATAATTATCTAGCTCTATAGGAAGGAAACGATTACAGAATCGCAGACGTCCTGACGAACAAATCCGGGTGTTGCGCAACTACATTCTCGACTTCTTTGATTGCGTCGTAGCCATAAAGCCAGGGCTGCACCTCTGGACACGTCCTAGTATCTTGTAAGCGGCTGATTGCCTGCCAGAAAGTACTGCACTCACCATCTACTGGGAAATGCGCCCTTGATCTCCTTTTCAAGTTGAGACAGGAATATCTCATCTCTCTTTTCCTGCTCTTCGCCATTTGGCATGTGGAAATCATGTCTCTAAGGGAATGTCAGCGCGCCGCAGCGGAAGGGATGAGATAGCAGACTGACCTGCTTGAAAGTCTCCTTGACAATGGCCTCACCGCGGGATTTCCGCAGGCTCTCGTACAAGCGGAGGATCTGGGGTAGGTGCGATTTGCTCTTCATGTGGCCGAGTAATTGGCCTAGGACTGCGCCGTCTTCAAGAGACGAGTTGGCGCCTTGTGCGAGGTAGGGGAGCATGGGATGGCAGGCGTCACCGCTGTGTGGGTTAGATGATGAACATAGAATGACGAGGGGATCCGTACAGGAAGACCAAGTTTGACTTGTCATTTACCCAGGTTTCCATTTCAGCGTCTGTAAGATACCTTCAGCCCGTGCTGCAATTATTTTTTGCAGGATACTCACGGTGCATCAGCTTCCACTTGTCCACGCTGTCGACGTAGCTCAGGAAGCGATTCAGACTGTCGTAGTTGTCAGTATCAAACGAGGCAAAAAGGAGGAACCTACACTGGATCCCAGCCTTCGAAGAGCTTCCGCATTTCTTCCACCGAGCCAGACTGTCTGGAGACTCCGGGGGGCAGATTATCCGGCACAAGCAGCACAATGTTGAACATTTGTCCATTGCGGAGCGAGTATGCCACCGCATGTGCACCGGGTCCGATCCAGAAGTGGCACTCTGGGTTCTCAACCCAGGCTCTCAGCTCCGGATCTGAGATTTGATCGGCAGTTAGCACAATTCTGTAAGCCAGATCGCCTGTGGGGAGCGGCGCATCCTTCTTCCCTAGGAAACACTCGCGGCAGCGGGACCAGAGCCCATCGGCGGCAATGATCAAGTCACCGGTGTACCGGTTGCCAGCTAGCGTTTTGATCGTTGTTGTGTCAAAGTCTATCGAGTCGACTCTCTCGTTGAGTTGGAATGTGACGCCGAGCTCCTTCGCACGGGCATACAAGGCTTGCTGCAGGTCCACTCTGTGCAGGTCTATGAACGGAGCGTCGCACTTTGCGCGGATATTCTTGTGGAAAGAGGGTTCGTTGGCGAGGATCTGACCGGTATAGCGATGGACAGTGAGCGCCGTGGGCTCAGCTGCGGCTTGCCAGATGAAGTTGGGAAGTTGCCAGTACTTGAAAAGTCGTGAGGCGTTGGGGGTTATCTGAAGACCTGCACCAACCTATTTTAATTAGAACGACGTGTGAGATTTTCTATACACCACTAACTTCAACGAGTTCCTTTGCTTGCTCGACTACTTCTACCGTATGTCCAGAGAGCGCGCAGGAGACTGCCGCGCCTAGACCACCAAGGCCAGCACCGGCAATGATAATGCGGAGATGAGCTTGTTCAGAGACCTTATTTGATTTAGTTAATGATCGTACTACGAGAATTGCTAATAGCATCTCACCATTGTGTTGTGTTTGACGATCTCGCCGATTTGGTAGAAAGAGACAATGCCGAAGGTTTGAAGACTTAACACCCGAGAAGCAGCTCTTATAATACTTTAAAACAGCTCCGTCAAGCAGCCACTAAGCGCATCTGCCAGCCCATCAGCTGGTGGCTAAACTGCCGGCCTTTATTCCGTAAGGTAGTTGATGACTGCGGAGGCTTACGAGCTGCCCCGAAATACCGAGACTCTTCTTATAGCCGGATTTCCCAGTCCTTGCAGACGGGTCAGAACGCAGAAGTTTGTAATTACACTATCGCAAATATCGCATTCTGTTCTTGCTGGCTCTTGATTCCCAGTGTTTTCGATAATCGTCGATCTCATCGAATACATCAAGCGAATGGTCCTTGCGCAGCACCTTCAATCTATCTTGAGCATACCTCGGCTCGATCTCCTTCAATGCCGTGAGAAAGTCGAGCGTACCAAGCCATCCAACGAACTCTTCCATTTCCAAGCGCTCAGAATGGCTCAACACACCTTCCCACTCATCGAGCCATTTCCCCATGCTCTGGTTAGTCGGTTTCCATCCAATGAGCCTCCTGTGTCTCTCCCGGATACGCCGCTTCTGATCTTCCAACGAGGGCTCCAGCTTCTCTTTCAACTTCCGGTAGATGTCAACCTCGTTATCTAATTCGTTGGCGAACCGTGCCAGGTACCTGCGAGCGACTGTCTGAAAAATCGCCTGCCAGATAGTCCATAAAGCCGCCCGTTCGGATTCATATCGTCTCGCTTCTACCTCATACCGCTCTAATTTCACCTTGTACCGGACCAATTGCTCAGGGGTCGGTTCCGTCAAATCCGCGGGCGAAGTATCGCTACCCGGCGGAGCGTCCCCAGGATAGGTCGGGTAAGTCGGTTTGACCGGGTAGGGCTTCTTACCAAGGAGAATATCCCGGACTCCAAGGCTGCGAGCAAGGCCCGTGATGTAATAGTTCCAATTCCACCAATCGTCTTCTGGGTCAACCAAGACCGGAGCGTTCGTGGTTACTGCGTAAGCCATGTTGGGTCGGATTCGATATAACCTCACTCCTTCCGGATTAGGCAATGAGACACACAACGAGAGATAGAGCTTATGACAATCCCCGAGGCAAGCGAATACAGAGATTGTGTAGGGCAAGCCGGTCTCGTAACTGTCGATCCGCAGGACAATCATAGCTTGCAAATCGCTAGTAATTTGTATGCAGTGATTAAAGCTAGGAAGGGCCCTATTCTGCTCAGCAGGTGGCTATCTAGGTGATTGTTAACCAGTCCGAGATAATAACGTTTGTATGGTAAACGCATATACGCTGAATATCAAGGGAAGAAGGTCTGATTCTTCTAATCTACTATCTGATACCAGAATTTATAGACAGAAAAGGCGGAATTGGAAGCAGTTAGACTACGGAGTAATCGGATTCGATTCGGCGAGTTTGAATCGCAATATGATCTATTTCTCGCGATCTGATTGGCCAAATTAGAATTCCAGAGAGTTCCGTAAATCCTTTACTAGATTCGGTAACCCAGCTGGCTGCCAGTGATTTATAGTAAGGATCTGAATACCTTCATCTTTAGTAGATTAACAGTATAAAGATAGCCTAGATAGCCACTTATCTAACTAGAATCAGACCTTCATTAATGTCTGAATTGCCTACAAGTTACTACCTCTAGTGATTTCAGAATCTGGTAGTGTATTGATCTTTTCAAGATGTATCATTTATTGCTTGATATCTGCTTGGTCGCCTCTTTGATCATTCAGATAAAAGGAAGGTGACCGAAGGTCTAGTGAGAAAGGAACCGTGCTGAATCTTCAAAGAGGTACCTTTCTCGACATTCGGTAGATTATCAACGGAATCCAAAAGGGTTCAAGATGATGTACTCCCTGGTAGTCTAGGTAATACATACTACACTTATGGTAATGCAGTAGACTAACAAGCACTATCATTCCGGATGTTCGTACGCGGGATACCAGCGCAAGGTCATGAAACAATCAACTGATTCATCAATCAGTATATACAATCAGTTCTATGCAACTAAATCATGAACAGGCATAATCTGCATATGCCATTAGTATAGACACGCCACGAACTATATAACTACAAGGCTGATTTCTCCCACGTAATCTCCTTCCCATTAATCCCCTCCACAGCAGGAATCAACGGCCGCAGCGCCATCCCGTAATCGCCCCCATTGGGCGTCCTTAACAGCGTATGGATATGGAATTTCTTTGGCTCCTCATTATTCAAAAACACACCAGAGTGGTGATCAAACTCGACAAGAATGACAGGGCTCTGGATACGGTAGTAGAAGGGATCCTCGTCGCCGAACCCGCCAATCCAGCAGAAGTATGTCTCACTTTCGTACTGGCGCACCTGGGCGAGTTTCAACTCCCTCGCGCGCGCAGGCAGGTAGAGGAGGTACTGCTCCAGAATGCCGTAGAGGAGTTGTTTCTGGGATTCGGTGAGGGAGGTGGCGGGGATGCCCTCGTTGGGGACGACGCGGTTGTCGCGGTATGCGCCGCAGACGTGGCGCTGGTCGTCCTTGTTCCAGCGGCCCGGGGGCATCGCGGGATCGTGCATCTGGGCGAAGACGCGGGCCTGGAAGTGGAGTTCGGGCGAGAGGGACTGCATGAGCTGGAGTCCGAGTTGCTCCTCGACTTGCATGATGCGGGTGCCTGCGTGGGGCCCGGCGTCGATCTCGTTGGGCTCGGCGCCGGTGAACCAGGGGGAGGCGACGATCTGGGACTTGTACAGGAAGATGTTGAGGCAGAGGTGGTGGCCGTAGAAGGACCAGCCCCAGGGCCTGTCGGGGGAGGGGCGGCCGAAGAGGACAAAGTTGTAGGAGAACTCGTTCATGACGCGGGGGGCCTCGACCAGTTCGCCGAGGAAGTGGTTGATGCGCATGGCTTTGACGGCCTTGTCGTAGCCTTCTGGGGAGAGCGTTATCTCGAGGATGTGCATGATGGCGTCGCGGACCGAGGGGGTGACTTCGTCGAGACGCAGGCCCTTGTGGCTGAGGAGGAATTCGGGGTTGGACCATGTGCGCCATTCGGGCGAGTCGATGTGGTAGCTGAGGGATTGGCGCTGGTTGTCGTCGAGGATGGAGAGCAGGGACTCTGTTGCGGTGACAATCTCCGCGATGGGGACGCCTTCGTCTTGTAATGTGAACAGACCGGGACGCACGTTTCCTGAGAATCAGTCAACAAAGAAGAGATCACAGTCAGTCGCTCTACCATAAGGGCTAACACACCATCAGTCGTGACACCCTTAAAAGGCTCCTGCAACAAATCCAACCAGTGCATATACAGCGCATGCAGCCAGGGCGGCTGGCGCAGCGTCTTGAAATCATGCGCGTACTCGTGCGCATCCTGGTCGCGCATCACCTGGAAGCGCTTCAGACTCAGGTCCGGGAGATACTGGCGGTATTCGCCCGTAGGCTTCTGTAATTGAGCCAGCTGTTCGGACGACATGGTGACGGACAGGCTGACAGGCTTTGAAACAAACACAACACTCCGAAAATACACCAGGAGCTCAACGACTTTATTATCAACCTCCTCTCGCCTGACACTCGGCTCTTCTCCCCGTGTCGCTGTTGCGTCCTTGCGATGGATTGATTCTCCACCTCCCACTCCCCCACAGTCCGGCGCTCCCACTGTGGAGAGCGGCAAACTGCTTTTCCGCCTGCCAGTTGGCCCACTACCTCACCTCCAGAGTCCAGAGTCAGACGGTGTCTCCAGGCTCCAAGTAGCTGGTTCACCTTCCCACATCCCTTCCAGTCCATAAAATAAGCTGATCGGCTTCTCCGACTGACTTCCCTGCGTGGGAAATTATCCCCGACCACGAACTCCTTCCATCTCCGCATTCCCCCCCACGCACACATCTCAAGAGGGAAAATCGTTTCCGGGCATCTTCACCTGATCGTGATAATCTTATTATCGACTTCTGATTATTGATAGACTGTTTCGATGGTCTGATGTTCCGTTGTCGGTTGGTGATTGAATTCTGTGCGTCTGCGACTCGGGGGGGCACGGCAGTTGTGTCTTTGATTTCATCCCATGCAGTGTCACAGTGTGTGCGTTTTATGATCTGACATGGATATCAGAGTTGGTTGTGGAGAGTGATCTGTTAAGGCGGCGTTGAATGGGGATAGACCCTTAGTATTGTATCGTTGATGCCTGATGGTGGAAGACCTCTACATATATTGACACTTTCCAGTTGCTACCAAATCTCAACAGTATCAGAACAAGGCTATGCTACAGATTCAAGGCACATTGATTAACTCTTCTCGTTATGTGCCACACAGCCCTAGATCTAAGAATCGTCATTTGACAGTCAGTCCCCAAACAAGGTGCGTTTTCCGCATATGCCCATAATATTAGAATAAGATACAGGAAGTAAGGCCGTAAATCATGAGACGCCAGTCTGCGCCATGCACCAAATCATCGCAAGTCGCAAGAACTCCATTATGCGCCAGCCGTCCAAACTCAAGAAAATGCAATTAGCTGGCGACAGCCAGTTGAGCCACCAAGTCCGACGCCACGTCGAGGAAAGGATAGGGGCTCGTGATCTCCTTCTCCTTGTTGAAGTAACGTTTGCTGATGGGATGCCAGTCGGGCTCGCCCTCCGCGCGGATCACGTTTTGGTATCCGTCACATTTGAAGTCAACCATGTAGTTGTTTTCTTCTAGTTGGTACAGCTGGATATCCACAAACACCCACACTCCATGCGAGATACGTCCAGGCACGTATGGCTGGGTTGCGGAGGATGGGCCGGAGCCGGTCGTATTGTCCATGGTAAGAGGATTCTTCTCTTCGGCCGAGTGCGACAGTCCGGAGATGTTGAATCGGCGGCGAAGCTCTTCCAAGTCACTCTTGCTGCTCTGCACACTAGCTGAGCGACCAGGTGCCGTGACGCCTTGCTTCAGCAGACGCGCCCGGATGAACCAGGAGTCCTTCGGGATGTAGTAGTCGGCCGGAAGATCTGGATATTTCCCTTGCAGAGGTCTTTCTCCTGGTCGCCGTTCAACCCCAATGGGCGTTGTGCCTTCTGGTAACTAATTAGTTGAAGAACGTGAGTGAGTAACTTGGAATAGAACGAACCAGTTTCGGAGGGCTGGATCTCCCAGACGCCGCCCTGTGCTGCAATGGCTTTGTATAGATAGAGCATAGCCTCGTAAGGTTGATTGCGAGACCGAATACCAAACTGCCACTTGCGGGTTCTCTTGGGCTGCTGGGGTGCACTCCGAGCCTCTGGAGGTTCCAGGCGCAGTTTGTTCAGATCGATGATACTGCGGGAGTGAGGTTTCAACGCTCTGGCGGTTGCTTCCTGCTCCTCGGGGGAACGTGCGCCGGCAAGGTCGTCGTCGAGACTGGCCTGAGTACGTTCTTCTCGTAATCGGTCCGCATCACGCGCCCGCTGTTCCCGCTCCCGCTCCCGTTGTTCCATTAGTTGATCATGAACATAGGGCAAGCTCGTCGGCAAAATGCGAACGTGGCTGATTCGGGAACTTTCAAAATCATCCGAATCAACCTGTTGTGGTACTTGTGAAGACTGGCGAGGTGAATCATAAAGAGGGGACCCTTGAGGACGGGGTGCAGCGGGCCGGCCAACTGCAGGTGTAGTCAAAGGAGTTCGGTTCGGGGGAGGTGAAGGTGCGACAGGACCACCCATCAGGTTGTCCTCCGTGGGAGCTACGGCTGTTAGCTTGACAATGCAGTCAGGAGGGCTGCGTTAGGGTCGTCACTCACAATTGGTCTGCATCATTTCGTTTTCCACGATTATGAAAAAAGCATCCTTGATGGCACTGGGCTCGGGGCTCTTGAGTGCATCTTCGATATCTTCCCGCGCATATCCCATGCTCCGTTCCAACTTGGAGATGGCGATCTGGTGAATCTTGTGCTGCGCCGAAAGGGGCTTCCCCGGAGCAATCTTCTTAGGGTCGATAGCCTTGTTCGGATCCACTCCAGTAGCAATGAATTCTTCTGGAGGAGGTTGAAGATATTTGGGTAGGTCTTGCAGAAACCAAGGGTCCTGGCGGATCTCGGGAATAGTGATTCGGTGGACAGGGTGGACTTGGAGCATCGATCTGATCAGGCGAGCCGCTCCAGACGAGATATAAGGGGGCATGTGGAAGTTGCCTGCGGCAATCTTCTTGAACAGCGCCGGAATATAGTCGTCATCAAACGGGAGCCGTCCTACCAACAAAACATAGAGAATAACACCGCAGCTCCATACGTCGACCTCGGGTCCAGCATAGAGCTTGCCGGAGATGACCTCGGGAGCAGCGTAGTTAGGACTGCCGCAGCTGGTCTTGAGGAAATTCCCATCTGTCATGATGTTGCTCAGCCCAAAATCCGCGATCTTGACATTCTTATCCTTGTCAATCAGCAGGTTCTCCGGTTTCAAATCCCGATGCACGATTTTGTGACGATGACAGTATTCGACGGCACAAATGATTTGTTGAAAGAACTTGCGGGCTTCTGCATCGTTGCATCTGCCTCTTTTAACCAAGTAATCGAACAATTCTCGTTCAGCGTACTCGAGGACCATGATGATGTCGGTTTTGGTAGCAATGACGGTGTACCTGCAAAGTTGAAAAGGATTAGTCTAATTCATCCGTCAACACAGAGAAGACCGAGACGTGAGCATACAGTTTGATAATATGAGGATGCCGTAGCAATTGCAGATATTGAATCTCCCGCTCCACACGACCAACCATGTCTCTGGACAGCAATTTGCGACGAGAGATGATCTTTAGAGCGACTTGACGGCCGCTAGGTTGATGAATTGCCAGCTTCACCTTTCCGAACGAGCCTTCGCCCAGAATCTTGACCGTCTGGTACTGATCGAGCCGCTGCATGTCCCTCATGGTCGCTGGTGACTGCATGTAGGGGTCGGCGGCCACCCCGGTCGGGCGCGTGGGCGGAGGCATTGCCATGGCAGGATAATTTGAGGTGTTGGGGGGAGGACCGGCCCCAATGGGACATTCACGTTGGCGATCGGAGTTGTAGGAAGGGAGGGAGACAGAAAGGTCCTCGTCGTCAAAGGCAGCTGCCATTGCTGGTCGGGAGGACGGACAAGACAACGTGACGTGATGGATTTCTCCGGGCGGTCCCAACGGTCCGTCCTGCTGACTTTCCAGCTTTTTTTGCCCACCCCAGCTAATTGTGCTCCCCTTTTGGTCTGGAACCGACTAAAAACTCGTCTAGAATTATGGAGACGCCAATAAAAGTAATAATAATAGCAACCGAAAGTGATAGTCCCCCACGAGGCCACGACCCAGGAGTTCTCAGGGTGAAAGTGGAGCAGAGATAAACCGAGCGGCGGGGGCTTCCTTGTGTTGACCGGTTAAAGCAGAGGAAGAGAGGGGGGATACCATCGAATATTGACTGGTATGAGGGTTATGGCGTGGAAAACTCGGTCTGCCAGTTGAACAAGACGTAGTCAAGGAAAGAAATAGACCAGAAATGAGGGGAAAGGAAGGACAGAAGATGAAGGGTCACAGACTTAATGTCCATTGGAACAACTCGAGCTGTTCCCGCGGGGGGTTCTGACCCCTCATATAAATCTGGGGAGTGCATTCGTACCTAATCCTAATAACTTCAAGAGATCAAAGTTAATCTTATGCCCTGTTAGGCTGTTACCTATTCGCTGAGTGCTCAAGTGACAGCTCCCAGTGCGAAACTCTATTACATATAATGGTCTCTCCTGTTATTTCTGCTTAGCCTCCATTCTTGCCTACATTCCCATCCTTTCATGCCTGTCAAGGAGCTGGTTAAATGGCAAATCTCTCTGGTCTGTCTGAAGTATAATCCCCAGATACAAACGCTCAATCGATATGTCTGCGCCAACCCCGCCGATCGACCCATGGTTTCCTCTATCTTAACCAAGATTTATCCTTGCTGTCATGATAGTCTACATTCTAATGACTGGATTCTCTTGAATGATGGATCCTTGATTCTCCAGTTGCTCAGCCAAGAAGATTGCCGGCGTTTGTGCCTTGGATTGTTTAATCAACTTAAGCAGTTCTGGCGGAATTGTCCGAAACTTACTGGATGACTCCATCCAACAGGGCTAAGTGATCATCAGGCATACATAGGGTCTGTGCTATATTTCACATTGGCTGATATATTGAGAACATCCTAATTTATCAGATAGTACAGATGTGGAGGAGGCTGTACCATACTAAAACCCTTCAGATGCGCGGTCTCGACTCCAGTTAGCACGTTTCAGCCGTGCGGCACAGCACCTTGCAGCACCGGCTTCAAGAGACCATACTAAAGCAGGAAAGGTTCCTGCCCTCATGAACATGTAAAGGGTCGCTAGTGAGATTAGCAAGAGGCTGTGAGCCTTATCTTGCCCTTTTGGCTGTTGGTTTCTCTGTTTGACGGGGCCGAATCTGTTTGACCTGGTCGATGATTCATGGCTAGGCTGGCTAGTTAGAAGTAGTAGTGTAACATTATAAAAGGGTGACGGGGTGCTATTGCAGCGAAACTCTTCGGTTCTTACAAGCCACTCTACTTCATCCATCATGGGTGTACTGGTCTTCTTCATTATTGCTCTCACTGTTCTGAGTAATGTCAGCTCTGCCACAGTGCGCTCACTCTCCAGAGAGGCTCAGCCGTTCAACTTCCCCAAGGCAAGACGTCTCTCTGCTGCTGTTTCTCGTTCAAAGCTTGAATCCAGAGCCGAGTTTGCATCCAATATTTTCAGAAGGGAAGCAAGTTTTGACTTCCTTCATGGTGACCAAGATCTCGAATCGGTCTTTGTGGCCACCTTAGACGTCAAGTCTCAGTCACCCATTCTGGCATTAGAGGAGTTGGATGACTCCGTCCAGGATGTGACCTGCAAGGAATCGCAGATTGACATATCGTTTGGATCAATTGAGCAAGTCCGCTCAGTCCATCGAGAACTCGAGCAGATCGACGGGTTCATCCTAGTCACCTCACATAGTGGGTGTAATCCTGATGGAGCAAGGTCAACACATCGGTCAGTACCTCCAATATAGACATAAGAGAGTATCATTAATTGTGTATAGAGTCACCAAGGTCGCAATTGACCCGACTCGCAACGTGCTGTCACTGGGGAAATCCGACTGTGACTGGCAAGACGCATTTCACACAACTAGAGTCTCCTTCTCACGCAGACATCCATCCGAAATCAGGAGACGTTCGACCACGCCCGTCAAGAGACAGCAGCAGTCGCAGTCTCAAGCACCGGAAACAACAAAAACAATGGAAGGGTCTGCTAAGACTCCGACGGTCACATTTCCTGCGCCGAGCGCAACGTCGGGGCTCTCATCGACTTCGACGAAGGAGCTCAATGAGCATTATGTGGACCGAAAGATATTTCCCCCTGACCTTCCTGCGGCGGACATGCTTCTGTAAGTACATTCAGTCGTAGTCCATCCGGATCCAAGCCGAGAAGAGAAGCTCATCTCGCAGACCATCAGGAATCAGCGTGTCTTGCAAGAATTGCTCCCTGGAAGGCAACATCGTCTTAAACAAGGGCTCTTTCGAGATTTCTGGATCTGATGGGTTCATGGATGCCGTCAACAACACCATCGCTTTCTTTGCCCATGGCAGCATCGAAGTAATTGCAAATGGCCTCTTTGCGCAGGTCGAACTTGAGTTCGATCTTTCTGCGAGTCAAGATCTGGTCACCTTTTCGGCTCAGCTTCCAGCTATCCCCCTCAGTCCTTTCGAGGTACGCTCGTTCAGAAGACTGCAATAGCCAATCACTGATGTGTGTTAGATTCCCGGAGTCCTCATGTTTGGCCCGATGATAGTGGCGGAGTTTGACATGAGTTTGAGCCTTGCCCAAAGCATTGGCTTTTCATATGGTTTCAACGTCTCCGTTAGTTCACCTCAGCCATTCCATCCTTTTCATCCTTAACTGACTTGTACTCAGGTCCCCGCAAATTCCAAAGTGGAGCTGAATATGGACGAGATCTCGAACTCCTCAATCACAGGATTGTAAGCTAACCCCGCGACTTCACCAGATTCTTCAACTGACCGTTGCTCAGTGACAAAACAACCGTTCATGCCTTGCCATTTCAGGCAAAAGCTGCTCTTGTTTCTCTTATAGCCAGTATCGGCTTCAAACCCCAGATCCTCCTCGGCATCAACACGGCAGTGGGTAGCGTGCAGGGGGGAGTCGGCGCCTTTCTCGAACTACCCAAGGTTTCTCTCAATGTGACACAGCTCGGTAACGTCAACGAGAAATGCGAAGCTGTCTCGAATGGCGATGGCAAGCTCACATCAATGCTGGATAATGTTTTTGGGAACTTTACAAATATTGTTCCCACCGTGGACATCAATCTGGGAGCCTTGGCGAATTTCGAGGTTGATGTCCCACGCGTTTTCACGGAAGCAGCTGCTGTGCAAACCGTACTGGCTTCAACGTCGTACCCCCTGCCGACGGCGTGCTTGCACTTTGACCCGGACAGCGGCGAATACAGATCTCCTACTCCTACTCCTACTCCGGTATCGTCTGCTGTAGGTAAGATTGCGACAGCTAAAGCGGAGAAGAGCCGGGCCGCTTTTGTGGGCATCAATCGTGGGTGGGTGCTATTATCAGTGATTGCGTGTTTATGCGTCTATTAGTGATGAAGAATGGAAGAATGTATTGCTGGGATGCTCAATATTTGTAGTGGCATCAACTTTAGGTATATATTTCTCGGCAGTCGTTGCGACGTTGCTAGTATTGCCGTTTGGCGAGATCGTAGAGTCAGAGTATTCAGGTCAGCCTGATAATATCCCTTTACTCTACCTTTGCATGTGCTTCAAAACCAGACCACAGTTTGAAGCAGTGATGTGATGCCCTGTAAGATATCTCGGTCTCACCGAGTATGAGTCACATGAAACTGCGGGAGCTGCATATGAAATACATCGGTCAGCCAATCAGATAACACAAACAGGAAGGTGGGGGAGGCCGTCGGGGTCCTAAAGCGGTTTAGGGCGCGCAACAGGCGGGGACCTAAAAGAGGAAAGGCGGGTGCCTGAGGTTGGTGACTGAGGCTGTGAAGGGTATCTAACAGTCAGCTTCCTCGTATTTGGCTCTTGTCGAGCAACCTTCCCTCATCTTCAGGCATCTCTTTCTCTTCATCCTTCGTCCTTCGGATCCTCTCCTCCTCCTCAATCAGAACATACGCCTGTTCACCTAGGTTGCACGACCTTCTGCCTTTTGGCGAGCTAAATCCTCAAAGAGTACATTCTTTCACTCTCGCAAGACCGTAACTAGCCGAGATCTTATCTCGAAGACGGACGGCTTCATCTCTAATATTAATCAATCTTTCATCGTCATTGGCATCACCTTTATCATTCAGCGTTATTCTTACTGCAATCGAAGCAATGTCTGCAAACCAATCGCTGTATCACATGGAGAACCCTGCTCGCGCTGACGAGTGGGTTGACTTTGACAACTCCTTCGAGTTCTCAACTGGGTATCTGGAGAGCAATCCACCCTCGCTGGACTCGATCTCTCCAAAAGACTTGGAGTTGGTGTACAGTGATGCAGACGCGCTGAATTGGGACTCGGAAGCCGCTCAATGGCCTCAATCAGCCTTCTCCGACCTCGTTGCCTTAGAGGACCCTTTAATAGGAAGCACAGAAATGCCATTGGACGTGGCTGGCTTCTCCGAGAATGTTCCTCCACTACCATCGTTTCCGGAAGTGGAGTGCTCTTCCTCGACATTTGATGCCACATGGTCATCATTCGACGCCTCAAATATGGCAGAAAACTACTACTCACCGTCGACCTACCGACAACTGATCGAATCTCAGGCAGCTGCTGACCCGCGCTGCTCCTCGAAAAAGGAAAAGCGTCTCGAGGCTTCCATTGCTTTGCACCTGCAGCGCTTGCAAGACGCTGCAACGGCTGATCTCAGTCTGTCTTCAGAGTCATGCGGCAGCTTTTCCTCCCCATGCTGGCCCGACTCTGCTGCAGGAAGCGCATCTGAGCCGCAGTCTCGTGGAAGCCCATCCAGCACATCAGCCTCTGAACCCTCCGCCAAGTCCTCTACCCCACCTTCTTCAAGGCCGAGCCCGGTCAGCGCTGGAGTAGAGTTGGTACTTGATTTGAATATGAACACGACCACCAATCTGCCGAAAAAGCAGAAACCGCGATCCCAAGCCCAGAAAGAAAACTACATCAAAGTCCGGAAACACGGGGCCTGCGAAAAACATCGAAAACAGCATAAGCGGGTAGGTCCTACATCGCCCGCCTATATCATCTCATGCTAATGGTGTACAGTGCAATTGCCTTGACAAGTCTGCTTCTCGTGTTCTGAACGACTCTGCCGTCGCAGCGCTAGCCCAATCCACCAAGGCCCGACTGGAGGTCAGAAACAGCGGCCAGAACATTATTGCAACCAAGCGCCTCGGCACCAGTACCTTGCCGACTCTACCACCCGCAATTCTGGACAGGAGCCGTGCGGTCAAAGCGGTGCCTGGATCTGTTCAACCAAGCACTGCGATTTCGCCAACGGTAAAGGCGAATGTACAACGTGTGGAACGTACTGTTCACAATTCTGCTGGACGTGTAAACACCGTGATCCCGCCAACTGTTTCGATGAATGTTCAACCCTCGGAGCGTTCCGCTCACAGTTCGGCTGGACGTGCAAACACAGCCGTTTCATGGACGCCCGCACCAAATGCTCAAGTCATGGGGCGTATCGTTCAGAATTCTGGTGGACACGTTATTTCGGTGAAATCTCCACTGAATGTCCAACGTTCAGAACGTTCGGCCCAGAATTCTGCCGACCGGCAAAACACCGCGCACGCGCATGTTCAAGTTTGTCAGTCGCCCAAGGAAGCAAAACCTTGGCGTACAGTCGACCACACTTCGTCGGTTCCTTGTCCACTGGTAACCCAGAACACACAAACGACGAGTGCTGGATTCCGTGGCCGGCAAGATGGCGCTGTTCGTGCTGTTCATTTCACTCCGGGTCTACTCCGCGAGTCCTCTGGTGTACTCCGGCCATTCAGGTACAGGCCGACTTCCCAGAACGACGTTGGAAGGGTCGTCGAGAGCCAAAGCACCCAGGCAAACAAGCACGTAAAGGGCAAAGAAAATTTCTGGACATGGAGTCTACCTGGAAGCCGAGCAGAGGTGATCGAGAATTCTACTGTTGCCGAATATGCTGGTGCGGTTGTTCGCAATACCGCCCTAGCGTTCTTGTCCTTCTGGCAATCTTCCACCTCGCTCACTTCGTGGGCAGGACTACTCTTTGGCCGGTTAGTTCTATCCTCTTCTCGCCAGCATATGCTGGCCAGGAAAGGAATGGGACTGGCTTAAGAGTGCCGTGCTCGATTCCTCGGTCTTGTCTGTTCTTTGAGCGTTTCCGTCCTTGTGCTTGGTGCTTGATTGTGGAGTTCTTTAGCGATTGTGCACTTGATATCCCATAGTACATTAAAAGTTGTATCTCGAATAGATTTTCCTTGTCGCCTCATGAAAGCAGTAGCTAAAGCTAGATCGCTATATCGAATGTGTTTGTTCTTGGGATTAATGGATTTATCTAGAGCAGACCCTCCCAGGGCCCGGCGTGCTTAATGCTGGCTGACCCTGGTGAAGCAACACAAGAAATAGAAGCTAAATAGTGTATAATCCACACTAGGTAATAATGAAAGAGAACCATATGGTCTTGACTACAACCATGGTCTCTCTATTTTTGGTCATCGTGGCCATTGAGCTAAGATTCTAGATCCCGCTTGCAAAGCCTGGTGCCGAGTGTGGAGGCGGAGATTCGCCATGGTTATGATGCGATGATGTCAACCGGATTCTCCTCGCCACGGGAAGTATATAAACATGGACGTGTACACAGCATCCATCTCCTCAAGACATTACTCGCTGTAAATATCGTGCAGATTTAAAATACATATGCATAGGCCTGGCTTTACATTGTAAGAGATATACAAGATGACCGACTCCTACACCAGCTCCTCCTACTACTACAGCTCCACCACCAACACCACCAACGGCAACACCACCACCGGCCACCGGTACACGACCACCTCGCACACCGACCCCAACGGGACCACGGTGGTCCGCACCGCCCACCAAGACCTAGGCCAGCCCGCCGTCGTCGAGGAGCGCCGCTACGACCGCACCGGCCAGGAGCAGCAGATGCTGGCGTCCGGGTCGGAGACGCTCCCCGGCGGGGTCCGGCGCATCACAGAGCTGGACGACGAGACGGGCGCGACGGCCTACGACGCGGGGACGCATTATGGGATTCCGACGACGGGGACGGAAAGTGAGCGCGATGAGAGGAGCCGCGGCGATGAGTGGTGGAGTTCGTCGGTGGGGAGATCGTCGTACGATATCGGGACCCCCTTACCTGGTGCTAGGACTTACAATGCGTACACAGGGGCGTATGAGGAGCAGCGTGCCGATTACGATGCCGATGGGGTGCCGCGGTATCGGGGCCGTGGCCAGAGTGGGTATTCGGCTGAGCAGAAGGCCAGTCGGGAGTTTGAGACGGATCAAGGGACGAGGTTGAAGAGGGAGACGGATGTGAATATGTCGGATTTGTTGTAGTTGTCCAATAGGTTGAATAGCTGTACAGAATGGATTGTTGTGCAAGTCGTGGTGCATCGGGATCGTAAGTCGTAGCAATGTATCTGTTGATCGAGGCTATACCCTGATTCTTCCCTCGGCCCATCTCGCTCGTGTTCTCTCAAACACCCACGGCAGCTGAAACACCCAGTGACAAAGCATACCCGCCACGAAGCCGATGGCATCATTCTTGAACCCCACGAGCAAGCCCACGGTAACCATCATGACGGTCCACCGCCTCTTCCGCTCGATATCACTGAGCATGGGCCCGATTTCATGCTCGCTATCGCCCGTCAGTCCCTGTCCAGACCCGGCGATATCCCTGGCTCCAGTGGTGTTGAGGCTTTCGCCGACGCTGACCAGCTCCAGACCGGCAGCAATGACCATCACACCGAGCAGCGCGGAGGGGAACCGCTTCAGCAGCCCGACCAGAGTCTCCCCGAAGAAAACGCCAATCACCAGTTTCAACCCTCCCAGGAAAATGACACTCGAGCCAGACCGGGCCCCAAACCGGTACTGCGCCGCTAGCCCCCCGGAGCCATGGCAGACCGGCATCGCCCCGAACCAGCACCCAACGAGATTCATACCAGCCACACTCAACCCGATGGCCGTGATGGACGGCGTCTTCACCCGTGGCAAAAGATCGCCCGCCAGATGCACGACCGCCACAATCGAGTTGAGCGTGGTCAGCGGGATCTGCCCGACTCCCGCATCCAGCGCGCCCACCTTCCACTCCGACAGCCCGGGAAACACCAAAAACGGACGCCAGATCTCCATCGACGGCAGATCCGCTGCCAAAGTCGACTGGACAAGAGCAAATGCCAATCCCAGAGTGAACACGATCAGCGCATAAGGTACATTGCGATAGACATTTGTGAAGAGTAGGAAGATAAACGCCGCAATGGCCCACAGACGATTATCTGCCCATGAAGGCTGGATCCACCCCAGCGGTGCGAGGGTCTTCCCCGCTGCGGTGATGACCAGGGACAATCCCGCGCCCACCTGGATTCCCTTGATGACCGGGATTGGGATCACATTGGCAAACCAGTGAAGCAGACCCGTCACGCTGAAGAGCAGGATGCATGCACCTACAAAAATCCCGGCCGCAGCGATGGTCCCGTTGCTGAAGGATCGGGCGATCGCTACCGCGGCAATGGCCTTCATAGGCTGCACGGGGAGTGGGATCCCAAAGAATACACCCGTCAGGATGTTGAACATGCCGGAGAATATCAGGGTGCTCGACAGCGAGACGGTCCCATTGACAGCCAGGGCGATGGCGATGGGAAGAAAGGTGCCCAGATCGCCAAGAGAACCGGAGATCTCGGAAACATAGTGATTTCGAAATGTTCGCAGGTTGTGCGAGGATATCTCGCGAAGAGTTTCAATCTTCATGGTGTGATTGATTCAATTTCAATTGATCAATCGATGTTTGTCGACAGGTTGTCGAGAAAAGGAGTATGGAGACTATTAGATAAAGTGGAGGAACCATGGAAAAAGTCAAGAAAACAAGGATGACGCGGAGTCATGTGGCCCACCACGTTGACTGCTCCAAGCAAGATAAGCTAGGCGATCCACGATCAGAAGATTCAGAAGATCTTGAAATCTTGTCATCATGATGCGATGGATGTGACATACTTGGAAGTCATTCTTTTTACCAACGCAAATACATGATTTGTTGTTGGTCCTCAGGCCAGGGCCAAACCAAAGCGGGGTATCAATGAGTTACGGATAACCTCAGTCACTCATTAGCACTATAAGATAGGATCCGCAGACTGATAAGATCGATCCTTAATCTACACTACGGGGTACACGGCTCGAAGAGTATGAGTTTTGCATTTCACTGTCAGAGCTATCCGGAGATAGCGAGAGACTGTGTATTCAAATACACTGCGGATAAGCGAGTAATGAGAGTCAGGAACTAGAAACACAGCGAGGTAATGACTGGACGGCAACTAGGTAGCCAGATTGTTGAATGAGCAGTTATGCCCATTGTATTGCGAGTTAGTAGTCATCACCACGGCTGATGACTTCTTTCCCACCGCTGTGGAGGAGAATCGTATGCTCGAACTGGGCCGTGTAGGACCCCTTCACGTCGACAAGCGGGGAATAACTTTCAACAATGCCGTTGTCGATCAGATTCTTCATCTGTGTAGTAAAGTCAATAATCGTATATACAATATCGTCTCAGTTGCTTACCCCAAGAAGATAGTTATTCACCCCAAGACGCTCGAGATACCGGCGCGAAAAGACGATGCTTCCAAAGTTGGCGTCGATGGTTTTGAGCAGAGATTTTGCCGAAGAAAGACGCAGATTGGCACCAGACATGTTCTCGTTTCTCCCGTAGCCGTAGACTCCGACCTACTGCAGCATTAGAAAATAGAACGTACTGGAGGGAAAAACTCTCTCTGGTGCCCCTACATTATCATCGAGGAATCCTCTGCCGGTACTTCCAAAAGTCTCAATGGCATATACTTCTCCCTCTTCCATCTTGTCCTGGTTGTTGTTCTTGATAAAGGGAATCTGTTTCCCGCCGTGGATATGGTACCGGAGAATATCGTGGCCAGTGATGTTCCGGATAGCCTTGACAGGGAAGACTTTTCCGTCAATCTCGACTTCGTAGCTCTCCATCACCTCCTGGATCGCGGCACCAATGTCGCTCATTCTTGCATCAACACCAGCATGCTACCTGCGCATTAGCATCACGGTGAAAAAGCGTGCCAAGACAACAGACATACCTTGATGCCGGTATTTGTTGCCTCCCTCACTGCAGTAAGGAGATTATCGTACTTGTCCTCAAAAGCGACGGTAAATGCCGAATCGACAATGCGACCATTCACATGCACGCCGAAATCTACTTTGAGAACATCACCCTTGTCCAGGATGACGTCTTTCTCACGCGGATTTGGCGTCCAATGAGCGGCAATGTGATTCAAGCATAAGCCAGTGGGGAAACCCATGCCGGCTTTGAAAAAGTCTCCCGGTTCAAGTCCCTGATGGCCGGAAAGCGCGCGGACACCATCTTCGATACCCTCGGCAATCGACAGAAGAGTTGCTCCCGGCTTGATAAGCTCTTTCTGCGCATATTGGCGGACCTGGCGATGGATTTCGGCAGCCTGGCGGTAATCGGAGAGGAAGTCGTCGTCCCAGAGACGCGAGTTGTAACGCGACTCTTCGTCGGTCGTGCGCGACGTACAGTCGTACGGGACGAGTTCCCCGACTGGATACTCTGAGGGGAACAGAGTCGAGACTAGCACACGCGGTGGGCTAGTTTGCTTGAGCCCAGCCGCCGAAAGGCTTCCCGCTTTGGTCTTCTTCTTCTTCTTGTTGGACTTCTTGCGTTTCTTTTTCTTTTCTGTTATGGATAAACGTCAGTGGAGGTTCACCTGATCGAGACTTTGGAAGTGGTTGATTGAGCTTACCAACATTGGACGTCTCGGTGTTCACCCCATTTTCTTCGGCATCCTCGTCGTCTTCATCATCACCAATGACTCCGCGATCCAGATCGGCCGATCCCGAGCCATTTCGAGAGGTCTGAGGGTCGGGATCGGCTGGCTTGAGCTCATTGGAGTTGGAGGCTATATGGTAAGGATAAGTTAGAGTTTGCTGACGGTTGTTGTTTGTGGGAGGGTAAAAGTCATACCATGAGGAGCCTGCCAGTGTCCTTCAGGGCTCTTTGATCCCATGCTGTGGTTCCAAATCGCAGTGCTGACATGAACTGATGGCGAGCTAATTTGACAATGTGGTCAGTTTCAGTTGTCAGGAAGAAAGAGAAAGGAAAGCGGGGATTGAAGAATGTGGCTGATGGTTGCCTCACGATCGGTTGCCTAAAAAGGAAAGGTTTGCATATTTTGGCTCTTGGATACAAATTGAGACATTTATGCCAAGCACAACTACGCTTCAGCAATTATCTACTCTACGGAGTACTGCCACCACAATTATTATCTGCCTATTCTGTCATTATTACTGTCGAGCTTGGAGATTTCATCTGTGGAGACTCTACAACGACCCGTGCCTACTTATCCTAATGCTTACGGACTGCCAGTGTATGAGTCGGGCGCTTGCCAGTCCTCACAGGTTTACCCCCGTAGGTACCCTCGTGGTAAGATACAATGATGGACAGAGTCAATTGAGTATCCATGCATGAGATTTGTCAAAATCCCTGGTCATTCCATCATCCTTGCAATTATCACTGCTCTCTATGGGCACTCAGATGAACCGCTGTGCCCAATGTTTGCTTCCTCTTTCCCCTCCTTCTGCAGGCCGTTTGTCTCTTGTCCTCTCCAGACATCGTCCTCTGTCGGACACGAGAAAAAAGAAAAGGAAAAAGCAAAGAAAAAAGCAAGGACAATATAGTCTGCGAAGCTGTTTCAAGGCATCTGAGCCCAAATCATCCGACAGGTCAACCGGCAAATTATGAGGAATGGTCCCGGCCGAGATCCTAGACGTCTCGTCTCCCCCATTTCTCCTGCTCTTCGATGGACAGTTCGTCCGGACGTCGCCGGATCATCTAGCTCGGGTTGATCTGTCACTTTTTATTGGCCATGTCATATACTACAGCCAGCTGATGGCAGGAAAATAGTAATGTGGGGAACCAGCTTGACTCAGGTAGCCACAGTCTGCACGCAACAATCTGACAGGGTTCGCTGTGACTTGCGAGAACCACGATGAACCAATAGCATCATCCTTCACAAGCAATTCCAGTTGCCTGTCTCGCTCACTCTGTCAATGGAGCGATCTGGCTCTCGCTAACTTTGACATTCACAGCAGTTTGCATGAAGAGCAAGCCTCGATGGCACGGTCGTTCGATCCACCAATCTGCAATAAACAGCTGTGGTAACTGGTAACTGCTGCAATTTAGAGTGCGAGGGAGAGCCTACCCGGTGCGGAAGAAGCTCGCATAGAGCTGCTTCTTTCCCCCAACTTTACTGCATACGCATCGAGAGGACAAATGAGGGCACGCTTGTGCTTTCTTTTCTCAGGGTAGAAGACATGTCAATTTCTAAACCAGTCGAGTCTCTCCTGAGGGTGCGTCTCCGAGGAGCGCCATCTCGCTCAATCACAGTGCAACAAAAGTCCTCTTGGATGCAGATGGGACGCGTTGAGCGCCACTGTCTCGAAACCCCAGTCATTCAGCCAGCCTGTTACCGGCGACGCCGTGGGAAAGCATGGATCTGGAACGTCTTCCTACTCCATGATAGTGAGAGCCCAGACTGATGTCGGGCACTCCGTTCAGAGAATATCATCTCAATGCACATTTGACTGCACGCATCCAGATGGTTGCTCTGCACGGTGCTCGCCGTGGTGTACAGCGACGTAGCATACAAAAATCCCCCCTTTTTCCCTATATGAATATTTAAGGGAACTATGCCCTCTCAAAATCGTCTCGCTGCTATGGTCTGCAAAATCTTTTATCCACTTACTCAATGGTCTTTTTTATCTGATGCTGGTTTGAGTTGCTTTTTTTGTTGTTTTGCGGGTCGTCGTCGGGACTCAAACAAAACGACAGTTGATTTCCACTCCCCTCCTAGGTCCACAGTCACTGCACCTCCAACTAGTAATTCAAAGCAATCATCATCTGCAAGGTTCAAGACCCCTCCACCTGTCGTCCAGACTCAGGCCTCTGCAGAGTCATCAGATAACACCACCTCAACTATAGCTCCGGTCATCTTAACTACCATGGCAGCCACAGTTTCCTCTCCCTTGCCTCCTGGTTTGCTAGCTAGCAACAGACGTGTCTCGGGTCTCATGGACAGCGATGTCCTCTCAAACAATGGCGTCGCCCGTTCCGTCACTTCCCGTAGGGTGTCCTCCAGGAAGTTCAAGACTGTCGAGACATCAGAAGTATCCAGTTTGGTGCACTCCCTCAAACGTCGAAGTGGCGACGAGATCGGCGCTGGTGCATCGTCGAAGCTGTTGAACCATACACATGACTCTGTCTTGGACTGGATCCGTTCCCAGCGGATGAGCCTGCTCCCCCCTGAAGGGAGTAGCTACGACAAGGTGCTATCATGGGCGCAGCTTTTTGTCGAGAGGCTGCACTCTTTCGACGAGGCGATTGAGGAGTTTGCCGGTGACAGCTATTTAGCGGCGCGGTTGGCTTATGGCTATTGTGCTTTGTTACTCGAGGTACAATCACGTATCCTATCCAAACGATCACACGACGCTGACACACTAGCAGCTAGGGCAGGAAAATGCGTCTGCGCTCATGATTTCCTTTGGCTTCTTCTACGGCACTTCGATGAAGCTTGGCAATCTACTTGAGCGGACGGAGCTGTTCAGCGTCTCCCAAGAAATTCGAGAGCAGCTGGTTCTCGCTCTTGCGGACTTGGTCACCCTGGTCGCCAGTGTGTCCATGCACTTTCACAAGGCGATCCTCGGCCTGACCACGGCATCGATCTCCATCGACCTTTACAAGACCTTCCCTGGTCAGATTCAGACATTCCGTGACCGATGCGAGAAGATTTCCGAGGCCATGTGGCGTCATCAAGTCCTGAGGGAGAACTTGGACCTCGAAAAAGGTATATCCATCGCTTTATCTATTTGGGTAGCCGCTGACCAGGAACAGTGTCTGATCCGAAGGCAATCAAGCTATGGCTGAGCCCCGAAGATCGTGTTCTCGGTAATGTCGCGGAGCAAAGCTCCCATCTGGCCCATGACCGGGAGGAAATGACCTGTCTTTGGATGGCACCTTACTTGGCACGCTTTTTGAAGAGTCCGCTCAAAACTCTTGCTATCGCTGGCAAGCCTGGTTCCGGACGAACCGTTTTGGCCTCGGTAATTGTCGATCACCTGCAGCACACGATTGGGGGCATTTCCTACGCCACATTGTTCATTCCAATCAGTGAGTATCTCGGACTCTTCATTCTGTGAGTAACCTCCTAATTTTATCTGCAGATGCAAGAGTTCCAGCAGAGGCTACACCGCGTGCGGTAGCCAGAAGCATCCTGTACCAGCTTTTCGATAAGCGCATCGGAAATGTGCAGTTGTTGCAGATCCTGAGTGTCGCTCACGACCGCAGCAAGAAGGCCACTAATGAGCAGGATTATGACAGTCTTCTGTGGAATGCTTTGGAGGCGGCACTCAGCGTCGCTCTGCCTGGTGCCAAAGAGCTTGTCATTGTCGTTGATGGCGTCGACGAAGCATCCTGCAGTGAAACCGCCATGCTCAATCAGCTGACCACAGCCACTGCTAAGGGGAATAACGTGAAATTGATCACCCTGGGTGCACTCAAGCCTCCCACTGCGGCAGGTCAAGCCTTTGTCCAGATCACCGAGGAACTCATCTTCGATGATATCGCCGCCGTTGTACGGGATCAGTTACAGCAGAGTCGTGTCTTCTTGGACATGTCTGAGCTGGATCAGGAAACCATCGTTGGCCGGATCACGGAAGCATCCCAAGGCTCGTTCCTGTGGGGGAAGCTCGCCACAAAGCGGGTTCGCTACGAGGAGACTGAGGAAAGCCTCCACAAGGCCGTGGATGCCCTGTTGAGTGCCAAGCTTACTCTTGCCGACTTTGTCGACCAACTTTTGCAAGGACCCAACGTCTCTGAAGATGCAAAGCACATGTTGCTCTGGCTTGTTACAGCCGATCGGCCGCTTCTATTGAAGGAACTCGAGCTTTTGGCTTCCATACAGCTCGACAAGCTCGCGGTGGCGGAGCGTAAGCTCGACGTACTGCAAGTCTTGAAACCACTCAATGGTCTGGTATTCGTGCAAGATGGCCAGGTTTTTATTCGTCACGGTCTCGTCAGAACCTCCCTCCTGGATATTTTTAGCAAGGGCAAACTAGTTTCGACCGTCAAAGACCGTCACGCTGATCTCGTGACTCGCCTGTTGATTTACATCCGGGCAACGGTGACGCAGGAGAATGAACTCTCCCTTGTATCGCTGGACTGGCACGATACCGACCGCCTCGTCAACAGGAATCCCCTGCTCGAATTCGCCGTCCGCTACTGGGTGCACCATGTTCGGCAAACCTCGGCGTTCACAGCCAAAGGTGAGGTTGCAGCAGCGAAGGAGTTCGCCAAGGTGCTACCAACTTCGGTCACGACCCTGCGACTTGAGAGCACGCTGTGGGAAAATGCACCTACACCCACGCTGCTGCTCTACTTGACCACTGTCACCAACATCTACCGCCAGATGCTGTCGACGAATCATGTTGTGACTCTTCAGTCCATTATCTTCTTGGCTCTTTTGAACCAGCGGCTGGAATGTATCTCTGAGGCCATTCCTCTGTTCTATGAAGCTGCCACGCTGAGCCGCACGCGTCTGACTTCACGCCATATCGTGACAATGCAGATGGCTAGGACCTTCGTGGAGCTGACCGAGCAGAGAACCACAAGCACCAAGACCGAGATTATGGTCAAGAGAGAAGAGGTCTTGGTGCTGTTGGTTGAGTGCTACAAGCGTCACTATGGAGAGGATTCTGAAACTGTGGTCACACTTCTCAGGCAATTGATCGAGCACTACCGCCTGATTAAGGAAGAGGAGAAGGTTCAAGAGATACTCGCTTCAATTGAGTCCTTTACCACGCACCATCATCGTCATGGTTCCAGTGGTGCTAACGGGGAGCTGGAGATTCGTCTCAAGGGCCTCAAGGGCACTAACGGGCTAATTGGTACCGGGTTGTCGCTGGACTATGAAGAAGGCGACGAACTCATCCAAGAATCCGAGTCGTACGACGTTGAGGAATGGATTAAAAAGGCCGAGATCTACGTGGCCGAATGCAAGGTCGAACTTGCTGAGCGTACATACGTCGAGATCTGGCAACGAGTGAGCAGAGAGTACCGCACTCATTACTCTGCGTACTGGGAGGAGCGGAAGATGGCCACTGTGTTGGCATACTCCAGGTTCCTTGTGTCTCAGAAGAGACAGTACGAGGCCTCCTCTGTGTTGTCAAGTCTGTGGCAAGAGTATGAGCAGGCAAGCATCTCGATCTCCGAAACTTCCGTGTCCTACTTCCAGGAAATCGCCAAGATGATGAAGGTCGTTGGCATCTCCGAGGTGGCACTCTCGGTCTACAAACGCTGCTCCAGATACTATGAGAGCGTCAATTCAACCCACAGCTCCACGTATAAGGAGATACAGGAGAGCATCCGGACTACCTCGAAGGAGGTTGTCAAGTCCTTCAGTTCTTCGAGCACGGTCATATCAGAGACGACCATCGAGGAGGTCTTTTACGACGGCTCCACCGAGACCATTGAGGAGTCTTCGTTCACAGCTATGCATCAGTATATTGAACTGTATATTTCGCAGCATCGCTGGCAAGACGCCACGCGCGTGCTCAAGAAGATCCTACGTCTTGTCTGGCCTTCTCTCTTTGCGCCATCGGTGCAGGATGTCACCCTTCCCGAGAAGCATGTCGAGCATTGCGTTGAACTTGCTGCCCGTCTCGGTTTGTGCTATCATTCTCGGCGTCGCTTGAGCAAGGAGGAGGACATCCGCCTGAGGGTGTACCGAGCAGCCCGTGCCGAGAGGAAGGTGGAAGACAGGCTGCGTGAGCGCGCTACCACCGAATTGCTTCGTTTCTTCGAGCATACCTCGCAGACGGAGATGATTATCAACCTTCGACAGGAGATGTTGAGCGATTATATCGAAGCCTACGGGGCTGAGCATGAGCGTGTAATCAAGACTCTCTGGGTCCTGGCCGAGCTAACGCGTCCTCGTCCGATTTTCATCGAATACTACCAGCAAATAATCCGAGCGTTGAACAAGGACTCCCCGGCCTGCCATACAGATGCCATTGAGCCGATGGTCATTGTCGCCACTGAGCTGTGGAATCAAGGGCGCTATCTGGACGCCTTGGCCTACTACAAGATCATTTTCAATACGTTCCTGACCCAGCCCAAGCTCGGTTTCAAGTTCCAGGTCCAGGAGTTTGTGCAGGAGCTTTTCGAGCGCTACACACGCTGCTTGCGCAGTGTCCACGCAGAGTTCACTGTGCTACACAAGGTCACGGTCGAATACCGAGCTCGGTGTACGGCAGTTTTTGGTGTGACTGCATCGATTACCATCCGAGCGACCCTGAGTCTTGCAAAACTCTGTCAGGAGTCTAAGCGCTTTGAGTCTGAAGCTATCACTCTCTATGAAGAGCTTCTCAAGATCGAATCCACGGAGATAGACAGGGAAGAAATCTCCGCGACGCTGGATGGTCTCGTTGAGGAACAAGCAGAGGCTACTAGCTCTTCCACTCACAGTGAACGGACTTTCAAGGTCATGCGGAAGCGCATCACCACCGTGCGTGAGACACACGGCTGGGCTCATGAGGAATCTCTGACTCGGATGAAAGAGATGATCACTATCTACACGGAGCGGAAGGAGACTGAAACTGTGGTGCGCGAGCTCACCGAGGCGACCGTGCATATCCTGATGTCCGAAACGTCTTCCACTCGCTTGATCGCTGCGGCCAGCACCATCGCGTCCTGCTATATTGCAGCGGGTCAGATCCAAAAAGCGGTCGAGCTGTCGCACGAGATCTATCGGCAGATTGTGATGAAAGAAGTCGTCAACGTCGAGACTGTCCAGTTTGACCTCTCCTCCAAGGAGCGCAAGAGCCTCACGTTCTTGGCGCAGCTCGAGTATATCCTTCGGCGCAACACTTCGGTCACGGTGACGGAGATCCTTGCCGCGTTGACCACCGAGTATGTCTACTTTGAGGAGTTCCGGAGACTGATCACGTCCAAGAGCAGCACCATCCAGACGGCCACCGCGTCTGCTGCTCGACTGTACCACTTCCTGGTTGCTAATGACCGGCAAGCTGCAGCCGCCCGGGTCTTTGATGATTTCCTCGGCTATTTCGCCGCCACGGAGGGCAAGCGCGTGGACCTGACCGAGACCTCGCGGGTGAAGATCCTGGTCATTACTATTTTGGACCACTTCAGTTCCCATCATTCGCACGACTTTGTCCGCTCCATTGGCATTGCAAGCATCCATCGGGTCACGGAACTTCTCAAGGACCAACGCTACGAAGCGGCTTGCGATCTGGCGCTGGTCAGCCTCAAATACCTATCGGCTCATGATGTCTACCGGAGTGCTGCTATCGTCAAGTTTGCCTTTGTCTTGGGTATGACCATTTCTGGGCGCGATGTCGTACCTCGCCCCGATGACGCCATTCGCAAGAAGCTCCTGGGTGTGTCCGCTGTCATCATCCAGGACGCACTCCGCGTCATCGATGGACTCAAGATCGACCTGTCGCAGATCGGCCTCCACCACCTGAACAATCTCATCGGCCTCCTGGGCGAGCAGCAAGACTACCAAACTCTCGCTTGGCTCCTGAACAAACTCTGGAACAGCCGCGAAGCTCAGCGTACCTGGAAGCCATATGTCACACTTGCGCTGGGCCGCCGCCTCGTCCTGGCCCGCTACCTCGTCGGCGACTCGATGGCCGCGCTGCGCTTGGCCGAGGACATTGTGTACAATTGCCGCCGCGTGCACGGTGCCTGCCACCCCGCTACACTGGATACCTCTGTCCTTTTGTCCCAGCTGTATATTGGCGTCGGCCTGCGGTACCAGTCCCACAAGAACGGACAGGAGATGGCCAACCGGTACTACAAGAAGAGCGCGGCGCTGCACGAGAACCTGCTCCGCATCTTCAGCGACCCCTCGTTTGCCGAACTGGAGTGCGGTCTCGACAACAGCATGAGCCTGGATGGCTCCACGTACGACCTCGATTTTGGCGAGCCGGTTGGCCACGTCCCGGACGGCGAACGTGTGCGTCGGCACCTGTATCTGCTGAAACTCGCTGTGCAGCGGTTGGGTGATTGGCCCAAGGACTACAGCGAGTATGAGCGGCTGAACGCGGACCTCTTCCGGGAGTTTCCGACTGATCTAAAGGGCGTGGATGGAGTGGAGAAGTGGGATCTGACGGCGTTTGGGGCGGGCAAGGCGGAAGGAAATGCAGATATGTTGGAGACTGAGTTTACGGGGTGGGAGTTTTTGGAAGCTCCAGCGCCAGTGGAGTAATCTTTTGCGTTTGTATATGTTGAGTTGCAGTCTTATTCTTGTGTTTGTATTTTCTGTTTTAGGATGATATCAAATTGTTTCAACTGTGGTCAGATGCAATGCAGTTCAATTATAGCACTTCTTCAATAGTTCCTTCTATTTCATGTAGAACTATGCAGTGATCAAAGCAAATGAACTGACTATTGCTGTCTTGGGAATGCCATTCAGATGCTGGATACATCCCATGTCTGCGATTATAGCATTGCAACATTAATGTACGAGTACTGCTTATGCGTCATGATAGTAGTAAGCCTGTGAAATATTAATATATTACTCTAAACAGCCTAAACTAATTGTCGCAGAGCTTACATACAAGTAGTGGGTTATTACTATTTCATATTCACTGCGCATGTACCACTCTAGTACTCCGTAGATAAAGTGAACACACTCGGGCAGCGAATACTCTGAGGGTTACGCCATAGTAATCAATGAGCATTAACACCACTGTAGATCCTATCATCAAATTTGTATAGTAGATCAAATTGATTTCATCCTCCGCTGAGTTCACCTCAAACATCATAATAGTCACATGACCATTACCTGCCTAAAGGGTGTTGTTATAACTTATAAGTTATAACCTATCACCGTATCCCTACCCCTTTCATAAGGGGAGGAAAGAAGTGCTTAATTAGGCTATGTAGTAAGTGCCTGTTAAGTATGTACTACTAGCTGCTCTAGTAGCTCTCGGAGCTAGTCTTTGTGCTCCTGAGTGTAATTTTACCCATCACATGATTTGACTTATATCTAATGTCAAGCAGCTAAATTTTGTGGTTTTGCTTTTACTTTTCTTTTTTACCTTTTGCCTTTTACCCCCGCACAAACCAGCTCACTATGCAGTACTGCTGATACACATAACAAAAGAGCAATAATCTGGCTTTAATATGGACAAAACAGAGGACCAAAAAGAAACACTTCATTCATTATGCGGTCGCACAATTGTCCGAATCAGCAATGATCTTGTGGTGAAATCTGGCAATCTTCGGTCCCATGAAGCGCAAACACTTCGTTTCATTGCGGCAAACACAACAATCCCTGTACCCAAAGTTCATGATATCCGTTGGCAAGATGGCCAAGTTGAGTCTATTGTGATGGACTACATGCCTGGCAAGCGACTCGACGAAGCATGGCCTAGTTTGGATTCCAATCAGAAGCTCTCTATTGCCGACGAGCTTCACTCCTACATCAACCAACTTCGCAACTTGAAAGGTGACTACATCGGGGCCATTGATCGTGGGAAGGCTATAATCGGACAGATTGCATCAATCGAAGGCGGTCCATTTGATTCCGAGCAGCAGTTCAATGAGTTCATCCTAGGAGATATTGTGCCGTCGGCACCAGATATACTGCGCCATTACGCCAAATTTGCGCTTATGGATAACCATAAGATTGTTTTTACGCATGCTGATTTCGCCCCGCGGAATATCCTTGTCGAAGGCGGCCATGTCACTGCTCTCCTGGATTGGGAGTATGCGGGCTGGTATCCGGAACACTGGGAATATATTCAAGCGCTTCGGCAACTGAAACCGATGCCCGACTGGCCAGAATATCTGTCCCGTATTCTTCCACCTCAATACGAGAGAGAATACATAGGCATGTCCTTCCTAGTTCGTCTCTTACGTCACTAGCTGATGCATTATGGATATCATGTAACCATCTAGCACAAGGCTAAATCGAGCATATTATAAAAGAGTCCCCGTCGGCAGGTCCATTCTTCACGGGGGTTCTTGAAACGATGCCTCTGATAGAGGCTTCACTGATTGAATCTTGAAGTTCTGCCACTTCGATTCTCTTCGCAAGCCTTCGACTTTGTTCGGGGCGGTAATTGTCCATTGGCTGGAATACGAAAAACCCAGGTCCACCGTCCACCCTCTATATGCATCACACATGTGGATCCATTTGGAAACTCGAAAAATAAAGCTGTATGGCGATACTTGATGTAGTCGAGAGGGTCTCCGACCAAGACAAGAATGGAAACCTTGGTTGGCATTGTAATGAAGGGCCGAATGCTGCTTGATAATCTGGAATCTGGTTTGCTTATGCCTTGAAAGATGTGTATTGTAGCTGATGAAGACCTGGAAAAACGAAAGCTCTTTAAATAGACAAGAGGACGGTCATCCCTCTTCTGCCCATAACCCGAAAAGCATACCTGAAACAAATTTATGCGCGCGGTAACGCATGGGTCAGCAGTGTTTAGAACCTTTGGGGATTCCATTGATAACTTTAGCGCCCTCCTCAACCTGGGGGAATGATGAATGCTAATCGATGTCAGATAACCGAGGCGATGCGAGTTGGTCGAGTATTTAGCGCTCGGGTTGCTGGCTAACCATGCAGGTAACTCTTTGGTGAAACACTCAGATGGGTCTTCGTTCCGAATGGGCCGTCGTTCGACCAGGTTGAACCCGTTTGTATTCGCAACGGTCAGTCTTCTAGCTTCGGAGGTGTAGCTGCCTGGCGCATAAATTCCATGAAAGTGGCCCGACAGGGTGCGCTCCTCTGCCTTCTCTCGTCTATCTTTCTCCTTTTTTGCCTTCGTCTTCAGCCTGCTTCCATCTCTCCTCTTCTTCCTTCCGCCTCTCTTCTGCCTGCGGAAAGGGGGCTTTGTAGCCTGGGGAACTGCTATCAGTCATGGGCTTGTCGGAAGGGGAAGACAATAGCTTGAGTCAACTGAGCTGATTAGACGAAGAACGGGGATTTGCGTATCTGCTCCATGAACGCACTAGGGCAACTAGTTACGGTACTCACATCTCACAGTGTCGTCGGAACAGCGGACTTGCTGTGATGGACAGGACTCAATTTCAGCTATTTTTTGTGGAATTCGGTCCCTTACGCCATACTCCCGAAATCTGTTTGTCTTCTGGTTGTTCTCCGTCAATAAGGCTTTAAAAATGACATCGAAAAAAGCTGAAAAGGGTCTCAAGGACAACTTACTGCCATCGTATCCGCTCTGAAAGCATGAAGACCAGAGCGATAGCGCAATGATAATAGCCAGAATGTGAAAGTGCTTAGTTATTGGACTAGAGGACCTGCTGGTGGTCAGAACCAAACAAAGGTCGAGTCGACCTTAGAGGAGGAGAGGAATAAGACATCAACGAGTCGGGGTATATCTTCGAAACGGAGATTTTGGGAATAAACGATATTCAGAGCAGCAATAGCAGATACCGATTCTGGTCTATTGGGTCGACCAGATTGCTGAAGTCGTATTCCAAGTAGTTTCTCTAACACCAACGGCGTGACCCGAGCATTGATACCTCACAACGCAATCTCTCTGTCCTTCTGGTCAAGTTTGAAGTGATGCAGAGTCTTGCAAATAGATCCTGTTCTTTCTTTTTATACGTACGCTCTTATGCAAGGATCTGAGGATGTAATACCATTACATAACTCATCTTCCCTTATCTTTTCCCTGATCTTTGCCTTTCGCATATGTGATCCCTTGAGCTTTGCGCTAGATTTGCGTAAGTTGAATGCCCATGGACCTATAAATAGTTTGTCCTCGTTGAAGGTTTCTTTTTGCCGTCCAGAAGTTGAATACTGTTGATGCCTGTATCTCTTTCTTTTGACCTCTTGCAGCCTATGACCAAGAACTAAAGCAGCCACTATAAATTTATAGAAGAAGCTGTGAGCAATTTGGATGGCCCATCTACTTAAGGTAGGGTGTTAGTAATAGAACTTAGTGCAGGACATGGTGAAGGCCCAGGAACCTATCGAACCCTTCCGAGATCCTACTGTTCTGCATCACGTTGGAAGCGAGCCCTTCCGGTGCTGATGCATCATGGGGAGCCGCGGCATTTGCCCTTGGTCTGTTGCACGAGATCCAACGAGTCGATAGTGGTGATGATAGTAAATCTACGTGACAAGAAGGAGACCTTAGTGGACCACATTCCTAGACAAGGCACATTATCTGTCATGTCTACTGGTCCTCCCAATTGGCAAGCAAGCATATGGTTGAATTCACTGCTATGCATGATCGAGCAATTCAGTGCGGCATGAACCAACATAGCTTACTAAGATAGCCAGCCCTACTTCTCTAGAAAGGATTGACCACTTCCACCTATCCCACATTAGTCAGCCCTATATTCCTCATATGACCACTCCAGGGTGGATTAACCACTTACGCACCATAGAAAAGTGTCCTATGGGGACCGCCAGAGCCGTCTCTCGTAAGTCCTCTTTCGCGGAGGATTGGCTGCTGCATACCACACGAATCCGCCTCAGCCGGGATATGTAGAAAACTACTCAGTTACTAGATAATGAAGCAATGGTAGTGTTAGCAAAGCAATCGGTTTTGGCAATGCGATCAGGGGAGCATCAACACTCAAAGGGTGGTGGGCAGTCAACTACTGGGCACAGTTACTGCAACCTCGGTTTTTCTTGGTCTTTTTGGAGTGGGTGGGAGAACAGGAATGGCGCTGTTGAAAGATTGATATCTAATAAATAGAAAGGCTACAGACTCAGCTGATGTCCGCTGCAGTCTTACACGTAAAAAGTACGAGACCGTGGTATCAGACAGGGCCCGTTCGCGCTCCCTCTTGAGGATGCAACGTGTGTCTCTATAATAATCATTGACAAAGATTAAAGCGGTAGACTCGGCTGCTAAAAAATAAATATCGTATTGAGAAAGAGGGGAAGTATGCGCATTAGTTATGTACAAGTCTGCTCCTAAAGGGTATTAATACATCCCATTCAGCACTATCAATGGAATAGATCAAATTCATACAGCAATTACCCTAATAAATAAGAATACTGCACATTGGTGCCTATCATTTGTAAAGAATCATCCAGGAAACTGGAAGAAAATACCAATGTTGCCTTATAGCTAATGAGACCCAGGAAGCAATAACTGACTGGTATGTTTTCACCTTGATGACAGTTTAATGTAAAGCCTCGATGAAGACAGGGCGTAACTCTTACTCGGCCAACTCTAGGCTTGTTTATTGGAGCTCAAAAGTCGATTGCAACTCTTAGTGGCTACATACATGAGACTGTCCTCTACAATTATGGATGCCACTGAATGCAGACAGGCTTATAGGACAGTTTTCCGGAAGCGGACGTACCGAGGACGGCTTGACTCGACCTTGAGTCAACATGAGGCGCATGCCTTACACGACGCTTACCTGGCGTCCTTACCGAGGGACGGGTGTGCTAGGTCTCGCCGCCGGCACAATTCAGCCAGGGCGCCTTGTACGGTGCTTCCCACTACGACCGCCCAGCCACGTCTGGCACTCCCCCACCTCCCCCGGATGCATATCAGGAAATTATCTTCAGTGCTGGGTATATTGCTTTGGCGTCATACGTATGGGATGCCAATGCACACTTGGACTTGATGCGCGGCACGATCGCTCAGCCCCTTCCCACAGGCCACTGGTATGCTTGTTTGTGGCATGACGCACTTTTCGGGCGGTCTGACTTGGGGCCCCTGTATCGAGAGACAGCTCTTAGTAAAGATAGGGGATGGTTCATTGGTGACCAGATGTTCACTGGCTGTGGGCGAAGCTGCAGTTGCCCCAAGCGGTACCACAAATACGGCTTAGGTGCCACGCTAGCATGGACGCGCCACGCCTGGTGTTGTCTCCCCGGCTTGGTATCGCCGTCCGATGTGAGGACATTTGGATGCTTTGTTGCCAGCGTCCGGGCCATCCTCCGCTGCGGGGAGGGGAGGCATGACCCCTTTCCCCAAAGGAATACCTCTGCGGCACTACCAGTCCAGAAGGCGTGTGTCGGTGGGCTCGCGCAGGTTAGATGTCAAATAGTGCACCTGCTTGTATGGTGTGCACTTGATGCCCAATCGCTCGCACCAAGGTTTCGCTATCCCATGGGTGGCGATACCGCTGTCATATTGAGGGAGTCACTGTAGTGGGCCTCCTCGTTAGACCCTGAATTTCGCAACGTCTCTGATCCCCTATGAGAATGCAAAGCGTGTACAGTATAGTCTATGTGTGCCGAAAATGCATCGAAAACAATCTATAGTGGGCTTGGTCTTGCTGTACTCACTAATTACATTTGTGTCAACCGCTGGAAGTACTAGCGCCTTCAAATCACCTTTCAGAACCTACCCGATTGGTGTACACCAGCATCGCCTGTAACTTAGCCGTTCGAAAGATGAGTCAATGATCGGGCGGGCAAGTGAGCCAGATCCTGAGATTATAGATGTTTCTGGCGATGGCGACCGGCTGCCGGACTGCCCTGCTCTTCATTATTATATGCATAATCATTGCTCGCTTAGGAATACATGACAATACTGATATGTGACTGAAATTAGAAAACAATAGATCAAAATTGTATGTATCCTGCTCGGTACAGTGGACATTAGATGAGCTTGGTCGACCACTCTACTGTGGGTCCAGTATACCTGGCTGCAGGGTCTGCAGCCCACCAAAACTCTTCGGGCTGGGAAAGGATCGTATAGGAGGCGATGCTGTTCACACAGTCCATTCGAGTGTACTTTGTGTGCAAGGCTGCAGTGATAATTTGGACCCGTTCCTGCCAAGACGCACTGTTGTAACTGCGGCAGCTAGTACAGGCCTCGAAGTGCGCAATGCTCGAACTTATGATCTCGTCGTACCGATCCGTATCCTGGCAGCGGTCACGGATGCTATAGTTGTGAGGGGTTGCAGTGGGCGGCATTGGATTCAGGGAATTCAGCACCGGATCTCCATAGGGGTCAACGACAGGCCTGCTGCAAGGGTCAGGTGCGGTCAGATGATCTAGCAGAACGTCGTTCTGGTAGCGTGCCGTATAGATCTGGGAGATAAACACTCGACCGGTAGCGTGGAGAATCCATTCGGCATCATGGTTGATTGCCCAAGCCCAGACGTCGACGCAGAACCGGCGGAGAATGTCCACACTCTCTAAGCCTGTATGGACGCTGACAATTGTCAGAAGGTTGTAATATACATTCCCAATATTATCGTGACGGCGGTCACACACGTCGTGTATAGCGCATGAAACGGAAGCGACCGCAGTCACGATATCGAGATCTTCCGTACTCGGACCTTGCGCCGCGTTGAGCTGCTGAAGTGTGGACGCAAAAAAGCTGCTACTAACGAGACGAAATTTGATGCTACACAATTCGTTGTCAGGACATAGGAGTTTACTGCCGTCGTGCGGCCGGAGGATGTCGAGATACGCGGTGAGGATACACATGAGCCAAGCATCCATGATTTTTCGCTCCAGCTGGTCCTCGGCGTGCTCTTGGTGAACATGTCTAATGTACCCGGCGACGAGCTCCGCCATTGTCTCCATTGCCGGGTCAACCTCCGGGGAACGAGGCAGAAATTCGTAGTAGTCTGAACAGATTGTGAACATGCTGGCCGCACAGGAGCCGCGTAGACATGCCTGACACAGGCGCCTAGTGTCCAGGCTACCCCAAGTGTATCCAAATCCTAGATCGGCCATTGCGTATCCAAATTGCGTCCGGGGCACCTCCATAATTTCGGCCATGGCGGGTACAAAGACCTTGCTGCGAGCTACAAACCCGAGTCTGGGCGGCGCATCAAGGACACGAAGCTGCGGTGGGGGCTCTTTGAGCTCTCGTACCCATGCCAAGCTCTCGCTCAGAAGCGAACTTTTCATTTCTTTATTATAACTGCCAACAGGACTCGCGTCGAAGAGGGCGGGCCACATCGCCGGATTCCAGTTCTTCATAATCTTTGGCAGTAGCCGAATGTCCGAGGCGAGCTGTCTTCCGCACTCATCATTGGGAACGTAAAGGTCTGGTCCGAATAAATGAATTTTGATGGCGGTCATACTGATAGGTGTGACAAGTAGTGGAGCACAGACAAAGTGTAGATACTGTACGAGTCTAGACGGGAGCAGCGAGGAGTGAAGTTATCATCAAGGAAGGAACAGCACCAGGACCACTTGTAAACAAAATTATTGTATTGACCCGATGCCAGCGTCACAATGTACCTAACCATATGATACGATAGCAACGACGTTACTTTTCAGAGTGATCGAGATTGTCCTAGATTCTTGATATAAGTCTGAAAGACCTGTCTGAGCCGTTCGGACCGTCGAGAGGTTTCATAAAGCAATTACTACCCCTATCGCGAACCTACCTGCTCATCTTGCAACGTAGAAATGATACCTAAACACCCCCCCCCCCCCCCCGGGTCCGAACGGGAAGGAGCCGGCGCGACGTGGCTCCATCAAGCAGGAGCAACGTGGCGGCAAATAGCAGAAGGACTGAAGTCAACAAAGCAAGGCGATGCACGTTGTCCTACATCGATTTGGATTAAACTACAGGATGAGAAACATACACACCTCTAACATCAATACAAATATATCATTCGCCGAAGAGGTGACAAAAGTTGCTGCAACCACATTCGACTTGATATACTGGCGGGCAGAATGGTCATGGTTTGGGATTGGATGGATCTGCATCAACCCATGATTTACCGTATACGTGATTTTAAAACAATACTACTTATAGTAGGTAGGCAGTAGTAGGAAGATCTCTCATTTAGAGAATACTGCAGATATTATAGACAGTCTATAACCTACAAGCTTATTAATATTATTAAAAATATACTGCAAGACTGACATGGCATGTAGAGTTGCATAACCTGAACTGGTAAAATCAAATCCGACCCTGAGCGGTTTGGTGCGAGTTTAACCACAAAAACTCATATGCCCCTCAGTTATCATTTATCTATTATAGATGTGTGAATCACATAGAGAGATGTCCTCTCTCACTAATCCAAAAAAGGGGGGGAAAAAAAGAAAAAGAAAAGAAAAGAAAAATCGACATATGGTATCTTATTTGAACACACCCTGACGCGTATCATAGATTTATTGTATAATGCGTTGAGCACTTTTGCCGGAAATCCTCGGGACGGAAGCCGCATTCATCAAAGTCTAAGTGGCAGAGGATGGCTATGCATTATGAGGTCGTTATCTAGGTCACTTGAGTCACATCATGTCTGTGAGATGGCTACAGTAGCGATAGCAAGGATCTCTGGCGGTGCGGACCGTACATTACCCCAGAGGTTTGCTTTTATGGTCAAAACTCAAACTAAGATATAATATGCCTGTGAACAATGTCTACTAATGCTACACCGATGCCTGGAGCATGTCGACTCTCTATAGCCTTTCCTCGTCCCGTCCTGCCCCACTAAGTATCAAAGGACGTATGCCTGATTAGGGACTGTTGCAATAATGTTCACAGGCTAGTGGTGACCATTAATAGGGCTTTTGTGTATGATGCTTTAAAGGATATAAACCTATTCTAATAAAATTAATTAACTAGGACTTATCCAAGTAACCAGGCTCTATAGAATCCTAGAATCCTTTCTAGTAGTAGTCATCGTCAAATTTATAGTACATAAGGTCAGAGATAGGAAGATCTTTCTAACTAATAGGATATTATTCAAGTGTCTATGCAATACTAATATTTAAATTAATAAAGTATTTTCACTTAGTCTTATTATACTATAATGGGATATTCATAGTCGTTAAGGACGTGGAGTCTTTGAAGAGGGTGAGGGTAGGGGGTAGGCTAATAGCTACCCTATACTTACCTCATTATCTTTAAGGGATTCCAGTCTTCTTTTATATTTTAACCTAGGCTAAGAAGGAATATAAGGTCTAGGTAGCTATATATAGACTTATAGAGTAATAATAATTATTAGATATTATTACACATCTAATAGACTTTCCTAAAGTTATATCTATGCTAGTTAATATTACATCCTCCCCTACTTAGAAGTTCTGAAGTTATAATCATGGTATATATACTAAGCTTATCTTAAAAGAAGTATATAAACTGCACTAGAATAAACTAAGTAAGGTCCACTAGTTCTCATAAAGTAGTAATTCACAGCGTGAAAAGGCCATAGTTTCTGGCTCAAAAGCCATACACAACCATGTCCTTTCCATTGTCACCCAGACTTACTCTGTAGTAAGCTGTAGATGTCAATCTATTACTCCAATAAGCCTAAACTATTCTCACAGATGTCATATACAAGTACTGGCAGCCGTCAATGCGGGGAATCCCATCCCATCCTATCCTCCATCTCCCATACAGAGTAATACCATGAAACTCTACCATCTCTTTCTGTCCATCACCTTCACTACATCAACAGCCACAGCCACAGCAGAAGCAGACTACATCATCATCGGCGGCGGCACAACCGGCCTCCTCCTCGCCAACCGCCTCTCCTCAACCCCAACCACCACCGTCCTCGTCCTCGACCCCGGCAAAGACACCCGCACCAACCCCAACGTCACCAATCCAACGCAATGGCTCCGCAACGCACACACAGAGATAGACTGGGCCTACGCCTCCACTCCCCAGTCCCACGCCCTCAACCGCACCCTCTCCTACACAGCGGGGCGCATCCTAGGCGGCACGAGCATGATCAACGGGATGACGTACCTGCGCGCTGACAGCCCTGAGATCGATGCGTGGGAGGCGCTGGGTGCTAAAGGCTGGAATTGGGGGTCCCTGTGGCCGTATTATTTGCGCACAGAAAAGTTTAGTCAGCCGTTGGGATGGCAGGTGGATGCCGGGGCGGATGATGTGTCTGCTTTTCATGGGGAAAGGGGGAATGTGGATGTTTGTTTCACGATGCAGCTGTCGACAACAGGATTCTGGGAGAAGGTGAGGGATGCGTGGGTGGGTTTAGGGGTGAGATGGAACAAAGATCCGAATGGGGGGTCGGTTGAAGGGGTTTCGGTGTGGCCGCAGACGATTGATTGTAAGGAGGATGTGAGGTGTAGTTCTGCGAAAGCGTTTTATTATCCTGTTGATGGGAGGGAGAATCTGAGGGTTGTTAGGGGGACAGTCAGAAGAATCCTCTGGGGGGAGAGTGAGAGTGAGAGTGGACGAGAAAGGCATGTGGCGGTGGGAGTCGAGTATCTGGATGAGACGGGAGAAGTGCAGACTGCAATGACCCGCAAAGAAGTGGTACTGTCAGCTGGGGCGCTGCGGACGCCTCCCATCCTCGAAGCATCGGGTGTTGGCGACGCGGGCAGGCTCAGGGGACTCGGGATCGAAACGCGAATCGACCTCCCCGGCGTGGGAGAGAACCTGCAGGACCAGCCGAATGTGCCTCTGCTGTACATGGGCAGTCTCAACGTCTCGGGATACGCGCCATATGCCACGTTTGTAACGGCGTCGCAGCTCTTTGGCGAGGACCTCGAGGATATAGCTGCGTATGCTCCTCTGTCTAACGTTCAATGCAAGAATACTGACATTAACAGAACAACACTCTCCTCCATCCCAGCCTGGGCTGAATCACTCGCCTCATCCTCAGCCAACAACCTCAACAGCAGCGCGATAAAACACATCCTCACCCTCCAGCACACCCTCATCTTCAAGTCCAACGTAACCATCGCGGAAATCCTCACCACCGCGTCCGGAACCACCCTCCTCTCGGCCTACTGGCTGCTCCTCCCTTTCTCCAGGGGCAGCGTGCACCTCTCGTCAACAAAGGAAAAAGACATAAACGCCCCCAGCATCGACCCGAACTTTTTCCAGGTAGACTTTGATCTCCAGACAGAAATGGCGATAGGGAGACTAGCGCAATCATTCTGGGAACAGGGACCCGTGAAGAGCTTGCACGCGGTTCCGATGCCTGGACGGGGGCTGGAGGGTAATGCAACAGACCCCCAATGGACGGCGTTTATGAAAAACACTTGTGAGTTTGCAATGCAACCAGCAAACGAAAAGTGCGATACTGATTGATTAGTTGGGCCGAATTACCACCCGATCGGGACCGCGAGTATGATGGCTCGAGAGCTGGGGGGCGTCGTCGATTCGCGGCTCAAAGTCTACGGCACGGAGAATGTCAGGGTCGTCGATGCGTCGGTGATTCCGCTGCAGGTGAGTGGGCATCTCACGGCGACGTTGTATGCGATGGCCGAGCGGGCGGCGGATATCATATTGAATAGGAGACAAGATTAAGGAAGATGAAAAGAAAGAGATGCATTCACCAAACTCCATCCAGGTATCCGTAATGTAACAAGTCTAGTAGATATAACATGCTTTTGCCGTCCTGCTTTTGACCTTCAGTGAAGGAAGCGCTGCTAAACTGCCTGCAACATATCCAGCATCCCCTTGGTCTGACACGCCTGGTGCGCCATTTCCACCTCCTCGCGCACCCGCCGATGCAGCCGCTCCACCATCTTGTCGATCTGCGCCGATTGTCCCAGGTTCCCCGAGTAGATGTCCAACAAGTTCATGGCGACCTCCACGCACAGCGTCACCAGCCGCGGCTCCGTGATGTTCTTGTGCACCCACTGCAGCACCGGCTGCAGCGTCTCCTCGTCGCGGCCCTGCAGCGCAGCCCGCAGCGCGGAGCGGTGCCGTAGCGCCGTGAACAGCGTCAGCTGCGCCGTCTTGTCGTTCGACGCCAGCACCTGGTCCAGCGCCGCCGAGTACCGCGCCTTGCGCAGGTCGTACTCCCACGTCTGCTCCTTCTTGCGCTTCTTCTTGTCCTGTCCTTCGATCACGATGTCCACGCCTTCGCCGATGAAATCCCGTCCGCGCAGCCGCTTCTCCCAGCCCGACCCGCGCTGCTTCTGCTGCTTGGCTACCTTTCGGTCGTGCTCCTCCAGCTTGCCCTCCAGCAGCGCCTGCATCTCCTTGCGTCGTTCGCGCTCCCGGATCTTCTGCTGGCCGGACAGCCGGGTCTTGATCGATAACAGACCCGACTGCATGCCCACGGCGATGTGCTTGTCCTCCCGCGCGACCCCAGACGTGATCACCTGCAGCGACAGGATCGGAGACGGGTACTTCGAACCCGAAACCACGTTCCACCCGGTCGTCTCAAACACCTTCATGTGCCCGTCCAACGCACCACTGAGCAGCCTCTCCCCGTTCGACGCCAACGCCAGCGCCGTCACCGTCTTCTGGTGGCTCTGGATCATATGCAGCGGCTTCCCCGCCACGATATCCAGCACAGCAATCTTATTCTCCGCCGAAGCCAGCAGCGTCGTCCCCGTCGGCATGGGCAACACGCTCTCAATCGGCGCCGCCATCTTGAACGTCATCGCCGCCCGGTTCTCCACCCGCGGATCCCACAGCCGCACCGTCCGGTCATAACTCCCCGACACCACCAGCCCAGACGCCGCCAGCGAGCCAGGCATGTACGCCCCGCTGCGCACATAGTCCGTATGCCCCAGGAACGTCCGCGCGCTGCTCTCGCTCGGCAGATCCCACAGCCGCACCGTCCGGTCGTCGCTGGCGCTCAGCACCGAGGTCGGGTCGCTCGGCGAGAACTTGGTCACCCACACCGGCTGCCGGTGGTCCTTCCACGTCTTCAGGATCGCCCGCGACGCGACGTCGAAGACCTGCACCGTGCCCGTGTCGTCGCCTGTCACCACCACCCGGCCGTCGGGTCGCACGTCGGTGCCGCGCACGGTATCGTCGAAGCGAGTGATTGTGCGGAGCAGTTTGCGGGTGCGGATGGAGTAGATCTGCACGCGAGCACCGGTCGTCACGGTGAAGACGTCGGGCGGCTGTGTGAGGGACGGGAAGGCGGAGGCGGACGAGGGCGCGGCGGGCTGCGTGATGAGATTGATGGGACCGTTGGCGGGAGAGGGGATGAGGAGCGGATTCTTAAAGGTCTTCCAGTACTGCTGCTCGGGCGTCAAGCGGGTCGACGGCAGCGCAGGCAGCTTGACCTGCTGCAGGGGGAGGACGGGGGCAGCCATGGCTGCTTCCGGTGTCTGATTTGTCGATTATCGATCGGAAACGGTATCAGAATATCAATGAGTTGAGAGAATACTCGTTCGTCAGCGACTGGCGTGGTGTGGTGGTTGAAGCTGGTAATGATCTTGAAGTTTTTTATCACATCAAAAAGGTTCTATCGCAACGCTGATTGGCAGATACCGCTAGTAATTTATTTGTATTCAATGTGTATTAGACGACGTATCAATATATCTCCGGTATTTTATATTTGCTTCTGCCTGAGGCATCGATCGAAGCCCTAATTCTAATAGCACTTCTAAATAAACACAACTATCGGAAGACTATTAATTCTTTGGAGCTTTGAGGCAAGTGGATACTGCCGAACCCAATTCTGCTGACAATGTGACGAATGGAAATCCTACACGTAGATCTACAGCTCCAGACAACTTGCTAGCGAATGAACGATTCAGCGCAATGATCTAGAACACAAGCAGATTGATTCTATTCAGGTGCCATCCAAGGAAGCTTAAAGGTGGATCACAGAGCTAGTAAGCCAAACTATCTGTGCCTTAGCAGTCACACCCACCCCTTCCGGTGTGGGTGCACCACACCATAACTGCCAACCACAGCATAACTGCTAAGTACCTTTTATATGGCATCACCATATAAAAGGTACATACTGCCTAAGTTAAATATCAGGGTATTTACTAAGGGTAACTATATTTCAGATAGTAATATTAGAATTTCATAAAGGACTATATCATAATTTAAAAAGCCTTTTAAGAGTTTTAACCAAAAATTCAAGATATGAGAATGTGCAAAGTTTTCCTCTACAAAACTCTTTCTTAGGGAAAAGAATAAAGAAAGATTATTTTATCTTAATACTTGTAATTTTTCTTTCTAATAATAAAGATAGTAATAAAAGATAGCTACTTATATATATAAATAATAATAAACTAGAAAAACTAAATGTGTACATAGTACTACATACCTAGATTAAATAATCTATATGTACCTTTTATATGGTGATGCCATATAAAAGGTACTTGGCAGTTATGCTGTGGTTAGCAGTTACAGTGTGGTGCACCCACACCGGAAGGGGTGGGTGTGACTGCTAAGGCACAGATACCTAACTGTGGTGCTTCGCGCCAACTAGCTGCGTCTATTCAATAGAGTTGGACTCCCAAATTGCCATAAGCAGTAAGACAAACACAGTTAGAAGTGGCTTGCTCGTCCAATGAGCCAGCTCAGGAGATAAAAAGCAAATATCAGTCGACTCACCTGATCTGTCTGGTTTGAAAGTGTTCCTGTTCAAAAGGATGTGACATACCGCGCATATGGTCTGGCATTCCCTCTTCAAGGTGTCGTTTGCCTTCAATAGTAGATGTCGATCTATGCGAACACCTGTACATGTCACTATGTGGCTTGCGCACCCCAATTGTGGCATATTCGCTGCCCAGCTTAGAATCGGTGTGAGGATCAGTAGACCTAGATACTGGACCAGCGAATATAAATATCTCCTCCTTACCCGTGGACAGTGCATCTCCATCCTCATCAATACATTCTGCATTTGCATTGCAAAAGTTGCCAGACCATCATCATCATCATCATCATCATCATGCATTTCTCCGTCCTCGCCCTCGTCACTCTCACCATGAGCGCTGGCCTCGCATCAGCCGTCAGCCTCCCCTCCACGGCCTGCTGGAGCCTCCAATCCGTCATCCAAGGCGTCGACATCGAGGGTTTCTTCGGCCACGCCCAGAAGGAGATCTGCAACAAAGGCTGCAAAGTCAAGCTGTCCGAGTACGAGCCCCACCTGCGCAACTTTGGCATTTCCGTGATCGAAACCGAAACCTCCAACAAGGGCGCGCCGCAGCTGAACAACGCCTACACCAGCGGCCTGGACAGCATCATCGACCTGGCCCGGACGAAATGCGCAGCCGGAGAGGACGATCTGTGCGCCATGAATGCCTCTGAGTTGCAGTCCCTGGCCAAGTGTCTCAAGGCCAACGCGTGGAGGATGATTCTGGACAACGCCTTGAGCCTGTGGCCAGTCCTGACGACGAATTGCCAACTGCAGTATGACGTCTTTTCGAACCCGGCCTTCTGGGAGGAGGATATCCCGACCTATTTCCGTGGATTTGCCGAGAACTGTGAGAAGAACTGAGTCGGGGTCCGTGGATAGGGTTCATCGGGAGCTGAAGGGTTTGCAGGATGTCGTCGGAATTGTGGATATTCGGATTCCCGACAGCATAATATAATTGGCAACTGTGTAACTAGTGCACGGCACTTTTTGAATATACATCAGTAGTTGAACACCTCAGCTTGATGAGCGACAATTTGTGTCGACCCAAGGATCTAGATTGTAGTAATATGAGGTGTGTTCCAAGATTGAGGGGATTCAGAAGCGCTGATCAGAGCTTTGACTCTGGAGAGTGCCGGCTGTACGGAGTAGATGGATCATGGCTGCATACGCGGTGCGACAAGATGATCGTCAATGAATAGAGGATCATGGTCTAGTTCCGAGTCAGCTATTGATGAGGAAACCTTTGCTTTTTCCACTGAGATAAAAGCTGTCCAGACTCCAGACAGGCATTTCTAGCTACGTAGGAGAAATGATTATGGTCAAAGAGTTTGCTCCTGAGGCGTCTGCATCGGACATGTCGAACTCTGACTCGGGAGATAGAATGGCTTCATATTGCTTTTTCTAGTTTCTATATTCCAGTTGACATGTAGAATAACATTAGCATACTAGCATACTTGTGAGGACAGTGGCTTTTATCTAAACACACCAGCACAATTTCTTGCGTCTTCAGTCCTTTCAAGCAGCAAGAGTGCAAGACAACCGCTCTGCCGCAACGATGTATATGGAATCCCTGATGACGAAGGCGTTGAACTCGAACTGGACTCGAGACCTGTTGATGAACATTGCCCGACAAGGTCCGATCCCCCAACACATCGCATTCATGATGGACGGGAATCGACGATTCGCGCGAGCGCACAGTATGCCAATTGAGCAAGGGCATAAACTCGGGGCGGCAGCAATGAAAAAGGTAATGCGCAGGGACCGATGCCTAGATCTGTGCCGGAGGCAGTGTCCTGACTGACTGCTGAAGGTCCTGGAAACCGGCTATACCGCCGGGATCAAGGTAATCACGCTATATGCGTTCAGCATCGGTAACTTCAAGCGGCCGAGGGACCAAGTCGAGACCATCATGGCTGTACTCCGAGAGCAAATCGTTATGTACTCTGCTCCCGGCGGATTGGCGGAGCAGTTCGATGTTTCGATTCGGGTGTTGGGCCGCTTAGAGATGTTGGACGGACAGACTCGGGGCACAATCGAGAAGGCGGTTGAGGCGACGCGGAAAGGGAGATCAATCTTGAACTTATGTATGGCGTACACATCGCGCGACGAGATGACACGAGCCATGCGACGATGCGTGGAGGAGTATCCTCACGCAGCCATCACGTCGCAATCGCTTTCGGACAAGATGGACACGGCGGACAACCCGCCCGTGGATCTCGTGGTCCGATCGTCGGGGGTGTATCGACTGAGTGACTTTCTGCTCTGGCAGTGCCACGAGGATACTCAGATCCAGATCGTGGATGCGACGTGGCCGGAGTTTGGGGCCTGGGAGTCGTTTATGGTGTTGCTGAGATGGCAGAGAATGGAAAGAATGAAAATGACCACCAGAAGGAGCAGCGGTTTAGCTACAGCTGGCTCGCAGGTCATGGCCAGCTCCTCTGTCTCATTCTCGCCAGTTGTTTGTGCCTTGCCGCTTCTCTTTTCGTTTTTGAGTGCCCTGTCGTGCTATTATTTCCTGGTAACTGTATGACCTTTAGCAAGCGAGCGTAGTGCTATTACTCTAAGCTGATATCCATTTACCACCACGGTTCAATTCCATCCCTGTTTCTTCCGAGGCAATTGTACATCCAGTCCATCAATCTCATCGTCACAAAGCTGCAGTTGACCTTTTCATGATGGAAATCATGAGCCCCGGCGTTGGAAGCCACCAAGACGTATAAGAAGGGACATGTAGAGGTAATGGGCTTGATATTAAATCCAGAAAAAGCCATTGCGCAAAACTATTCGCTGAAATACCCATAGATCAGTGAAGAGAAAGCAATTATATCCACATTGACTTTGGCACAGCGGGATGTCAAAAAAGCAAATGATATCCGTATACGTACTTGTTTCAGGGGTGGTGCGCATACCCGGACTATCATGATTAATTACCTGCCTTCTAAGTTATTGATACTCTTCAGCTTAATCAGAGCCAGCTTAGTTTATATTCTTCTCCGACAAATAGGCAGCGGGGATCTTCATCTTCTTATTCTATTTCATATGCTTAAAGTGCAAAATAGCAGCATCCCAGTTGACAGATTACCTGTCCACTGTCGTAAGAGGAGGTACTTTTAAGATTAATTCCTGTAGGGTCTATTGTGCTCCCTGCACAGTGCATTTGACATATCCCTTGCATAAATGAACAAGGCATGCTCCCCATCCATGCGGATTGAGCATGACACATAACATTCCACGCATACTCCACCACGGTCAAGCAGGAGGCGTCATATTCGACAGAGAAGACTTTCAGTCTCAAAATGGAAATCGGAAATGGGTGGTTACACATCTCGAGGACGCTTCCGGTCAAGACTAAGCCTGTTACTCGATATTTTCATGGCGTAGTCCACACCAAGACGAGTCCGACGTAATCACTATAAAAAAGTAAAGCAACGGCCAAGCATGGCCCGATGACGCACAAGGCTCGATTCATGCGGAATCCTACCCAACCGGCCCCGCATGTTTAAAGATAGCGGAGCAGACACTGATCAGGCAATACAATTTCTGTAGTTAACGTGCCGAGTCGAGCCCACTGTGTTGTGGCTGTGGGATGTAGTTTGAGACAGGCAGCAAGATTCTGGTTCTAATTGCGTCCGTCAGCTTGCGACATTGGCATATGAGTATATTCGGAAGATGACCAGGCTGGACTCGTATCTCTGGTTCGTTCCCTCATGTACTCCATATAATGATGGATAACTACAGAAAAACAATAGCTTTATGGTTAGAACTGTTGTTGTCTAGATAGATAGATTTATGTGCCCAAGGCTGCAAGGCGATCGTTGTGGAGAACTCATGCGGGACTGGTACTTAGCAGTCAGGTATTATTGCTGTCTCAGTCTGGCCGATGATCGTCAGCATCTGGAACAGTCTCCCTGTCTCTGCACTCCATACCATTCCGAGTCCGAATCATTGGATAATGAGGATAGCTGCTACGGATATAAATTCCTTGATTACTTTGTACAGAGAATAGGCTTCGTCTTTCGAGGTGGTCAGGACGAGCTGACAGGAGTGAGACACGTCAGTGTCGATTGTGGCTGGGAGTTGGAAACAGGGCGTAAAATACCGTAAGGCTGTATTCAGATCCGGATGTCATGCAGGAACAGCTTCCGTCCGCCAATCATATCCCCCGAATAGATTACTACCAGCCTCCTCCCAGCCTCCCACGACATCCAACCAACCAATCACAGGCGTTGGTCAGCGGATTACGACGTATGGGTTATCGCGATCTTGCCCGCTTTTGCTTATCGCCTTGTTTTGGCTGCCCTCCGTCCTCCTCCTCCTCCTCCCCTCTCAGCTCTTCTTCATCTTTCCTCTCTTCTCTCCCGCATCATTCGCAAGTCAAGCGGGAGGTGACTTGCTCGTTTATTATCCGCTTCTCGCTTGGCTTCTTCTTAATTCCCAACCTGCAGCATTGGTCTACAATCTTTGCTTCCGATTGATCAATCCTCTTGACCTTCACTAGGCCCCTCAGTTACAGGACACTACACACTCTCTCCGTCAATTGATGGTTACAAAGCTTTTCTAAATCCTATTCAATCGTGTCCTCGAAGTGAACTCTCTTTCAGAGAGAAAGGTGCCATCATGGCGGCCAAACTACCCAGGATAACCAATATCAACCATGCGGCCGGCATCTATGCTGACATGTCCGTCGATGGTCCCGCAATCGGCACGCTGGTCGCCGTCATTGACCGCGCGAAGAATCTGCCGAATAGAAAGACTATGGGAAAACAGAATCCATACTGTGCTGCGCGGTTAGGGAAGGAAGCTAAGAAAACAGAGACTGACCTGCGGGGAGGGCAGACGCCGAAATGGTATCGCCCCATTTTTTCCCTTGAGCGGTCGAACCATGCTGACTTTAATTCCAGGGACCATGAGCTTCGATTCACAGTGCACGAATCGCCCGACTACTTCAGACTCAAGGTATCGATATTCAACGATGACAAAAAAACCGACCTGATCGGCGAAACCTGGATCGATCTGAAAGACCTGATCATCCCGGGAGGAAGCCAGAGCGACCAATGGCATCCGCTGCAGTGCCGAGGAAAGTATGCTGGTGAAGTTCGCATCGAGATGACTTACTACGATACCAGGCCAGAAGACGAGGCGGTGATTGAACGGCGAACGCAGGCCGCCGAGAAGGTCCATGCCAAGAGCAGTAGTTCGAGACCGGCCCCGGCCGCTCCTGTCAGCTCCTCGTCTTCTCTGTCGGGCCCTCGCCAGCTTGAGAAGGTCAAGCGACGGCCGCTTCCTAGCGACCCTACCGCCTCGACTCCCGCGCGTCCGGGGCCCCCCGAAAAGGTTCCCTCGGCGCCTTTGCCGTCTCATCCTGCTCCAGTGAGACCAGTTCATCACGAACATGCTCATTCCATGCCTGCCATGAATGGCGCCGATCACATGCGCTATTCACAAAGACAAGCACCTGAGACTCCGTACGATGCATATGCATCCGCGTCGCAGCCTCCGCCCCCGGCAAAGGTGTATGACACGCCTGACGACTTCCATAGAGAGTGGAATCACGCGGCGCCGGCCCATCCCGCACCAGCACCTCCAAGGCGATCTCCACAGGAAGAGAGCTATCCGTACCGTGAGAGACCCGATGCCTATGACAATCGGCATCATGCACGGCCGCGTTCCAGCTATGGCAATGGTCCGGCTCCGGATTACCGGTCTATGCCACCGAGCAGACCAGAGTACCAGTCCCAACCGGGGCCGGACATGCACCCAAGACATGCATACGAATCAACTTCTCGCCCCACCAGCCATCACAGCAACCGCCAATTCCCTGCGCCAGAACAGTACGGATATGAGGGAGACGCTCAACGTCATGGACACGACGCTGCTCAATACTCCCCTCATTCATCTACGAGATCGTATAATCACTCCCCCGTGGATTACGCGCATGGCGCTCCTGCTCCGGCTCCGGAACCGGAACATCACTACCGTCTACACAGCAACTCGGTAGCGAGCATCAACAGCCGGCATCGCAATTCCATTGCACACGAGAACTTCCACCCGGAATATGCAGCAATGCAGCCCCGCGTGGACGACGACGAAGAAGAGGAGGGACCTCCACCTCCGCCCCCAGCCCATCGGTCAGGCCTGGTCCAGCCGAGTCAACAGTTAGTACCGTCACCAGCTTCCTCGTACAAGGCTTACTCTCCAGAGTTTGCACCGTCCCCCCGCAATACCAACGATATGACCGCGCTCCAGCCGCTCCGCCCGTCGCACGGGAACCGCCTACAGGACCACCCTCGTATGAAGAATCCATCGGTGCCGCGCAGCCTGGTCGCCGGCTTTGACCCGGCCATTGCCGAGGTGGAGGCTGCCCGTGCTGTACAGGAAAGCCAAGCGAACCGGCGGCGTAGCTTCTTCGAGGAGGACGCCATGATCCGGACTGCCGAATCGAAGCCTGCCTCACTACCTTACCCTGACGACACCGATCCGCGTGGTTCCTTGGTTCTTAGGAAGTCTGTCAGTTCCGAATCTCGCATCGTCCCTCGGCGCAAGTCGGTCAGTCCGCTACCATCCTCCACGACGGAGCGCCAGGTGTCCCAGATCCCCTTCTCACCAGATTCGTACGATGCGCTGAATCCAAACGCGGCACGATCTGCTATCACCCGCGACACAGCACCGGCATATGAGACAGTCGCGCAGGCAATGCAGACGGCCCGACTCAATGAGATGAAGCCCGATACCTCAGGACCTATCATCGGTGACGATGGCCGCGAGATTGATCCCTCGGACCATCTTCCTTCTGAGACTTGGGCGCCAGAACCGGAACGCAAGAACCGAAAGCCCGAGGTGATTCTCCGCTTCAAGCATCCTTCCGCCAGGGACGTGGCGGGAGCCCGTCCCCGGTCCAGCGGGACTTCCGGGACATCGCCTGGTGCGGAGTACCCGGAACGTGGTCGTCAGGAGTACGGAGGATATGGACATGGACGAAACTATAGCACAACTGACGCGGCACGGCCGCGATCTTCGCACCGAAAGTCTGTTTCACCAGCGCCGAGTGCGCGCTCCTCGCACTCTGTTTCCAGCCTGTACGCGCCGGTCAATGTCGGGCCACCCATCCCGGCCAAAGTACCTATTGCACCTCCAGCGGGCCCAAGCTACCCCGTGATGGGCGGCGCCACGGGCATGGATGCACTCAGTCGGGAGCTGAACAGCATTGACCTGGGGTCTGTGGGATGTAGCGTTGTCCGAGCGCCGCGAAAATACGTTCCCAAGACGATAACGACCGGCTACGCTATGTGACTATGAAATTTACGAGAGCAACGGATAAATTGCGAGCATACGGACAGATTGCAGAACATATGGACAAATTGCAACAAAATGGCGTTGGTTGATTTATGCATGTAGGAATCGCGTCTTGTGCCCATGACCTGCTTGTAGCTAGTGAATACATGATCAAACAATTCTTTATCACATATTCAGACTGAGACATATTCACTTACAATGTCTGCTACAATGGGATAAACCTATATAACCCATCCACCGGTCCTCCTCTTCCCATCCCCAATGCATCCACCAACATGGCCCCCAAACCAAAAGCAAAACCCAAAGCAAAACCATCCAAACGATCCCCCCATCCCACTCCACCAAGACAAGAAAAAGAAAAAGAAACCCCCGAACCCCCCTGCGAATTCACCCACCCCTGCACAACCTCCACCTCTCCCTCAGGGAGTACCTCCGGCGGGACCCACCCCCGCAAACTAATCTCCCACATCTTCGGCCGCAACAAGACCGCCACGAAGCTCTTCCCGTCCCACGTCTGGGTCCACTACTGCCGCAAGCACTACCAGCGGGCGCGGTACCGGGCGCGCGCGTGGCCGTTTACGCAGTGCGATCTCCTGCTTGATAGTCTGGCGCGCATGGAGGCTTGGGGCGGAGTGGAGAGTTTCGAGGTGGTGTTGAGGAGGAGGGAGGTTGAGAGGATTTCTTCGCAGCAGTCCTCCGGGGTAGGTGTGGGTGTTGAGGGGGTGAGACTGAGGAAGGGGCGGCGCGCTGTTTCTATCTCTGCTTCTGCGTGTGCTTCTGGGGACGATGACGGGGAGTATGGAGCCGAGGAGGAAGAGGAGGAAGAGGAGGAAGAGGAGTCATCAGACGATGGAAGGAAAAGAAGACAGAGACGCAAGCCGCGGATCAAAGCGTGTCCTGTTCCCGAGTGGTTGCGCGCCGAGACCGGGGCCGGGAAGTCATTCGCTGAGATCCGGGCGATTGTTGAGCGGATCCGGGCGGATTTGACGGAGCAGCATCAGCGTCGCCAGATGCAGAAGACAAAGAGCAAAGGTAAAGAGCAGGTGTTGTTTCCGGATATTGAGATTCTGCCGACGTTTCGGGTGTGGGTTTTAGAGCAGGCTAATGAGGATGGGGAAGGCACAAGGAAGAAGTCGTCGAGGGTGAGTAGGAAGGGAGCGGTGCAGAAGGTACAAAGGTGATTCAGGTGAAGTAAATGGGATGCGTTCTTCATTAGCATTAATCGTGACGCCTGTAGGCTGGTACATACACAACGCCATAAAGTATCAGAAACAGAATTAGCCGACCATAACATAAAAGTAAATGATAACGACTTGGCGAGCCCGCTGCTAGATGAGTCCCAGAAATCAACAAATACAACCTTCAGTCACGAATGATCCGGAATCAACTCATATCCTCCCTCCGACGGAAGACTATTCCCCGCAAGTATCATAGTCACCGCGCAGAAAAAACTCACGCACCAGCTGACGGTGCAATAAATCCAGGATTCGCCCAGCCGCCAGCCGACGAAGAAGCGGTCCTCATTGTCAAACAAGTATGCCTGTCGTGCCCGTGTCAACTACCGAGTATATCGACCCAAAGTTCGTGATAAGGACTTACGACAATCGACATACTCGCCGCCTGCACAAGCGCAGACAGGATAATCAGCAGACTCAGCACCTTCCACCCCGACTCGCGCAGCCGTTTCCCGCCCGACAGGACAATCAGATACGAAACCACGCTCATCCCCTCCAGCACAACGGCAAACGACATCAGGAACCCGACGGTCCGCCACATGGAGCAAAAGTACCGGTCTTCGCCATGGCAGTCTTCGCGCTGGGGGAAACTCTCGCAGACGTTGGTGAGGGAGGAGCAGCGACGGTGGAGGCCGTAGGAGTAGTGGAACTAGCCGGCCAAGTCAGTCCAATCCAGCCTGTCTTCAAATCCGCGAGATTGTATGCCCACCTTTTCGCTATGATAGCTGACCCATTTTGGGACGACGATGGATGCGATCGTCAGTCCGAATGCTGTGGTATGTTAGCCTCCGACTTGTCGCCAGCGTAATGCGTGAGATCAAAAGTACCAGCAAGAAATAAAAGCAAGGTGCCGGAGTAGACGATGGTTTTTGTCAAGAATCCTGTGTAATTCCTGTCTGTTCCTCGAGGGACGAGATGGAAATCCATTCCTGCGTACGCGGTCGAATTGACCCGACCAAGTAGGATAGTGTAGCAAGGGCAGCGGGCGATGACGACACTGCCGTGGTGGTCGGAAGGGGACGGTCAACGCTCACTGACCGGCAGCGAGGGTTGTTACTCAACTGGAGTACGGTACAGACGAGTAAGTCGATGAGACAGGAATGCTGATAGTGCAGATTGAGAAGAAGGGCTCGAGTGTCGAAAGCTGGAACTGGTGAAACAAGACGATCAGGCAGGATGAGGTGAGCGTGGTGGGGAATCCGGCTCTGATATCGACGATTCAATTTGTGAGTATGAGAGGATTATCTAGGAAATAACACTAACAATAGGTAGTAATGAAAAGACAGGATTCGGTTTGCGGTCGTTCAAATGATGGAAGAAAGTGGAAACGGTGGAAGTTGAGGAAACTCCCGACAATAGATGAATGAGGCTTGGGGGGCAGGGAAGGCAGCGTCATAGGTACACATTATTACGACGCACCCTTCAAACCTCTCACAAAAGTACGACCATCCCACTCGGTCTCCTCTTATCATTCGACAGAATCACCGCAACATAGCCAGTTCTGTACACAGTACTACCTGATTAATCAAGATATATCCCATATTACAAGTCCTTGTTCTGGTCATCAGAGCCTGCTGGTGAATTCCTCTGTCCGAATGACCCGTCGATCAACCGAGCCATTATCATCCAATCATCGCTCTTTCTACCTGATCTAGACTCCAGAATAATAGAAATACGGGGAACGGTCGGTCTCAGACAGTCAAGTCACTCTTAACAGGCTTATCTGGTCGGTCAAAGCGTCAGTTATTGCGGGGGTTGCATAGCGTAGCGGGCATAGCGTCGCGGATTCCGGGGAAAAGATGAATTAATCTCCAACGATGCCAGGTATACAGTTGTGCTATACTGAGGAAAGTTCTGTATGACAGAGATAGCTATGTCTTTCAATTGATCATATAATGTCGCCTGCCTCTCAGTCATGAATCAACCAGTCCGAGTCATAGCAGAGGCAGTAATATCAGCAGCTATCACCCAGCCCGCATCCTGCGGTATAACCCCGGTCAACGGTCAGGTACAAGAAGAAGAATCATTAGATGGACAACATGTAGACTCAGAGAAGAAACAAAAAGGAAACGCAGGAAAAGAAGTGTAATGGTAATCTACAGACGCCAAAAGAGCATCGTGCGCCGTTCCATCAGGCGGGCGTAGAATGGCATGATCAAGGAAACCGTCACCACAGCAGAGGGAAGGCTTCCGCTCGGGTCATCATGGCAGCGGACCGTCCAGAAGAGGGACATCAATGGAGGGAGAAAGGGGGAAAACGCCAACCCGGTCATTACAATCCGAAGCGCCGCGCACAGTTTTTACTCTCATTCGCCTCGATTCCGCTGGATCATGGCACGGAAATCATCATTACTCTTCCTCGTCTTCTCACCGTCAACTGGGTGAGCACTGCTTTCTGTCGTCACATTCGTGGTCGTCATCGTCGTCGCGCTTTTGGCGCCTTCTTCGGCTTTCGTGCTTCCCCCCTGCGAGGCTGTCGAAGGAATGCTGACCCGCTTCACCCCCAATCCACCTCTTCGGCCACCGCGCTGACCGGGTTGCACAGGACGCTTGATCGGTCCGGTTGGCTGGAGGAATGTGGCCTTCTCTTTTGACTTTGTCGCCTGACCGGGGCCCGCCTTCTTCTTCTCCGCCGACTGCCTCAGCATTTCCGAACCCGTGCCCACATGCAATTTCCGACCCGGAGCAATTTCCTGTCCTTCAAGTTCGAGCGAAGCCTTGCCGGCATGGTTAACATCCGCAAACTCGACAATAGCCCCTTGATGATCAGGGCGCAGGACGATTTTGATGAGCGGTCCATAAGGTTCCACCAGTGCACGGATCCGGGCATCATTTACCGTGTCAGGAACGTTCATGAGCCCCAGGGTTCGCGCCGAGCGCTCCTTGGCTGTGCCTTCAGGCTCGACTGATGGAGCTTTGGTCCCATTCGCCTCGGCCGCGGGGGATTGTGATGCTCGGACGCGGTTCACGATGGTGGTTGCGGTTCGTTTAGCACCTTGGGGGGTCGAGATTCGGACTTGTAGCGGACGCGAGCGGAATTCCTGTTCATGCATAGCAAGGGCGGCTTCTGCCTCTTCCTATTCGAGAGATTAGGTATAAAACTCAGTAGCCGGATGGCCAGAAAACATACTTTGGTGGAGAAGACAATATAACCAAACCCTTTACTGCCACCATCGACCTTCCTTGGAATCCGCACCGTCTCGATAGTGCCATACTTTTGAAACACTTCCTTAAGGTCACCCTCATTGGCCTTCCAGTCAATGTTGGAAATGTGGATCTCCCGCCCTTCGTAAACAGGTCCATGACGGTCCTCTCTACGCGAAGGATCTGAGATCTTGGCTAGCAGATTGAGATCACTTCCAACCCGCGTGCCATTCAGCTTGGTCGCGCTATGGGCATCCCCAGGAGATTTGAACTGCACGTAGCAGAATCGTCGATGAGTGTTGTATTTGAGAGATGGGAAGCGTATATCGACAATCTCGCCATACTAAGACTGGTTAGTGTCGCATTACATGGAGCTGTCGGGCAGATGCCTACCTCGCGGAACAGATTTCGAATATAACTTTCATCAGCTGTCGACGGAAAGTTCGTAACGAACAAGGTGGATCCGGAGCCAAGATGAACCTCAATCGCGTTATCGTCAAGCAACTTTTGATCGCGAGTCTGAGCCACAAGAGCTTCCTCTCTTGTTTCGAACTCAATGATGGCGGTCTCGGAGTTTCCATCGTCGCCTGGCAGCATCTTCAAGCTATTGATTGTCCCGCACTATCCAAGTCAGATGAGGAAGTGAAGACAACCGGGAAACCAGGGGAGAAACTTACATGACGGAAGAACTGCCGCACTCGGTGTTCCGTAATATGGTGAGGCAAATTCTTGACAACCACTGTGGCATTTTCGCGGTCGCGCCGGAGTGCGACAGGCTCAGGTTGCGCCGCAGTGGGTGCTGGTGCTGGTGCTGGCTCCTCGGCACGGGCCTTTTTACTGCTGGGGAAGCCATTTACTCCAGTGTCATCCTCGCGCTTACGCTTCTCTGCTTGAGATGCAAGATCCACCGCCGCCGCCTGCTGTTGCTGCAATGCCGCCGCTTCTCTAGCCTCCTTTTCTCGCCGTGCGTTGATGGCCTTCATGGCTTTCCTGGTCTCCAGTATAGCCTGTTGGAGTTCGTCCGAGTCCTCGTAATCTTCACAATGTGCGACGTAAACCTGCATGATCTTCTCGGGCCAATCCAGGTCTGTCCGCTTGATGGCCTGTTTCAACACGGCGGTTGCAAAGCTGGGGTTGGGAGTCCGCCGAGCGGCATCTGCCGTCGCTTCTCCCTGCACAAATTTGCTCCACGAGATCAGCTCCCAATGGTAGTAGGTGAGCCAGAATTCGTAACTATTGCCACGGCGACCAACCAACCCCTTGAAGGTTTCGCGTGCACTGTCCCAACTGCCGCTTTCACTCAGGTAACGGATGTAGATGCGTTCGAGACGAAACAGCGGATCACCCTGGTATGAGCGACCGTACTTCTTCTCACCGAGTTCTTGAACACTTTCGATGGCGGATCGGATGCCAACCTCAGCAACATCCAGGTCCTCGTCGGTCGAATCTGAAAGAAAGGCGCGTCGACGAAGGTAGCTGCACCAGGCGGTATGGACTTTCAGTACCTCCTCCATACCACCGGCGTCCAGCAAGCCAGTACTGGTGGCTTTGTGTTTGATGTCAGCGATCTTTTGGAAAGATTGTCCTTCCCGCTCGGAGCTTAGGAGGTACTGCGACCAAAGGGTACCAGAGCATGGGCAATGCCTGGTGGCTCTTTCGAGCGTCGATATTGTGGTCGCTCTCGCGTTACCGTGCGTGTTCTGGTCGATGAGGAACATGACGTAGTCCTCCCAGAGGTTGGAGTCTGTCGGGAAACGTAGGACCGCACGCTGGTAGATGGCGTTCACAAGATCGAAATTCGA